ATCGCCTGATTTTACACACCAAATGCAGTCAACAGCCAGTGTTTGGAAACGGTCTCGTCCCCTTCTTTCCAATGACATCTTCAATTTTATGATCCAAGCATAAATACGATTTTTTGCATTTTTTGAGGTTAGAAAAGAAAATTCTCTGATTTTGATGATTGGTGGTCATACCGTACGTTTCAGTGCTCTGAAATTTGACCTCAAATATCTATTCATCCTTAAACTCGTAAAACCGGTAATGAAGGCAATACCGGAAATGGCGGTCATTTTACCATAAATTATGCTCGGATCATAATTTTGACTAGTGCACTGGAAAGCTCTTGCTCTCAGGAATCTGTTGATATGCTTGTGGTCCATGTACCTCGTATAGATCGTGAGTTAACGGCGAAAAAATCGAAGCTATGCTCCAATAAAACATAAAAAAACGTTTAAACGCTCATAACTCGAAAACTAAGCGAGATACGGCATTTTTGACGGGGATATCCTATAGGGGGAGCCGAATTTCTTACTCAGGTCCAGATCTTTCATATGAGCCCTTGATCAACCTCGTAGCATCATTAGCATAGAGGTTATGCATATTTTTATGTTTTTCCGTTTTTCAGGAATATCGCCTGATTTTACACACCAAATACAGTCAACAGCCAGTGTTTGGAAACGGTCTCGTCCCCTTCTTTCCAATGACATCTTCAATTTTATGATCCAAGCATAAATACGATTTTTTGCATTTTTTGAGGTTAGAAAAGAAAATTCTCTGATTTTGATGATTGGTGGTCATACCGTACGTTTCAGTGCTCCGAAATTTGACCTCAAATATCTATTCATCCTTAAACTCGTAGAACCGGTAATGAAGGCAATACCGGAAATGGCGGTCATTTTACCATAAATTATGCTCGGATCATAATTTTGACTAGTGCACTGGAAAGCTCTTGCTCTCAGGAATCTATTGATATGCTTGTGGTCCATGTATCTCTTGTAGATCGTGAGTTATCGGCGAAAAACAAAGCTATGCTCCAATAAAACATAAAAAAACGTTTAAACGCTCATAACTCGAAAACTAAGCGAGATACGGCATTTTTGACGGGGATACCCTATAGGGGGAGCCGAATTTCTTATTCAGGTCCAGATCTTTCATATGAGCCCTTGATCAACCTCGTAGCATCATTAGCATAGAGGTTATGCATATTTTTATGTTTTTCCGTTTTTCAGGAATATCGCCTGATTTTACACACCAAATACAGTCAACAGCCAGTGTTTGGAAACGGTCTCGTCCCCTTCTTTCCAATGACATCTTCAATTTTATGATCCAAGCATAAATACGATTTTTTGCATTTTTTGAGGTTAGAAAAGAAAATTCTCTGATTTTGATGATTGGTGGTCATACCGTACGTTTCAGTGCTCTGAAATTTGACCTCAAATATCTATTCATCCTTAAACTCGTAGAACCGGTAATGAAGGAGAAACCGGAAATGGCGGTCATTTTACCATAAATTATGCTCGGATCATAATTTTGACTAGTGCACTGGAAAGCTCTTGCTCTCAGGAATCTATTGATATGCTTATGGTCCATGTATCTCGTATAGATCGTGAGTTAACGGCGAAAAACGAAAAGCTATGCTCCAATAAAACATAAAAAAACGTTTAAACGCTCATAACTCGAAAACTAAGCGAGATACGGCATTTTTGACGGGGGATATCCTATAGGGGGAGCCGAATTTCTTACTCAGGTCCAGATCTTTCATATGAGCCCTTGATCAACCTCGTAGCATCATTAGCATAGAGGTTATGCATATTTTTATGTTTTTCCGTTTTTCAGGAATATCGCCTGATTTTACACACCAAATACAGTCAACAGCCAGTGTTTGGAAACGGTCTCGTCCCCTTCTTTCCAATGACATCTTCAATTTTATGATCCAAGCATAAATACGATTTTTTGCATTTTTTGAGGTTAGAAAAGAAAATTCTCTGATTTTGATGATTGGTGGTCATACCGTACGTTTCAGTGCTCTGAAATTTGACCTCAAATATCTATTCATCCTTAAACTCGTAGAAACCGGTAATGAAGGCAATACCGGAAATGGCGGTCATTTTACCATAAATTATGCTCGGATCATAATTTTGACTAGTGCACTGGAAAGCTCTTGCTCTCAGGAATCTATTGATATGCTTATGGTCCATGTACCTCGTATAGATCGTGAGTTAACGGCGAAAAAATCGAAAGCTATGCTCCAATAAAACATAAAAAAACGTTTAAACGCTCATAACTCGAAAACTAAGCGAGATACGGCATTTTTGACGGGGATATCCTATAGGGGGAGCCGAATTTCTTACTCAGGTCCAGATCTTTCATATGAGCCCTTGATCAACCTCGTAGCATCATTAGCATAGAGGTTATGCATATTTTTATGTTTTTCCGTTTTTCAGGAATATCGCCTGATTTTACACACCAAATACAGTCAACAGCCAGTGTTTGGAAACGGTCTCGTCCCCTTCTTTCCAATGACATCTTCAATTTTATGATCCAAGCATAAATACGATTTTTTGCATTTTTTGAGGTTAGAAAAGAAAATTCTCTGATTTTGATGATTGGTGGTCATACCGTACGTTTCAGTGCTCTGAAATTTGACCTCAAATATCTATTCATCCTTAAACTCGTAGAAACCGGTAATGAAGGCAATACCGGAAATGGCGGTCATTTTACCATAAATTATGCTCGGATCATAATTTTGACTAGTGCACTGGAAAGCTCTTGCTCTCAGGAATCTGTTGATATGCTTGTGGTCCATGTACCTCGTATAGATCGTGAGTTATCGGCGAAAAACGAAGCTATGCTCCAATAAAACATAAAAAAACGTTTAAAACGCTCATAACTCGAAAACTAAGCGAGATACGGCATTTTTGACGGGGATATCCTATAGGGGGAGCCGAATTTCTTACTCAGGTCCAGATCTTTCATATGAGCCCTTGATCAACCTCGTAGCATCATTAGCATAGAGGTTATGCATATTTTTATGTTTTTCCGTTTTTCAGGAATATCGCCTGATTTTACACACCAAATACAGTCAACAGCCAGTGTTTGGAAACGGTCTCGTCCCCTTCTTTCCAATGACATCTTCAATTTTATGATCCAAGCATAAATACGATTTTTTGCATTTTTTGAGGTTAGAAAAGAAAATTCTCTGATTTTGATGATTGGTGGTCATACCGTACGTTTCAGTGCTCCGAAATTTGACCTCAAATATCTATTCATCCTTAAACTCGTAGAACCGGTAATGAAGGAGAAACCGGAAATGGCGGTCATTTTACCATAAATTATGCTCGGATCATAATTTTGACTAGTGCACTGGAAAGCTCTTGCTCTCAGGAATCTATTGATATGCTTATGGTCCATGTATCTCTTGTAGATCGTGAGTTATCGGCGAAAAACAAAGCTATGCTCCAATAAAACATAAAAAAACGTTTAAACGCTCATAACTCGAAAACTAAGCGAGATACGGCATTTTTGACGGGGATATCCTATAGGGGGAGCCGAATTTCTTACTCAGGTCCAGATCTTTCATATGAGCCCTTGATCAACCTCGTAGCATCATTAGCATAGAGGTTATGCATATTTTTATGTTTTTCCGTTTTTCAGGAATATCGCCTGATTTTACACACCAAATACAGTCAACAGCCAGTGTTTGGAAACGGTCTCGTCCCCTTCTTTCCAATGACATCTTCAATTTTATGATCCAAGCATAAATACGATTTTTTGCATTTTTTGAGGTTAGAAAAGAAAATTCTCTGATTTTGATGATTGGTGGTCATACCGTACGTTTCAGTGCTCTGAAATTTGACCTCAAATATCTATTCATCCTTAAACTCGTAGAACCGGTAATGAAGGCAATACCGGAAATGGCGGTCATTTTACCATAAATTATGCTCGGATCATAATTTTGACTAGTGCACTGGAAAGCTCTTGCTCTCAGGAATCTATTGATATGCTTATGGTCCATGTATCTCTTGTAGATCGTGAGTTAACGGCGAAAAACGAAACTATGCTCCAATAAAACATAAAAAAACGTTTAAACGCTCATAACTCGAAAACTAAGCGAGATACGGCATTTTTGACGGGGATATCCTATAGGGGGAGCCGAATTTCTTACTCAGGTCCAGATCTTTCATATGAGCCCTCGATCGACCTCGTAGCATCATTAGCATAGAGGTTATGCATATTTTTATGTTTTTCCGTTTTTCAGGAATATCGCCTGATTTTACACACCAAATACAGTCAACAGCCAGTGTTTGGAAACGGTCTCGTCCCCTTCTTTCCAATGACATCTTCAATTTTATGATCCAAGCATAAATACGATTTTTTGCATTTTTTGAGGTTAGAAAAGAAAATTCTCTGATTTTGATGATTGGTGGTCATACCGTACGTTTCAGTGCTCCGAAATTTGACCTCAAATATCTATTCATCCTTAAACTCGTAGAACCGGTAATGAAGGAGAAACCGGAAATGGCGGTCATTTTACCATAAATTATGCTCGGATCATAATTTTGACTAGTGCACTGGAAAGCTCTTGCTCTCAGGAATCTATTGATATGCTTATGGTCCATGTACCTCGTATAGATCGTGAGTTAACGGTAAAAATCGAAGCTATGCTCCAATAAAACATAAAAAAACGTTTAAACGCTCATAACTCGAAAACTAAGCGAGATACGGCATTTTTGACGGGGATATCCTATAGGGGGAGCCGAATTTCTTACTCAGGTCCAGATCTTTCATATGAGCCCTTGATCAACCTCGTAGCATCATTAGCATAGAGGTTATGCATACGCTCATAACTCGCAAAACTAATAAGCGCAATGATATTAAGCGAACTTTCTAAAAACGTGCCAGAATTTAAAAATACATTACTTATCTTTTTTTTCTTTCAGATTGATGGGCTTGGCTAGAATAAACCGTTGCAGCGCCATCGCTCGATGGGTTCATAGAAACTTTTATGTTGTGACCTGAGATTATCGACATGTTGACCGAAATTTCGTCCGGATTTTTAACACAGCATTGGACTTCTATACTGTTCTCTCTTCTCTGCCAATGGATATTCATTTCAAAAAAACACGAGTTTTTTATCACTTTATTACACAGTGTTTCAACTATAAACAACAGAAATGAATAGTAAATGAACATAAACACATTTTTATTACTGATAGGTTATTTGGAATAAATTTTTCTATAAAATATTTAATGAAAATAATTGCATATGTATTTACTTATCAGATTATAAAATGATGAATTATTGTCGATTATTTAATGCATATCGTTTAATGAAAAATTTGCGAAATTATTCTACTGTAACAGACGAAAATTTGTAAGTAAAATTTGTTTCCATAACCACGCATCAAATTAAAAAAAGATCTTTTTTATTTTAGCGAAAAATGGAATGCAGTAATAGGTTTAGAAGTTCACGCCCAAATTTCTTCAGAATCAAAATTATTTTCCGGCGCAAGTACAAGTTTTGTACAACCCGTTAATACTTGCGTTTCATTTTTTGATTGTGCTACTCCAGGTACATTACCGGTAACTATTAAATACCAATATTTACCAGATTAATTTGTATTTATGTTAATGTAATTGATGGAATTTCAATTGTCATTTTTAGGTACTTAATAAAAAATGTGTTGAAGCCGGTGTTTTAACAGCATTAGCACTATCTTGTCAAATTAATGAAGTATCATTTTTTGATCGAAAGCATTACTTTTACGCTGATTTACCAGTATATAACAATCTTACATCAATACCAAATTACATTTTTTTTATTTATTATAATAATTATTCCGTATTTGTAGGCTGGTTATCAAATAACTCAACAAAGACAGCCACTTGCAATAGGTGGGAAATTAAAATTTAATGTCTTTACACCTGGCATCCATAGACAACCGTATATTAAATCATCTAAAATAAAACAAATTCAGTTAGAACACGACAGTGGCAAAAGCCTTCATGATGAGTTTGAAAACAGGCAATTAATGACCAATTTTATCTGAAAGTAATCAAATAATCATTTTGAAAAATTTACAAGTATTAATTATCCTTCCTTGTATTAGGAGTTTAATTGATTTAAATAGAGCTGGAATACCACTTATGGAATTGGTGTTTGAGCCAGATCTTGCTGATGGCGAAGAAGCTGCAGCATTAGTCAAGGAACTTATTAATATTTTACAACGTCTAAAAACTTGTTCTTGTAAAATGGAAGGTATTTATTCTTCTGATTTCTTGTTAAGTTTATTATTTTGAATAGATAAAGAAATAATTTATTTCAGAGGGTGCACTCCGTGTTGATGCTAATATTTCTGTTCATAAACCAAACGAATGTCTAGGAGTAAGAACAGAAGTAAAAAATATTTCAAGTGTTCGAGGAATTGCAAATGCAATTAAATATGAAATTAATAGACAAAAGAGGATTTTAAGTAATGGAGGAAAAATTGTTAATGAAACTCTTACTTGGGATGCTTTAAAAAACAAAACAGTTTCAATGCGTACTAAAGAAGAAAAACATGATTATCGTTTTATGCCAGAACCTAATCTACCTCCTTTGAGAGTTCATATAAGAAAGGATTGTGAAAATAAATATAATCTTATTGATGTTAATGAAATTGCTTTACGAATCCCTAAGTTACCTGAAGAAATACGTGAGCATTTGCGAAATAATTTAGGATTATCTCCTCATGCGACAATTGTACTTGTGGTAATTTTTTTTTGTATTAATAAAAAATATCGTAATGCTTTAATGAGCTTGGCTATGAGATAAAGTAATTATTATGATTGATTTCAGAATAACTATGAACTGACAGAAGTTTTTGAAAAGATAATAAGTGAAAACAACAAAAGACAACCTCAAATGGTGGCTAATATTCTTTTGAATCAAGTGCTGGAATTTGTTAACAAACATAAATTAAATTTTGAACATCAGTAAGAGATATTTATCTTTACGTTAAAAAATATTTTTACTGTTCTTTATTATAAATTTAACAAAAAAATATTTTTAGAGCATTGCAACCACAAAAATTAGGTCAAGTTATGGATCTTTTTCATAATAATGTCATTAATTTGAATGTTATGGAAGAATTATTTGAAAAAATGATCGCAGAACCTTTAAAAACCCCAATTCAAGTCAGTATTTTGATGATAAAAATGGCAATTATCAGAATTAAATAACTAATTTAATTTCAGGTTGTTGAAGAAAATAAAATGGAACAAATTAATGATGAGCTAGTTTTAGAAAGGATAATAAGAGATGTACTTGTTGAAAATACAAAAAAGGTGAATCAATATAAAAATGGAAAGAAAAAAGTGCTTCGATCTATTATAGGACAAATTGCCAAAAAAACAAATGATCGTGCCAATATGAGTAAAGTTCACGACATTCTAATAAAAATACTAGGTTGAATAATTTGAAATTTTTGAAAAATAAATGAAATTGAATTGTAACTATAAGTATTAAAAGAATATTTTAAATTAAATTCATATTGTTGTTTATGATTAACATCATAAGTACAAAATCATGTAGGAAATAAATATTTGTTGTACAATTAGTCAGATGCAAATTCATAGGTTCATTTATCCATCAATTAACAGTGATGATGAATGATAAGTATTTTCGTAATTTCATTTATTTATTTCTTTAGTGTTATTAAATTTAATCAAGAGAAATTCAAGTATAGTAATGAACTGTATGATCTGCTAGTCTCTTGATTAAACGCATGAGTTTTTTAAAAGTGGATGATTGATATGATTCAAGCTTATGGTGAAATTTTACAATTAAATAAAAAAGTTATTTTTTTTGTATTGTGTAAGATTTTTCCTTTTTTTTTTATGAACATTTTACTCTAGCAGAGATACTATCAATCTTTGGATCTATGCAAGAGTTTTTTTTATTGCAAATAAATAATAAATATGTTTGTTTATTTTTACACTTTTAATAATTAATCGCCGTAATTGTAAATTATTGCGTCATTACTTTCCACCATTTAATTCATACTTATGAATTGCAGATATTCATTTTCACACGTCGAATATTGAGTTCAATTGATTTATATGTTAATGTATGATGCATAATTTTTTTTTTCTTCAGATATATTATTATTTTTCTATCTCTTTATGATATTCACGATAAATGATTTTATCATCTATCAATCGTTAATTTTTGAGAAAATGAATGATTAAGCTATTTGATATAGATCAACTGGTGTGCAAATACAATATGCTATGAAACAGTAAATCTAGCAAACAGCTGTACATTAACAGATATTTATGCGCTTCAATAAATCTCGACTGAACACACTTAATACTATATAATACAATAAGCACATTAATGTCACTATATTTACGCAATTCCATACAAGTTTTTTTTATAATCTATAGATTATTAAGATCTATTTTTATGTCTGTTGTGTGACTTATTTTCACATATTTTTTTGCATTTCATATTATTAATTTTCATTAAATCTCCTTGAATAATTATTATGCTGACTTGATATTTTAACATTTTTATAAAATTTTTCCGACGTTACGTGACAACGAATTCTGCTTAGAAAATTCAATATATTAGACAATGTAAATTATTTTATAAAGTTTTTATTTGTATTAATTTTGTCTTTATGTAATAAATAAAGTAGAAAAATGAATTTCACAAAACATTGTATTTTAGTAGGCATAATTTGTCATGTAAATATTTCTATTTGTCACTTTTAAATTAATTATTGAGGGAAATAATTTAGAAAAATTGGCGATTGTTGAAAATGCACATTCAATATTGTCTCGTACGTCATATATTTAGTTACAAATAAATTTTTTAATATTAGTTTCGTTTTAGTGGCAATGATATAATTAATTTATAAATTACAGTCTTCTTTTTTACAAAGGCCACTCAAGTAATAGAGATCTATATTTATCTAATAAGTTCTCCATATGTCATTCATATTTTTTATTTATCATTTAGTTTCGTTAAATAATAATTTTTCTTTATTTTAAATTCAATATTAAATATATTACGTTTAAAAAAATTACATTAATATGTTATTCATCGGCTTATTATGGCCTAGTTAATGCATTACAAAAAATCACAATATTTTTTGATGCCAATAATACATTTTTGTGAATATCTATATCAATTCTGTTCGACTGAAAACAAATATTTTCAATAGAAAAATACAAATACACGGAAAATTATTATTATTATTAATTTCTTTCCTCTCTAACAAATTTCAAATAATGTATTTTTTATTCATTTTTTTTTAAGAAATAAATACCAAAAATTTGTCTTTTTTATTACAACAAATAATTGGAAATTCATTGAATAAAAAATATTATGACAGAATTTTCGATGAAATAATTGTTCTGTCAAACAATCGTATTGTTTTTTTTATTAAAAATAATTGTTTATTCGTATAAATGTAAACTTTATGAGTCTCTTGTATTAATAAAAAACATGTTGCTATAGCAACACTGACAAAAAATTTTAATCTCCAAGTCTTTGAAAAAAATATTATCTACATAATTACACAGAGTCTTTACAAATTATCAACATTAATATCAAACTTTCGATCATTAAGATCGTGATTTTAAAAATGTCAAATTTCATTTATAGAATTAATATAAAATTCATTAAAGTTTTCAAATTTTCTAGTGACTGAATTATGATAGGCTTTTTTTTTTACAATATTTTAAAAACATTTTGGTGATCAACAATAATTAATGAGCCTACGTTTGATGCATTTGGCATAGCCACACGAGTAACTGATTCAATATTCAAATAGATAATAAATTAAATAATCACCACAAAAGATTATTTCGTTCATAATGGTATAAAATGATCAACGTATTATTTATATTGTTGAATAATTAAATATTTCATCATAAAGCAATAATAATACAATTTAACAATTAATGCTCTTGAAACTTTTCTTCATTATCATTTTCAAAATATTACTTCATCCAAATCATTTCGAGAGTTTACTTATAACTCGAATTAAAGCTCCATTCTCATCTTTTAGCCTCTGGTTTTCACATTTTAACTGCTCCATAATCTAAAAGACAAAAATTCATATTTTTTTTTCAATCAAGTTATACATAAAATGTGTTAAATATTTAGCATTTTTCACACGCCCTAGTACTGTCTTCACCTCAATACAAGAATCAACTTTATACTATTGTAAAATAAATTAGTGCTAAAGGAATAGTAGAAAAATGTATCCAAACTGTAGAATAAAAATTCTCACTTGCTATTTAAATAATTGGGGAAATATCACTATTACACTTTTACTGAGAAAAAAAGTCTTTTCTCAATACTTCATTTAATTAAGTGACTAATAATCATAGAAATATTCAAGAACTCGCAAAAAACTAGTCCAGTTATGAATGAAAAACACCATGCCACCAGTAGATCAAACATAGCAAATTAATCAATGCATGCTACTTGTCAAATGTAAGAATATTGTTAATAAAAGTTGAAATATTAATATAAATGAATACTTAAACATAAATTAGAAGAAGTTTAAAATGTCATTAACAAGTTTTTCATTTGATAAGAAAGAAAAAGCTTTAAATGATAAATGACCATATTTATCATGCGAAAATTGAAAACTTAAAAAAAAAACCCCTATATGGTTCAATCCAACAATTCATGCGCTTAAGGAAGTTCTTCAATTCTACAATCATTCGCGTGAACGACTTTAAAAAGTTCGTTTGAGAGGATATTTGTTTCACACACCAAACAGAAGATATGACTTTACGATTTTTTATACGGTAAAAAATGTTTAATAAATGTTTTACATATTCATTTTGAAAATCTGATAAGTTCAAACAAAATGTTATTAATATAATGATTAAACAGTAAAAATGACCAACTAATAATTAATTCATTATTTACCATTATTATGAAGATTAATATAAAAGTTTTAAAAAATATATATCTATTTTTAATTGAATAAAGTAAGTAGAGCGATTAAGTTTTTTGTTTTTTAATATTGCAGATCAGTAAACAAAGAAAAATGATAATTAATGAAATTAATGAATTATTAATAGATAATTAATTAAATAATTTTTATGTGAATAATAATGTACATGTTGTTAACGCAGATGCTTTTTTTTTTTATTATTCCTTTACCTATTTAGTAGTATTGGTGAGTTTGGATACGACGCGGGTAAGTGCCCGATTTTCGGCTTTCAATCGCTCATTTTCAGCTTTGAGCTTTTGTAATTGCTGTAAACAGTGAAAGAGTTAGCCCAGACCTATTTTTACTTCGTTTTTTTTTATTTCTTTTTAAACTTTAATAAAAAAATTTTGTCCCATTTTTATCGAAGCTTTGTACATCAAATTTGACAAATAAATTTGAAGGGACAAGAGAAAATATAAATAAAAATTTCACATATTCCATGTACAATACAATAAAATAAATCCAATAACCATGTAATCACTATTAATCCATCAACAGCTAAATTATGTTTTTATGTTCTTTTTTTTTTTTTTAATCAGAGAATGAAGACATCAAAGCTCACTCGGATAGAATTCGAGGGAACAAAAATAGATGAGCCAAGATATGAAAAGAAAACAAAAAGCAATGCCACGAAGCCCGGTAGTGTACCTTTGACACACAACTGGTATGAAATAAAAAAAAATGATGTCAATTGAAATCCATATTAAACAAAAAATAAAAAAAAAAAAACTTGCACCCTTTTTGCAATCCACCTTAGCAGACAAAACAGTTGAAAACTTGAACGTGCATTCTAACTAATAGTAACAAAAAATAATTATTGATACTATTATCTTAACAATAATTATTATAATTATGATTAGTAAAAGAATAAATTGAAAAACAAATAATCTGTTTCATTTACTGTTCATCTGATTGGTGGAATTCACATAAAAATATAAATTTAAACATAAATGACATAAATCTGAAATATCCAAATATAAAAAGACATGTTGAGCCTTGAGAAATGACACAGATAAATGATTATAGAGAAGAGAATAGACTGGACAGAAACTATAAACACGATTAGGTAAAATACTTTATAAAGAAAAAAAAAAAAATCATTACCTTTAATTCTTCTTCCATTTCTGAAAGTTTTCGTTCCATAGCTCTCCTTTCTCTTTTTTCAGCTTCAGAAAGAGTTGTCTTATTTTGTAGAGTTTGAATTTTTTCTAACGAACTTCTTGCTTCTTTTAATTGTTCATCTGAACGTCGTAATTTTTCTTTAAGCCTTTCATTTTCTGCTTGAGATTCTTCCCATAATTTTTTATAATCAACTTCACCATTTTCTGTACTTGATTTTGTTCTGCTTGGAGTAGTTAATGTTTCTGATGAAATTGATGATACTGAACCAAGTCTACTTGATCGACCAGAACGTTCATTTCCACTCTGAAATAATAAATATAAATGAATAACAAACGAAGTTAAAATTAAATAAAAACAAACTTATAATTCTTACAACATATCCCTCAGAATCAACTAAACTCTGTAAACTTGAGCTTTTAGACTGATAATTACGAGACTTTTTCGGTCTATCAAAACTTTCAGTTTTCTTCAGAGATCTTCGATTATTGACAGTTGAATTATTTCCATTACGATTGGAATAACTTTTAAAAGAACTAGTTGAAGGAACAGCAAGATTTAACGAACTAATAGTAGAATGTGAAGAAGGCAAAGTTAAACTTCCATATCCTGATGCAGTTCCACCGTAAGTAGTATAAGAACTTGGATAATTTAAATTATTTATTGAATTTGTATACGGATTTTTCAGGTATGATTTTTTTGATGATTTACTGAGAGTTGGTGGAGTATAAGAATTTGGTGAATTAATTCCAAGATAATTAGTGAACCCACTTTGATTTGTAGCAAATAATCCTGCGATACTTCTTGGTCTATTGCCAAATATGGAACTACCATTGGCAGATGCTTGAGCACGTAAGCCAGCAGCCGTAGTAGGCTTTGCTTGAGCCCTTTTACGATAATTAGACATTACTTTAATGTTTAATATTTTTAAATATTGAAAATCAAAGTGATTCAGAGGAATAATTGACCTTATTGAAACTCATTAATATCCAAAACAAATCTCACGCGATTAATTCATAACTAATGAATACTTGATGATCTTGTGTTCCACGGCCACTGACAGCAAGTGTTTGACTGATGGAAAGTAGCCAGCAATACTCACAGCTCTGTTTGTCGTATTGCTTCCACCATTCTATTAATAGACAACACACAGTAGTCTACATAAACATCCAAATCTAAATTTCAAGGCATGCGTTTTTAATTCCCTAATTTACAATTCCGGTAAGTGGTATATTTAACAAGGATACTTTATTAACCTTGATAGAAAGGCCTCTAATTATTTTAAGCTAAATTTTTATTCTAATTTATTAGCTTTAAAGTTAGATGATCAGTTAAATATCAACAAATGTCAAGGGTTGATTTAAATGTCAAGATGATATTTTAATGTTTATCATTGTTAACTGATCATTTTTTCACTTATTTTTCGTTGATTCAAAAATATTTATAACTCTGTTCTTCATCGTGAATTTTTTTTTATGCTATAAATAATTAAAGTGAGTTCAATAGTCTATTGACTTTGAATATAAAATAAATAGAATTTTTTTATTAAAAAAATGTTCATCATTGTTCTATCAAATATATCTCTATATGTTTGAACAAATTCTGAAAATTTTAATCTATGTACGTAATTTTTTCAAGTTGTGTCAAAAAAAAAAAAATAATAATATCAAGCATTTCAATTGAAATAATGATTGTTTAAAAATAAATGTCACAACTGGTTTCTAATAAAAGATGTTAACAATAATTTTCTTATTTATAAAGTTTTTCACTACTACACAATGCTTGAGAATTTATATATTATATGAAACTATACTGAAAATATTTTTGGATACTCTTTAACGAGACTATTGACTCTCATTATCTTTCAGAAAGTATAAAATAATACAAAACAAAATACTGAATTATTCTATCCACCATTTACAATAAGTAGTTTTAAATAAAATTTTTAAAAATTATAAGAAACAAAAAAAAATGATCAATGATTAGTTTTGAAAATAAAATTTGCTTGAAACATTAACTAACATTGTATAGTAATTCTGTATAATATTCCAACATATTTTCTCGAGCATTCGAAGAATGAAATTTTTTGAGGACAAAAAATGAAATTTTCTCTTTGACACTTGGTTTCAAATATGTTTAAAGTGAGAAAAGCAACGGACACGCAAATTGTAATCTATTTTAATCCTGGTATGTAAGAATAGAGGTTAATCTTCTTCTGAAGCTGACCTAAAATTTAAGAGAACGGTGGTAAAATGTGAAATAGATTAGATGTAGTAGAATGATTATCACTCAATCTATGAATACATGCGAATTAGACATGACGTCTGCCAATAAATTCAACAAAATACATGGCAAAATGATACTCAAATTTGAATTATTAAGAGGGACGATAATTAGAAGAGTTAAAATAAGTTAATAAATTAAAAAATCAACTACTTATACAAACAGTGAAAATCAATCAAAATATTACATACTTCACTGTGATTGCTCTTGACTTCTTCATAATCACCACCAGTTGACGAGTCTTGTTTCTCTGGATCAATTTCCTAGAATAAAAAAAAATATATTAATAAATTAATAAAATTTATAAAAAAATAAACTAAACAATATTTGAAAATTGCTTTACGATAAAATAGAGCATCTAGATATTAATAGATATTGAGTTTGACGTCAAACCAAGTAGTGATCTGGCTCACCTACGCATTAACTTTTTGTGTAGGACAAGCTTTAAAAAATAAACATGCGTTAAAATCTCATTTATTTAATACTAACATCCATATCAACGTGAACTACTCCTGTTGATCTTCTTTTCGGCCTTCGTCTCCTTTGAATAACTGCTTGAGTTGCTTGGGCGTTTCTACTATCATTCTCCTTGTCTTGCTCTGAAAAAAGTAAAAAAAGTTTAAAATTAGAAACTATCCTATCTATTAATAAATTCTTCTCATTGTTGCTTTGCAAACCTTTATCTTCTGTTGATTTGACTGATCGTCTTAAAGGTAAAGTGACTGTTGCATCAGCAGTGCTTGTTGCTATCGATTCTACAGGTGCTGAACTTGGTCTTGGAACTCCAGTACCACCAGGAGGCCTTCTAATGTAAGCAGTCGTAGTGTCTGATGATTTATTATTGGCATCTTCTAGCTGAAACTAAATCAAAATATTTATTTTATAAGAAAAAAAAACAATTTCATTTTATTTGAATCATGTAATGCTTTTTAATTTGATATTCAGTTACAGAATATTGAATGAAACTTTCATTACTTTTTTGAGTTCAATAGAACCATTTGAATGATAAACAAAAAATGAGGAAATTGAATAGGCTATCAATAGCAGCATTTATTAATTTTGCAGAAGCTACAAACCTTGCTTCCATTATCTACTCTAAGCCTCCAAGACGGCCGTCTTTCGGGTAAATTAGTTTCCTCGGGAAGTTTATTTGTAGTGACGGTTGTAGGAGTAGCTGTTGTTATCGTAGCTATGATTGAGGCTGAGTGACCAACAGAAGCTGCAGGCTGAGTTATTATAAAAATTCATAAATAAATAAATAAAAATAAATATAAATATTGATCTTAATTTCTGAATTTTTTTTATTAATATTATGTAATTTAAAATTAATTTTTTTAATAAAAATTATTAATTACCTTGAAATTGTGCAAAAAAAATATTTGAATACGTTAAATAATTACATATTTTACATGTAAGCACATTAATAAATTATTTGGCAACACTTAGTAAATAGAACTAATAGAAAAATAATATTAATTGATTTAAAAAATGTATGTTATATAATTCATTATTTAATTAAAACGATAATCATAGGATTCTTGACTGAATTTTTATTTATTCAATCTCTGACATTTAATTTTTTTATTACTAATATTATTCAATTTATATAACAAAAATGTTTTATTGTTTTTATTTATTTAATTTTAATAATCATCTCAATAGTATTTTACTGATTGTCAATTGAATTATAAAATTTTTAAAATTATATTTCCAAAATATTTACTTTTTATTTCAATGAAAAGATTAAAAAGATAAATTTTTACCGGTGATGAAGATGAAGATGAGGAGGTTGTGGAGTCATTATTTTGTTGTTGTTTCTTTTTTACTAATTGTTCGGCACTTTTTATTTCGTCCAAAGTAACTCCTTGTGTCGAACGTCTTGTTTCACGAACTCTCTTTGCGTGAGCTTTTCTCTGAGTTTCACTTTCTTCATCACGAACAGGTGGCACAAAAGATCTGTATAAATTTTATCATTATTAAAAAAAATATAATTTCAATATATATAAAAATAATATGATTATTGAACACTGTCAAAATGTAATAAAATTTTATTTATCAAAAATAAAATGACACTTTTCAATAGCGAGCATCAAACCTAATCCAAGTAAAAATAAATTAAAGCACTCAGCAATGTTGTATAGAGATTAACCTAGCTTAATACAAATTGAAATTAATTAACAGTATAACTGTTTAAATTTAACCTTAGACTGACCATCAAATATAAATACACTTTTCAAGTATTTCAATGATAAAACTCATGAATTATTAGTTTTTAAAATATTATTACAGTATCAGTCTAATGTTAATATTGTATTAGATATTTTAAACTGTCTTTCTGGTGTTTAATAATGATAGAGTGGATTAGAGTGTCCAATGTAGTCGACGTAGTGCAGCTGTTGTCTATCAAGTATACAAATATTGAAATTATTTTTTCTTTTGAGTTACTTTATACATAAATAATATATACATGTAGTCAATGTAAAACTTATTAAAATTCTTCGTACGTAGATCCTAAATGTGTTGGCAAAAAAAAAATCATAGGGCAAAGCAAAATTCTCATGCCATCAATAAATAATGAGATAATTTTTAAAAAATTATTTCAATATAAATGATCAAAAAATATTCAACAAAATGATCACGCGAAAACGCAAATCACACGCCTCGACAGAGGCAGAGTGTTCCTTCACTCGACTGTGAAACCAGTACGCACTTGAAGAAATTTTTGAAGATATTCCCAGGACTGAGTTTGCTTGCAGGAGTACTGGGAGCTGAAGTAGTCGTCGATGAATTATGCGAGGGAGATATGTTTGCAGAGTTCGCCTCCACCGGTTGAGTGCTGTTCCAGTTATATTAAACGTTATATTTTATCTCTATTACCACTATTATAATTCTATTATCCATAGAGATCCACACTTTTATCCACACTTATCTGATAATTTTGTTTCAATAGTAAACATCTAACATACGCACCTACGAATTTGAGTGCCTGGGACTGGACTTGTGGTAGTTGTTGTGGCAGTAGAAGTAGAGCTAGTTGGTGTAGAACTAGTAGTAGATGTTGTTAAGACTGGTGATGATAAGTATTTGTTGGTGAGAGATGTTAGAGATGTAGAATTGCTCTCTTGAGGTACTCGAGACAGTTCCAAATTTAGTTTAACTTCTTTTCTTCTGGCAGAAAGATTAAAAAATTAATATTCATCAATTAACAATGATCATTCATCTATATTTAAATAGATTTTTAAAAGACTTTAAAGAAAAAAAAATGACAATAATTTATTTTGTTGAAAAAAAAAAAATAACACTTGTTTAATGATGATTTTAATGAATGCAGAAGCTACAGGTGTTATTTACTAACGCTTCACAGCGCAAAATTTTAATTACATGATTTTTCATGCACATATACCTGTGAGTCTCGCGTAAAGATGCAGACCGAGCGGTCGTAGCGTTGGTGTGGGTGGGAGTAGCTGGATTACAACGATGGAGTGTAGGGCAGGAAGATGCCTTGATGCGAGCTCGCAGTGCCAGGTACTGCTCATAGAACCTGCGCAACATGCATCATGCCATGCGTATTGCTATGCTCTAATATTTGTTTATGTTTATATTTAATTATCTAAATGATCTTCTCAAATTATACTATTACTGACAATTAATACACAATTTTAATTGATCAACAAATCTATGCTCTAGCAGCAAATAAAATGAAATGAATTAATTTTCTTTACATATACGCTGGCAAGTGTTATCTGCTGCATGGGATAAATGAATAAATGATAGCTTGAAAAAAACACTCGTGATTTTCATAAAACAAATGAATGGATGAAGCAACAAATTTTAATTAACAATTATTTATCAGCCAAATAACTATTATTAATATTACTATTTTATCTAATTCTTTCATGATTCATTTTTACGTACTTTTCATCCGTCTCAAAGCTATGAGTTCTTCGTAAGACAACTTCTGGTTCTGCATTCTGATTGACTTTAGTAGGAATTATTGGCGACTTTACTACAGGCTTCTCCTTATCATCTTTGATTTCTATAATAAAATAATAATCACGTAATTTATTATTCAAAATGACAATTGACGTATATGAAAATTCAAAAATTATTTCATCAATTTACCTTTATTAGTTGTTATTGAATTTGCAGGCTCAGTCTCTTGGATCTTTCTAAAAGATCCTGAACGACGCCAGGACGGTATTGTACCTTCTTCAGTATTTTCAGTCTGTTGTTTCGGTGGTAAAATTGGTGCCTGAATTTAAAAAAAAACATTTTTTAATATAAATTCAATCAACAATGAAGTAGGGCTATTTATTACATACTTGATTAGGAACCTTATTTATTTCCGGTGTCGTCACTGTAGGAATTGATCCATTATCATCTTTATTTGCTCTATTTTTTTTCTCTGTACAAAATATAAATCAATTTATTGATACTTATATATTTAAATACATAATTATTTTAACAAAAAATATATAGCATTTAACAATCAACAATCAATGAGATCGGACTGTAATATCAATATTGAGGGAAAATTTATTATTCTATTAATAGAAAAATGTAGACTTATTTTTACTAGTTATTTTTATTGTTATTATAACTCTTATTATTATATTTCGGCACGCGCTCTTACCGTCATCCGTTACACCTACAAATTGATTTGATTGATTCGAATGTTTGGAACTCGAGGAAGTTTGTGAGTCTGAGCTATTCTCAGAGTCACCCTCACCTTCACTCTCCCCATCTGAATCTGATTCTTCTCCACTTTCTATCCACGCAGCATGCATACGAAATTTGTAAATTATTTTTAGATAATATACTACTACTACTTATTCATTTTATTATTATTAATAAATTAATTGATATTAATATTGAAAAGAAGAAAAAAATTCGTATTAAACTCTACGGTAATGATTAATTGATTTATCGTTATAAATTTAATTAGTAGATAAGGTTCAATATCATCAATAGATACTCACCAATATCACTATTTGTATCAGCACTTGTCTCATCTTTATCTGATTGGATTTCTAATTCAACTTTAATCACTTTGTTTGGTGTTTCTTCTTCAAACGGTTCCATTAATTCATGAGGCACAACAGTATTTTCAATAGTTGGTGATACTCTGAAATATAAATAAATATGATTTAACATTAAATAAATATAACGATGAATAGATTATTTATTTATTTTTCAAAACTATTTTTACCTTTTCTTTGGTATTGGAAGTTGTTTTTGATTATTTAATTGTGGATTATCTTTCAACATTGTTTGTTGTTTTTTCTTCAACTCTTCTAAACTCTTAAGGATATCGCTATCAGCTATATCAAATGCTGTTTGACCCTATAAAATGATAAATTATTAATTAAAAAATAATAGAAAAAATATTATGAATCTTTCATTGACGTTTTTATTTACAGCGAAGTTTTTTATATCCATATCACAATAATTTTCAACAAGAAGTTTACAAGCATCTAATTGACCCCAGTGTGCTGCACCATGCAACGGCGTCCAACCGTCATAATCCTGAGCATTAACATCGCACCGAGCTTGTAATAAAATGCTAAAAATAATCATCAGAAATTAGTAAATTCATGTATATATGTATTTGTATATATAAAATCAATGAAGTAATAAATAAGTAGCATAAAAAAATGTACATACTGCATAACTTTTATATATCCTTTAGCAGCAGCTACATGAAGAGCAGTAGCACCTGAACGTGGATGTACTGCATCTTTACCTGGAGCACCAGATCGCCAAGCTTTGGCATCATTCAGCATTGATTGTTCTTCTTCACTTCTTGCTTTTGCACAATCAATACCTGAAAATCCCAATATAAAGCATGAGATTAAATTACTTTGTTTAATTTATTTTAAAACTTAACAACTAAGTATTTGAAGTCATATAAAATATTTTAAAATCTTACCAGCTTTATTGATATGTTGTTGAAGTAAATCTTCCATCTCATCGCTTTCTGCAATGTCAAGGGCAAGTTCACCATCATTATTTACAGCAGCTAAATTACAACCTTGCTCAATTAAGTACCTGAAAACCAATAAAGTAATTAAATGAAAAGTAAATATTATTTTCATGGCCATTTGAAAATAAATAAAGTAATTGTAAAATTACTTAGCAATTGATATGAATCCACAAGATGCTGTTGCATGTAGTGGAGTCCAACCCTCATTATCTCCACGATTTATATCAGCTCCTTGTTCAACTAAAAATTCTACCATGTCCAAATCATCATCTATACATGCCTAAAACAATGTAAAATAAAAATAAAAGAGTTTATAAATAAAATTTTATCAATGAAGGGTAAAGTAAATGATTGTTGTGAAAAATAAAATAAATGAATGGATAGGCTTTTTAAACTAGAAAAAAATATTTCGACTTAAAATTATCTATTACCTCATTCACAAGGTTTGTTGGATAATATAACATGTCTAAGTCTCGCCAAAAAAATAAACTATCTAGTAGAAGACTGACAAAGAGCGAAGACATATATATACCAGGGCTTGCGACTCCTAATAGTTATTTCTATAAATAGCTTTACTTCTTGGGTACACCACATTTCTCATCTCTACCATAAAGTCACAATTTTTCGTTTTTAAAACGATTTAACTAATTTAATTACTAACCTATGACATAATGTCAAGTGCATAGACTAAATTACATAATTTATTTTGTTTCCTTTAAAAAAAAAATCAGCGTAATTCAAAAAATTCCCTTCCTTTTTTTCCTCTTTACTTACAATATCTTATTAATAATTAAATGACATTCAATAAACCAAGCATAAATATTTATTAGAATCCATTTAGTTAATAGCTAATGTTTTTTTTTTATCAAGTAATATTTACTAATAGAATTTTTTATAGTTAAAAATTCTAATAAATTAGATGAAGTTACTTTTTATAGAATTATATGAAATTTTTAAAATTATAAATTTAAAAATCCGTTAGATGTTTATGTGTCTAATAAATAAATAAATCTCCTTTCACTAATCCTTCCAAAACAGTCATGTGCCTAATATATATTAAATTGTTATTGTACGATTCTATGAAAATTTTGGGAAAAAAAATTTAAACAAAAAAGAATATTTATCTTCAACTTAAACAGCAATTCACTGATGATTGATTATAAATATTTAATATTTTAATAAAAGCTGATATTTTTAAAGAAAACATCGAAAATATAATCATTACACTAAATGGTTGAAAATAATTATTAGGAAATTTCGGATAGAGCTAAAGAGTATTTCAAAATTGAGCAAATAGATATATATATATACATATATATAGAAAGAGAGATGTGTCTGTATATATATATATATATATATATATACATATTAAAAGAAAAACTATCAAATTAGACACTAAAGAAATTTAAAACTCGATAAGCAAGTGTAGACCTAGTAAAATTGATTACACTGCTTCAGTAGTAGTTGAAGTTAAATCTATGAAGCATACAATCATGACAGCATATAGTGGAATATCTGGCGAATCTGGTGCTGAAATTAGACAACTGGAGTAGGTAGCGGCCATTTTGCAGATGATAGAGCCAAGAGGCAGCTGGATTCAGCATCAAAGATTGATGATATGTTGATTGAATAAACTTATGATGTTCATCTGGTCTCACCTGGTGAAGTGCTGTGAGGCCATCGACATTGCCAGTGTTGATGTCCGCCCCTTTTTGAAGCAATCGTACAACTTCTTCCTTGTCGCCTGCTGCACATGCCGCAAGAAATACGCAATCGGCCGAGAACTTGATCTTTCGCGCGACTTGTCTCGGTTGGGCCGGTTCTCTATTGGTCTCAGATTGCTCCCAACGTTTGAGTTGTTCAGCTCTCTTGAAGAGTGCCGATGTTGATCGTGTCTCAAGAGACATCGTAGATTAATTGATAAAGTGATGCCTTGGAAACAATATAAATGACCACTATTGAACACCTCTTAGACTCTGTGCTTTCGTTTTATTTATCTTTATCACTCATACACTTTTGACCTCCGTAAATTACACTTGAAACTTGGTAACGTGTAATCACACATCAAACAGAACAACACCTCGCAATACTCCCAAGTATCAATCCTAGATCACAAATAAATCTTGATAACCCCATATATACCTTGTTAATCACTAACTGATAGTTTACTTGAAGATCTTGAAGACCGTCTTCAAAAATCCTGATGACCGATAGTGTATGGTGGGAGGGGCCCGCCGTCTTACCTAGATTGACTCGACAGCTCAATTCGCGTGTTCTTACACTTCCTAGCTACTTCTTAGCACGGCACCTTAGTCTCTTCACTCTTTTTCTTTCGATTCGCCGCTTGGCTGACGGCTATTCTTGGTCGACCGACCCGTGTCGTGTATTGGAGCAAAGCAGAGCAATGCTGCCGCTGCTCCCTATACCTACAGTCCAGCCAGACTACTCTAATGTCGATTTTCCTCTTTTAACACACAAGACACGCACTCTAATGGAGTTGACCAATCACCATTGGTTGCGCCATTTTTTATTCCAATTATATTTAACATTACTATTTAATTGTCCAATTATCTACTTATTTTATTAACACATTTAATTTTCGCTAATTATTATACTTCGGCATTTTTGAGTTTATTGATGTTAATCGTTACATTTTATTTAAAGAGTTTCTGCCATTTTGTTTCTCAACTCACTTATAATCGATTATCATATTTAATCTATCGAATTTTTCATTCAATTTCACGGTGTATTCGATATTTTTCGCGGGATATTCAAATAAATTATAGATTATTTATATTTTATAAAAAAATAAAGAAAAATATTCTTTAATTATTTTTCTTAGTTAAATTTTTTGAATAGAAATAATTTATATTCTTGTTTAAATTTTTTTTATGATCAATAAATATTTTTTAATTAATTAAAATACTAATCCAATGCAATTACACAATTATTTTTGAAAAAATTATTTAAAAAAAAAAAATAACACGAGTGCACCCTAACGGATGTTCAACGTAACAATATCTTTATGGCTGCTGTAACTTGACACAGTGAGATGTGTATGATTTTTGTAAAGATCTCAGTTATTTATAAGTCAATTTTAAAAACAATTTTATGTATATAAACTTTGTGTGATAGTAAGAAAGTAGTTTTGATTATTTAAAAGACAATTAAATTGATTGTAAAAAGGTGAATAAGTGAATTTTGTGTGACGCTGTAAGTGCGCAATCTACCGGGACGGACTTAGTGAAGAAAGACGGACCAACCGGTAAACGCGCGAGTGTTGAGGGCAAAAATCGTCCAGACAAAACGTACAGTTTTCGTTAAAAAAAAAGGTGTCGAGTGAGTCTGGAGTCTCATTTTTTGCTTAGTGATAGTGTGATATCTTAATTCTATATCTTATGAAGTCTTCTAAATATATCATTTAATCTCGTTTATAATTAGCGATGGCATTAAATTGAAATCGTAACTAAATATATCGATCTCCGATGTTGGTCATAAGATTGTATAAATGTAGTTTTCATGCTTTTAACGAGGACAAAAACTGGAAAAGCAAAAAATCGTGGTTACCGAGGAAAGCTTCAAATGCGTTTGAAGCTTCCAAGGTTGTATTCATGGAACTATGAACCTAGATTCATTATCTTTTACTTTATCACAAATTGATTATCTTACTTCTAATTTAAATAAGGAAAATTATCAAGCAAATCTTGAAGAAATTTCAGTTGTAAGTAGAAATAAATATTAACTTTATGAATGATTATAACCTTATCTAAGCAAATAGTTCGCCATGTGCATAGTTTGAGATCTTAAATCTCTTTGTCGATCAAGATATTATTTCCCATCATTCCTTCGCATATACTTCCGTTTCTCACAAACTAATACTTGTTTTTATTCTATATAATCTTTTATTAAGAGCAAACCTTTATAAGTTAAGTTTTTCAAGTATTTTGAAATTTTTGTCTATGTTATTTACCGTTAATTTATATAATTTTATATTTATAAAGTCATTGGTATGTGTGAAAATAACCTCTATTGCTTGAAGCTTTGTTAAAAAATTTAATAATTATCCAAGCATGCACGGGAAATCTCCAAAATTGTATTTATGTCCTAGTTAGTGCGGTGGAAAGGCCTAGAAGCGGACAAACACTTGCTCCGTTGTTTGTTTTCCCTTATCAACTTTAGTACAGAAGAAACTCCAAATTTTAGCTCCAGAGATTATTACCAAGTCCAATATTTTAAGAAAATTTTCGTGGATCTTTTGGACAAACCGTCATTGGTGATTCTCTTAACCTACGCTATTGACCATCCCCTCAATCAGCAGAAGGTAAAGAAGGATTAAGTTGCTAATTTTATTTCATTTAAAGTAATTTTAAAAACTATTGCTTCATCATTTTAATAAAAGCCTTTATTTTTTTAGGCACTCGAACCATCGCCAAATTTTTTTTTACAATTAAAACGTGTATTTGAGTTAACTTTACTTCAAGAAATTGTGTTTTCTCTTGCTTTAAGACAATCTGAAAATAAAGAAATAAGAACATTAGCATTAGAAAATATAAGAAAAAAACTACCTGACTTAGTGAAAAATTATATCAACTCAGACACTAATAGTAAAAACAAAGCAGGAGGTATTCATATTTCATCACCTCAAGTTTTACATTACATTCTCAGTGAAACTTTGAATAATTTACAGAAATTTGAAATTTCATTTGAATTAAAAGAACAATTTCTCAAACATTTGAGACACAATTTTCCCCGAAAATTAGCACCAGTGGTGCTTGCACCACTATTATATCCTGAAAGTGATAAAAATATATTAGACCATTCAACCATGGCTAATAATCAAATGGTAAATTAATTTTAATTATTTTACAATATAATTGATCAATTGTTTAAAAATTTATCCTAGTGAATGAAAAAATTTTATCATGAATTTATTGTTACAGGATCCAAACTCTTTTGTAGAGTTTGTGATGGAGCTAGGACCCACATTTACAAACAATGTGGATGAATGCAAATCAACTTTAACAGGTTTAGGGACTCGAGAGATCTCACCTTTGACTGTAGCTCGAATTCTTTCTCACATGGCTCGTGCCTGTAATAGTATAGAAGAAAATTTTTGGGGAAATTCATCAAATAACTCTGAAACTAACAAAGACAAAACTTCTGATGGAAATTCACTCAATAATTGGAATGTTGAAGTATTCGTACAAGCTTTAAAGGAGATACAATCAACTTTGTCTTGGAACGAAGTTATAGTAAAGTTAGACCACACGGATTTCCATATTAAAGATCGTCAAAGTTTAAATCTATTGATAACTGGTTTAAGACTTGGTTTACAACATCAGGGTTATCCTTTAGACGTATTTCCAGTGGAATTATTTTATCGTCATTGGGATAACTTTGAAGGACAATTTTCTCTCATTCAACAAATTTTAAAAAATCCAGACATCTTTTGCTTTGCTGATTATCCATATCATTCAGTGACAATAGATGGTTTGAAAGCAGCACCTGAAAGTGATAGTAAAGAAGCACAAACTTGGCGGTCATTAAATGTCGTAGAACTCTTATTACATTTGGCAGAGAGAGGACTTTATGGACAAGTTCAAGAAATATTCAAATGGCCTATTCAACACTGTCCAGACGTTCTTGTACTTGCATTACTCCAGATAAATCCACCAATTACAATTCTTCGTCAAGAATTGTTAGGTACTCTCATGCCTATATTCCTTGGAAATCATCCAAATTCAGCAGTAATCCTTCATCATGCCTGGCATGCTAATAATGTAAAAATAAAGACAATAATTATGCACTCAATGGCAGAGTGGTATCTTCGAGGAGATCATGATCAAACTCGGTTATCACGTATTTTAGATGTTGCACAAGATCTTAAAGCTCTCACTGCACTCTTAAAGGCTCAGTCTTTTCCATTTGTTATTGATCTCGCATGCTTGGCATCGCGACGTGAATATTTAAAGCTTGAAAAATGGTTCACTGATAAGATTCGTGATCATGGTGAAGCATTTGTAGCTGCTTCAATTAAATTCCTGCAAAGAAGATGTCCTCAAGTAATGAGTCCAGGACTTAAAGAAGATGCAATGGTTCCAAAAGCTAGTCAACTGCCTCAAGAAACATTGACAACTATGTTAGCTTGTTTACAAGTTTGTGCAGGAAATTTTTCTCAAGAGTGTTCCGATGCTATAATGACAATGATTAATAATTGTAGTATGATGTTGAACAAAGCTAATATAAATAGACCTCCTCCTCCAGGAGTCCTCAGACATCCAGTTTTAGATCCATTTAATCAAGTGAAATTGGCTGCACCTTTATTTTCATCAAAATCCATTGACACTTTAGGAAATTTAAGTACAGGCCTGGCTTCAATGAATCTTGGATCCAGTCTTGGACCATCAAGTAGTTCAGCATTTAATCTTCCAGGAGCACTGGGTCCATTAGTATCAACACCAGGATCACCATCACGTTTAATGGGGCCATCTCCAAATCCATTTCCAATGTTACCATTGTCTTCTCAACTTCATTCAGGACCAGTTGGTACTCAAGGTCCTGCAGTGATACCAGGAACAGCTACGATTGGTGGTGTTGGTCGTCTTGGCCCTCCTACAGGCTTAGAAAAAACTCGACTTCCTGAAACGTCCAGTCTATTTCCTGACATGGCTCAAAATGTATCAAAAGAAATTGAGGATGAAGCTAATAGTTATTTTATGGGAATATATAATCATTCTCCTCATCAAACTCTATCGATTGACGAAGTACTTGATATCTTAAAAAAGTTTCAAGATTCAGATAGCAAACGAGAACGTGAAGTATTTAATTGTATTTTACGTAATCTATTTGAAGAATATAGATTTTTTCCTCAATATCCTGAAAAAGAACTTCATATTACGGCTCAATTGTTTGGAGGAATTATTGAGCGTGGTTTAGTAAACAGTTATATGACTCTTGGACTTGCTTTGAGATTTGTTTTAGATGCTTTACGCAAGCCAGAAGGTAGTAAAATGTACTATTTTGGTATTGCTGCTCTTGATAGATTTAAAGGTAGATTGAAGGAGTATCAAACTTATTGTGAACACGTAAGAGCTATTCAACATTTTAGTGAATTTCCTGCTCATTTAATGGAATATGTTGAATATGGATTACAAGGACAAGAACCACCAACACGACCTCAAGGACCTGTGCTTCCTAAATCATTGGCTGTATTAAATCCTACGACTGCTTGGAAAACTATCACAACAACGACCATTACAACGAGTACAACGCAAGTCAAACCGTCAACAACTTCGACAACATCATTGTCAGCTAGACCATCGATTGCTAATGCAACCAATATCGATACTCTTTTAGTAGCTACTGACAAAGAAGAAAAAATAACATCGCCACCTGAAGCATTACAAGATAAAACTGCTTTTATTTTTAATAATCTCAGTCAACTTAACTTGCAGCAAAAATGTGATGAAATTAAAGACATTGTAACTGAAGAATACTGGCCATGGATGGCTCAATATTTAGTGATGAAACGTGCGAGTATAGAATTGAATTTTCATGTTCTTTATTCGAATTTCCTCGATTGTCTTAAAGTACCAGATGTAAATAAAATGGTTACCAGAGAAACTTTTAGAAATATCAAAGTCTTACTACGAAGTGACAAAGGAATAGCCAATTTTTCTGATCGTTCTCTACTGAAAAACTTGGGTCACTGGCTAGGAATGTTAACACTAGGAAGAAATAAACCCATTTTACAAGTAGATATTGATTTAAAAAGTTTACTCGTTGAAGCCTATCACAAAGGACAACAAGAACTTCTTTATGTAGTTCCATTTGTAGCTAAAGTTCTTGAAAGTTGTGCTAAAAGTCGTGTTTTTCGTCCTCCAAATCCATGGACCATGGCTATAATGAATGTACTGGCTGAATTACATCAAGAACCAGATTTAAAACTAAATCTTAAATTTGAAATTGAAGTGTTATGTAAAAATTTGAGTATTGACGTAGCTGAATTAAAACCGGCCGTCTATCTAAAAGATCCAGAAAAATTGAGAAATTTGGAGTATCAATTATCTCATCCAAATAAAAAATCTGAATCGGCCAATAGTCAACAGCAGCAGCAGCAACAACAACAGCAGCAGCAGCAACAACAACAACAACAGCAGCAGCAGCAGCAGCAACAGCAACAGCAGCAGCAACAACAACAACAGCAACAACAGGGTCCAGTGGAAGAACTTGTTGGAACTACAACTCCTGGAACTATTGTATCTCAACAAACACAACCCATTAATACTACTCCATCATTACCTACAGGTCCTCCAGAACCAAGATTTAACTATACAGACATTAGTGTAACAGGTGTTGCTAATATTGCTCAGCATATTACAATTAATAACCAGTTAACACTGCTTCAAACTCATCCATACTTGAAACAATTTATTAGACCTGCAGTGGAACGAGCTATACAAGAATGGATCCATCCTGTCGTTGATAGATCAATAAAAATAGCTTTAACAACTAGTGAACAAATTGTCCGTAAAGATTTTGCTTTAGATCCTGATGAAAATCGTATGAGAACAGCAGCAAGACAAATGGTTCGTAACTTGACCGCAGGAATGGCAATGATCACATGTAGAGATCAAATTTTAGCTTCAATTAGTAGTAATTTGAAAAATGCATTTTTAACAGCAATGATGGGATCAACTCCACAGCAAAAAGAACTTGCTGAACAGGCTGCAAATATAGTAGCAGCTGATAATATGGAATTGGCATGTGCTTTTGTTCAAAAAACTGCTATTGAAAAGGCTATGCCTGAAATGGATAAAAGATTATTAAATGAAATAGAACTTAGAAAAATTGCTCGTACTGAAGGAAGACGTTACTTTGATCCAGTAGTTAAGTATCAGGCAGAACGAATGCCAGAACAAATTCGATTAAAAGCTGGAGGTGTGACTCCTCAACAAATGACAGTTTATGAAGAATTTGCAAGAAATATACCTGGATTTTTACCGCTATCTGAAAGAGAAACTCAAGCTCTTTTTATCCCTAAACCAATCATAGAACCTACTGTTACTGCATTTGCTACTAATCCTGCAGTAGCTGTACCTACTGCACAACAAGTGGCTGTTTATGCTGCTGCTGCAGTTAATAATGATGAAGTAGGAAGTATGTTAGAAAAATTTGTAAATGAAGTTGAAGTATTATTAACTGCTATGGGACCTGCTGCTCCACATCCTCAACATGCTGCACTTCACAGCCTTATAGAATCAATTATTCTTACTAGACGATCACGAGATGCTGGTGCTGCAATGGCATTACTGAAAAAAGCTGTTGAAAGTTTATTAGATGGTCCAACTATATCTAGTGGAGTAACTGATTCAGAAATTGTCTTACGTTATCGAGAACTTCACTTAAGAATTTTAAAATGTCTTCAAGATCCAAGAGCTTATGGTATGCAATGGACAAATAAACATGTAACTCGTTGTTGGGCAGAATGTAGAGATGAATTTAGATACAATTTTGAGGCTGTTGATTGTCTAATAAGATCACATCTTATTAGTTTTCCGCAATTTGATGTTGCTCTAGCTCAAGCTATGGATGTTGGAAATGCAATGGCTACAGCATTTGCAATGCAACTAGTACAGTTGTATTTAATTGATGAAAGACAAACTACTCATGTTACTGAATCTGACTTATTCCATACTGTTGAAATCCTTGCTAAAATGGCTCATCATCGAGCACCACCTGATGGAATTCCTTTATTCCGACTTACATCATTAATGGAATCCCTTCGTGCTAATCATGATCCAGGAGTACTTGCTGATCGTGCACCAGCTGGTCCAACAGCTCATATTCATTCTGGAATTCTCCAGGTGCGAGTAAGTAAATATTTAAGAAATCTAGCTTCTTGATTATTTGTATAGAATAAAAATTATCATCATTTAATACAAATTTTAAATAATTTTGGTTTCTTAAATTATATCGAATATTTTTGAGCTATATATTTACTGTTATATTTATTATTTTTCAGGCTCGTGACTTTGACGACCCTCCAGGTTTAATGGAAAAGACAGAATATTTATTGAGAGAGTGGGTAACAATGCATCACAGTCCAAATCATGCTCGTGATCCCACCAAAGCATTTGGAATGTTCGTTCATCAAATGAACATTCATGGTATTCTGAAAACTGATGATTTAATTACGAGATTCTTCAAATTAAGCACTCAAATGTGTGTTGATCTCTGTTATCGTGCATTAGCTGAATCTAATGCAGCTCCATCAGCCGTACGTGCCAAATGTTTCTTAACTCTTGATGCTTTTGTTCGCCTAGTGGCATTGCTGGTCAAACACTCTGGTGATTCAACAAATACTTCAACAAAAATAAATTTACTAAACAAAGTTCTTGGAATCGTAGCTGGAGTATTACTTCAAGATCATGAAATGCGAGGAACTGATTTCCAACAATTACCATACCATCGTATTTTCATTATGTTATTTTTGGAATTATGTGCACCTGAACCCGTCCTAGAGGCTGTAAATTATCAAGTGTTAACAGCTTTCTGTCACACTCTTCACATTTTACGTCCAGCAAAAGCATCTGGATTTTGTTATGCTTGGTTAGAACTTGTTTCTCATAGAGTTTTTATTGGACGAATGCTAGCTATTACTCCTCAACAAAAATGTTGGGGAATGTATGCTCAGCTATTGATTGATCTTTTTAAATATCTAGCACCATATCTTCGTAATGCCGAACTAGCAAAACCTGTTCTTGTATTGTACAAAGGAACTCTTCGTGTTCTTCTGGTACTTCTTCATGATTTTCCAGAATTCCTATGTGATTATCATTATGGATTTTGCGATGCTATACCACCAAACTGCATACAAATGAGAAATTTAATTCTTAGTGCTTTTCCAAGAAATATGAGACTGCCGGATCCTTTTACGCCAAATTTGAAAGTCGATATGCTTCAAGAAATAGCTCATGCTCCTCGTGTACTTACTAATTTTGTTTCAATGATCCAACCGGTGAACTTCAAAAAGGAATTGGATTCATATCTGAAAGCTAGAGCACCTGTCACTTTCCTTTCTGAGCTCAGAAGTAGTTTGCAACAAGTATCTCAGGAAGCTGGAGTGCGTTACAACATTCAATTAATGAATGCTCTAGTACTCTACGTAGGAACTCAAGCTATAGCTTTTATACGTAATAAAGGTCACACACCTAGTATGACAACAATAGCACATTCTGCTCATATGGACATTTTCCAAAATCTAGCAGTTGATCTTGATACTGAAGGACGTTATTTATTTTTGAATGCAATCGCAAATCAATTACGTTATCCAAATAGCCATACTCATTACTTCAGTTGTACTTTACTTTATCTTTTTGCTGAAGCTAACACTGAAGCTATTCAAGAACAAATCACTCGAGTATTACTTGAACGACTTATCGTTAATAGACCACACCCTTGGGGTCTGTTGATTACATTTATTGAACTCATCAAAAATCCTACTTATAAATTTTGGACTCATGAATTTGTCCACTGTGCTCCTGAAATCGAAAAGTAAGTATTTATATTAATTCATTCCCCCCCCCCTCGTTAGAATTCGAATATACATTTTCATTCTTTTAACTTTTTCCAGGCTCTTTGAATCAGTAGCCAGATCATGTATGGTCCAAAAACAAGTACAGCCAACACCCGAGCCAGAAATACCAGAGTGATAAAAAATTACATCAATTATCATAGATTTTGTGTACAGTGAAAATCGTCAATATTGTCTGTATAAAGTTGCTATGTTTAAGTGTGTATAATACAATTGAACTTGGAAAGATTTTTTTTTTGTTTGATGAATTAAGTATAGAATCATCGTACATATATAAACTAAGTATATTATAAAATATGTAAGGCTAAATATTAATTAATATGTTAATATTTTAATAAAAATGTCACTCACCTGTAAAAAAATAGAAAAAAAATTAAGGAGCTCTACGTCGTAGTACGAAGCTTCAAAAATTGTGTCTTTCTTATAAAGTGTTGATTAAGGAAACTGAAACGTATTTTATATACAATAATTATTTCAGTACAAAATTATTATCAGTGTCAAAAAAAACACTAGATATCTATATTAAGATTCAAGTTAACAATGGTGTTCATAGACTTTATATAATTTAGAAAATTTTTTTATTTTTGTTTGAATTTAGTATTTACTGTATTTCCTCATAATAAATGGCACAGGTTTAATACTAGTATCTAAAATAATTCATACACAAAAGATCAAATATTTAATAATCACATTTATTATCAATATATCAATTTTTATGAATATTAGAAAGGAAGAAAAAAAAATGTATTATTTACTTTTTTTTTTTGTTCTATACACACAGTTTGTACAAATTGGAAGATAAATAACTTATCGAGATGTGATTTGATCTCGTGTTGCATGATAAGAATCTCGTTCTTTGTCTGGGAACTTTGTTGGAAGATTTGGACTATGTAGATGACATTTAGCTCGATATCTTATACCGGCTACATCTACTTCATAGTCTCCAGATAAAACATATTCATTTGATACTTGCTGAGGTTTCCCTTTTTCATCTAAATTTTCAATGAATCCAAGACATACCTTCATTTGATGATAAAACAAAATTTACATTATTATCTATTCATAATATTTTACGTACTATAAAAAAAAATTAATAATTACTTGGCTTCTAAAAGTGTATCCATATCCTGTGGTAGTTGTCATGCCACAATATTTTCCATTACGATAAATAGGTTCTCCACCCCAACACCATGTATCAAAATCAACATCATGATCAATTAGTAAAAGCTGAATGTATCTACGTTTAACACCAATCTCTCGTTGCTTCAATAAAGCATCACGGCCGATAAAATTTATGTCTTTCTATAATTAAATAGTACATTGATATATTTAATCAATAAGTTATCATTTTCCTTTAATGAAACTTACGTCAAATTTTACTCGCCAAGCACGTCCACATTCTAACGGAGTAGTAAAAGTATCCAAGTCTTGGCCCCAAAAGGCATAAAATTTTTCTACTCGTAAGGCACGAGTGGCGTAATATCCAGCATGTTTAATATTATATTTTTCTCCTGCTTCTACCAGTCTTGTATATACATGAAGAGCAAACTAAAATTATTTCATGTAATTAATTAAAAATCTTAGTAATTTAAAGGTGTTTGATGTTTACCTCATTTGGAATATATAAAACATAGCCAAGTTCACCAGTGTGAGTTAGATTCATAGTTCTTATTCCAGTAGCTAATCCAACATCAAGTTCTTTAAAAGTAAAAAAAGGGAAGTTTTTTGGACTAAGATCTGTATCAGTTAGTTCAGCTAATAATTGTCTGGTTGCTGGTCCTATAATACAAATTGCTGTGTAGGCTGAAGTTACATCAGATACAGCAACAGATCCATCTGAAGGTAAATGTCGTTTAATCCAGTGCTTACAACGAGTTTGTTGAATTGATGGTGCTATCATCATGTAGCTAAATAAAAATTTATTCTTTAGTCTATATATGTATATTTATTAAAACTCATAAAACTGATCAGATAACTTACTGATTATGGGCAATTCTAGCTAAACTACAATCATTCTCATATCCACCTCGATGGTTTTGCATTCCTGTATGAATAACATTCCCTACTGGTACATCGACGTCGTTAGAGCATAGATATTGAAGTAAATCCACTACTTCTGTTCCATTGGACTAGAAACATTTCCCAGAAAGATTTTTAACTTGATCTACATGTTATTTTATTTTATAATTAATAAATATTTTGTCTTACCCACAAATCGATTTTTGTAAAAGACGAATAATCACTCAGACCAATTGTTTCTCGGCAAGCAGCATACTCTCGAGCCACATGATCAAACCACGGTGGTTTACCAAATGTATTTGTGTATGCGATTTTATAATTTTCAAATTCATCAATGGGATCTAAATCTAAATGAATAAAAAGATAATTAAAGATAGAAATAAAACTAATTTGGATTAATTTTAAATGTAATGGATAAGTATAAATTGTATTATAAAATAACTACCAACTTCATGATCTGGTTCAAACCATGAAGGTCTTTCATATCCCATAACTTGTCCAAATACAGCACCAGCCGCTTTAAGTTTTGGATAAATTGGAGACATTCTTAGATTACGTCCAGTTTGAAATTCTAAATATGGATATTGCAATGCATAATGCACACTAGGGACTTCTCGGACTCGATCTCGTAAAAATTTTCTGTTATTATGAAGACCCAAAAACCGCGAAACCTCAAGTTCATACATATCTAATGATGTTGATCCATTAATTATAAGCTCAGCAGTAGCTCTACCAACTCCTCCAGCTGCTGATACTCCAATTGTCTTCATTCCTGCTGCTATATAATAATTTTTCATTTCTGGTGCTTCTCCAACAATCCATTTACAATCGGGAGAAAAAGCCTCTGGTCGATTACATAGCTTATCTAACTGAGCATCGCCCATACTTGGAATACGATGGAGCATTTGCTCAAGGAGAACATGAAAATGATCCCAATCTTCGGGTAAAATTCTTTCAGCTATACTTTCTGAAAATAAAATAATTCATTAACATACGATATTATTCTTCAATATATATGTGTTTATTTATTTATTAAATTCAATAAGTTACTATTTCAAAAGTTATTGAACATAAATGAACTTAAAAAATTTAACAAAGTTTAATTTTGAGTAGAAAAATTTACATTCAAGTCTAACCAGGAATTGATCCATCTTCAAAAGCTGGTTTTGCATCAGGCTCAAATCCACCTGCTAGCAATCGTCCTTCATTCTCACGAAAATAAATAAAACCGTCCAGATCTCTTATTACAGGAGTCATTGGATCTAATCCTGGAATTTTTTGTGTATGTAAATAGTAATGTTCTACAGGATGTAAGGGAACCTATTAATTATTGATTGATTAATTATTTTTAATTATTTATAAATAGATTTATGATTAATTTTACAAAGTCAATTACCTTAACGTAAGGATCACTGCATTTTCCAATATTTCTGGCCCAAAATCCGGCACAATTAACAAAATATTCACAGTCAACACTGCCACGTGATGTTTCTACTTTAGATACTCTCCCATTCGTACTCATGATTTTTGTTACTTGACAATTTTCGTAAACAGAAACACCTAAAATTATAGAAAACAAATAAAATAAATTAATATAGTCAAAAGAGAGATAATTTTACTAATATTTACCGTGCTTTTTAGCTTCCTGTAATAAACTTAAACATGTTTGATAAGGATCTGCAACACCATCACCAGGAATCCAAATACCACCAACTAAATCATCTACTTTTAGTAGTGGACATAAATTTGAAATTTCTTGAGGAGTCACTAGATAGCATTCAATATTTCTCGATCTATAATTTTTGAAAGATTAAATATTAAAAATTTTATATGTAATGAAACTTCAGTTAATTAAAAAAAAAACAAAACTTACACAGATTGTGCTTTCATTCGTCTAAATGTTGTCATCCTATCTCTAGTTCTAGCTAGACATAAGCTTCCACATTGTTTCCAACCAGTATCTAAACCCTTTTCTTCAAATTCTTTATAAAGTGAAATACTGTCTTGAGTAAGTTTCACTTGAAATAAGGAAGGTTTGAATGCTCCCACTAAACCAGAGGTATGCCAAGTAGCACCTTCGCCAATTCTAAATAATAAAATTTTATCAATCATCTTACAAATAAATGATTACTTTTAGATTAATCAAGATCACTGACCTTCCACTATCTACTAAAATAGTACGAGACCCCCAACCTGCAATAGCTAGATGGTAAGCTACAGCTGCTCCCATTACACCACCTCCACATATGACAACTTGTTTATCTTGGGGTAATATGTCATTACCATGATTTGTTTCGTTTAATTGATTAGCTGATACATGAATGGAACGCGAATTTAATAATGATCGATAAAAATTATTTAGCACACTCCATTGATAGTTTTTCCATTTGTTATAAAACTTTAATTTTTGTTGCCACATCTTGAAAGACTGAAATGATAAAAAAATAATGAATTAACAATGTTGTTGGAAACAATAGATAAAAGTTATAAAAAATATATAATCAATAAAATTTTACACTTCAGTAGATTTGTTAATTTAAAAATATTTCTAAAAATAGTTAATAACTTGAAAGAAAAAAATTATTGTTTGATGATAATGAGTGATGAACTGTCTACATTACAGACTACAATGACGTAATGTTTATATCGAATGCTAGTTTCTGCAAAAAAAATAAGAGAGCCATTCATGTATATTTCATTCGAAGACAATTACGCCATCTAATCTTAAATTTGATTTACAAATTTCAAAAAAAAGATGGACATTATTGAATTGAAAAATTTTTCAGTAAAATGCTTAGTGTGCAAATATTTTATGTAAACATTTACATATGAGCAAACACTTACGCAGAAATTAAAAGCACAAGAGGGATCATATATAGCATAGATTGTACATATGATCTTAAAGCACAACATTATCAACAACGTGTGCGGTTGATGATTGTTTTATTTACTTCTTTCATTGTAAAAATTTATGTTTAAAATGTGAAACAATTGTACTAACAAAGAAGCATTAAATTTAGTATTTAGTGTTGTGTATAGTGATTTTAGTAAAGATGATGAAATCCCACTTATTTTTTTTTCTAAAAGGAAAATTACTTTTGATCTATAGTTGGAGATGATTTCGCAAAAAATTATTAGTAAATTTTTAAAAAAAACATTCTATAAAATACAACATAAAGAATATTATCATTAACTATTATTGATTATTATTAACAAATGAATAGGTTTTCTTCATTATTTGAAAATGAAAAATTGAATCCAAAATATTTTTATTTTATTATGAAATTCATAGTATACAACATAATTTAATGAATATTTTACACTTTACAAACAATCTTTCTTTTGTATTAAATACTTTTATTATTGCATTCGAAATTTTGTTTGCTATTTACATACATTCAGATTATTAGATAAACAAATACTGTTTAAAAATATCTCAAATATTATTAAAATTTTAAAAATTTATTTTACAATAAAAACAAATATAAAAAAGAGGTTTAAAAAATATACAATGTGATTAATTAATCATTTTTAACAAAACTTGGATTAGTTTGTCCACCTTGGTCCTTCAATGCCAAGCTATTTCTTACATCCATATCTTCATCAATATCACTATTATTATCAATTAATTCAACATATTTGTAGCATTTTGCCATAACAGCAAATATTAACATGTCAACTATCATCAGCCCAGCGAAAAGGAAAAATTCTAATGCCTGTAAACAATTTTCATGAGTTTATGTCATCTTGCTAATCTAATTTTATTTCAAATCTATCATTAATAATTAGAAAATTGTCGTAACTTTACCTGCCGTTCAAAAATTTTCGCTTCTGCAATGATGACAACTATGAGATTACCAAAAGCAACGGTGAACAACCAGCCAGCCTGAAGTATAGACTTCATACTAATAGGAGCCTGAGTGAAGGCAAATTCTAAGCCAGTAATTGAAAACATCACTTCTCCCATTGTAATAATAATGAATTGCGGTATCATCCAAAGTATATGCATTGAATTTGGTTCAGTAACAGTAATTGAATTAACTTCAACTAGATCTTTTGAAGGAACATAAATTTCCAACGTATAAACACCACCAAGTTTTACAGTAATTTCTTTTCTAACTATTCCATTAACTTTTACTTCATATGTTCCTGGATCAAGCTCTGCTATTGTAGTATGATTCACTACTTGAGGTGCTAAACTATTGGTCGAAAAAGTTAATATAGTTTTATCCTTTTTAACTATGTCCACCATAGTTGTTCGATTATTTTCTAAAGTATTATAAGTAAGTACTCTGATGACAGGATTACCAGAATCTGTTTTATTTACACTATCTTCATATTTGTAAGGTGTTAAATCAGGTATTAAGACATAAGACATGGCTTTCTTCTCAATAACATTAAGATTACCTAAACCAGAATATATATAAATCAATATAAAGTAATATTGAGATGACAAGAGACATCATTATTTAACCGTAGGTTTGATTTTGATGTATATGTAATTTAAAAAAAGTTTTTTTTTGTATTTACATACCTTGTTGTGGGTCTTTGATGCCACAAATTGAAAAATTGGTGGAATAGTTCAAAGTTATTTCGTCTTTTACAACAATATTATTATCAACCCACATTCCCATAGCTGGTATATCATATGTATGATTATTAACATTAAATCCAATAGAACAATTTGTAGGATTAAATACCCTTAATTGTCCTAATCCCTCTGACGGTAAAATTGGATACGTTGTCTAAGAAAAAAAAATTAAAAAATAATTTGTCTTTTAAGAATAAAATAATTGATATGATATTTAAACATAAAAGTATTAACCTCAAGTTGTAGTTCAACGAGACCAGAGATAATAAAAGATACAGCTGCTAAAAAGCCACCAGTCGTCATTTTTTTGAGAGGTGTATTTATAAATTTAATTTTAGCCATTACTGGATAAATACATGTCTCAAAGATGGGAATAAAAATAACAATGAATAATGGGTTAATAACTTGTACTTGATCTGCTTTAAAGATATAACTTCCCATCTGACCATCCATTCTTGTTGCTTGAAAAGTCCATCGAGAGGCTTGTTGATCAAAAAGTGCCCAGAAAAATGGAAGAGGAATAAATAATGTCAAAATTTTCAATGTTGATTTAATATTACTTATTAGTTCAATGTCATATTTATCATCAGCATGATCTAGCCAATGTTGACGATTTACTTTGCTTGATTTTACTTTTTTATAAACTGCGTACTGTAATAATATAAAATAGTATTATGTCAAAAATTTATCGATTAAATAAATTTTTATTAATCAATATTTATCACTTACTGAAATACATTTCGTAACACTCAAGATCACATTGCCTTCAGGTTTTTTCATTCTGTACATTGGTTTTCCAAATAGGAATACAACTAGAACATTAAATATAACGATTTAATTATTTATTTGCTTGTTTTATAAATTATGATAAAAAGATAAAATATTAATAAATTACCTATAGAAACTATCATGAGGACTGCAGGTACAAAAAATGCTATTGAGTAACAAGTAGTATCACCAAAACATTTAACTCCATTTCGTAATTCAGGTGTAAGGAAAGTTGATACCAATGATCCAGAATTAATTGAAAAATAAAATACTGAAAAGAACATTGCTAAGTATTTTTCCTGTTGTGGAAGGATGAATTGATCACCACCAAAAGCTGCTACACATGGTTTTATTCCTCCAGAACCAATTGCAATTAGAAATAATCCAATTAACGAAAATTCTCTGTGTAAAAAAAAAATTGTATTGTTTTAATTAAAAATTCATGATTATTAGTAATAATTTTTGTATGTCAAGTAAAGTTACATAATAACAAATAAAATTATAAAAACAATCATAATGAAGGTCCTTTACATAAACTCTCTTATGTTGAAGAAAAAACAGGTTCAATGATAATTAAGCGATGAATCTTGAGTTAACGTAGCATGTTGCTGTGTTTATATAATAGTATGATAATTATGTATGGTGAAATCTCACCGAAAGTGGCACGAGTCCTTTGAACAGTACTTACTTACCTCATTGGTAATCCAAATGTTGGTGCTGCACTAGCTGATAATAAAAGCTGGCCAATAGCATAAACAATACTGAGATATAATATTGTTTTAAATTTTCCTAGTAATGAATCGGCTATTATTGCACCAAATAGTGGAAAAAAGTACACCAGCATTATAAAGACATGATAGATTACGGTAGATGTATCATAGCTGTACTCCAACTTTGTTTTGAGATAAAGGGCCAAAATAGCTAAAACAAATATATGTATTAATCATTTAATTCATCATTTTCCTTTCTCTTATCATTTAGTTTAATTTAACTTTTGTTTTAAAAATTTCTGATGTTTATTATTCTTTTTTTTTCTACAGATTCTTTCATGTTAGAGTTTACTTTACTGATATAATAAAGTTATTTCAATACTACTAAGTTAAAAATAATTAAAAACATTAATAATTAATTGATAAAATTATCTTTCAAAACATAGATAATAAAGCATAATAGTTGAAATAAAAGTTAACTTATACAGAATCAATTCTTACTATAATACAGATGATTGTTGAAGTAGTATTAATTAAAAAGATCATTAAACTATCATCCATCATCATTCTGTTTCATTTTCTTCAATTTGTTATTTTCAGAAGAATTATATTGTCAATAAATCTTGTCTTTCATTAAGAATAGACAAATGTGTAAAAAAATATCTTACTTCGTAACCCATAAAATGAAAATCGTTCACAGAATTCATTGCTCACAATAAAGAAGACGGACTTTGGATACTTGAGTTTCTGTAATAATTGATGTAATTATTAATTAAAATTCTCTTTTATCTAAAGATATTTAAAAATAAACATTCATTTTGATTATCTACAATATGACCTTTATATTATAACCTAAGACAATATTAAAATTTAAAAATATTATTAATTATTTCATCAATTATCTAAGTGAAATTTATCATGAGTTTATGTTTAATTGAACTTGAATATGTGTTTTCATAATATTTTTTCATCGTTTTGAATTATCAAGTGTCAGAAAAATTTATCATTAACCAAACTATTTTCACTTAATCTTGCAGTTAAAGACCAATATTAAATATCTAATCTTTATTTCATTCATTATAAAAATTTATTATTCCACATTTACGTCACGATCTTTTCTTTAATTATTTTATAAGTAAATTTTCATTTATTAATCTTTGTTTTTTTCTTTTTTTTTTATAGAAACTAGACATGATCAGTCATGAAGGAAGTATGTGTGTATCTATAAATGTCCAGAAATCACAAACGTCTGATACATTTTAATAAGAATTCAATGCCTTTCTCGTCAAGTATTTGACCTCTACTCATACCTTTGCTAACAAGTGGATAAGTATTGGCATCTTTCAATCAACAAAAGAAAGCAGACGTGTCGAGAGATTGTGATTAATCTAACTAATTTTGAAAATTAGAGTGTCTAACTTATTTGTTAATTTTTAATGTTTAATATTTTCTATAATTAATGTTTCTATTTCTAACTGTTCTATTTTACAGAGAAATTTAACCAAAAAATATCAAGGAAAGAGCACTGATTTAAATAAGATTAAATTCAATGATGAATCAAAATCAAATCAATCGTATAAAAACATGATTATTCATTGTTCACTAATTGTGAGTCATATAAAAAAAATGATAAAAGAACAGCCTCTCAAAGAATGTTTTTAAGTGATGATATTTTCATTTACTTTATTGGAGACTGAGTATCCTCAATTACTCAACTATGATTTCTAATTATAAAAGTTTTGATATTTATTGGCTTTTTAGAGTTTGAAAAACGATATAATCAAATAGCTAATATTATCTGACAGGTATTTAATTGATAGTTAACTGAAATTCGTCATGACTGATAAGTTGACATGCATTCAACAGCATCTATGTATATATAAATAATTATTATTTCATAATCGAAATTGTTGTAACAATTATTAGCAAAAATTATAGGAAGAAAAGTAGTATATAAATATTACCTTTTCTACAACACCTTTTTCACTCATTTTTTAAATAGTTTATATTACTAAACACAATAATAAATATAACAAATAATTCAGTAGTTTGTTTTTATGCAAATGACTTAAAAATAATTCAATTATAAAATTAATTCAAGTATATTTTTTTCTTTTTTTCATTAAAGAGTTGCTCCAATTTTGTATCTAATTTATAACAGTTTGTTGAACAATTTTCTAATAATTATTTACTATTTCCTTATCATTGTATTCATCATATAGATGTATTTTTACAAGAGACACAATATCAACCGCACGTTACCAAACCAACAATACAACTAACAATGTAAGCAATAGTGGGAACTGAGTTAAAGTATCAGTATGTCGAAGGCCGATGTGAGACCAGTCTTATGTGGGGATAACCAGCTTGACTTAACAATTTATTCTTCATACAAACTTTATCACTTATTGAATATGAATTATAATGGAAGTTATTTATTCAAATGGTTTATGAATGAATTAACTAATCACTCATGTTTTTTTTTTGCTTTTCATTCAATAATAATTTTCAAAGAGGTAAGCTGTGATGATATAGAGAGAAAGTACTTCTGGAAGATATATGAATTCATCAACTTTGGTTACATGATTGATGATAAAATTGAATATTAGCTACGGAGTAGAAAGTACAGACAAGATATCAATGAAGCGTAAAAAGCTAATCAATCTCAATAATTATAATTTCTAGTAGTAGTAGAGGTTCTTAACATTGAGGTCAATAATCTGTCAACTATCTTTTAAATTATATCACTAATCTTACGTTAGGAATGATAAAGTTCACGTCATAATTATATGAAACAGAGTTTAAAAATATTTTTAAAAATTAAAATTTATTGTTTTTAATTGTATTATTGAAAAATTCCCCTTTGATGACGAGTATATTTTTTTTGTTCTTCCCCAAAAATGAATTAACATTGATAAGAGAGATTTGAATCTAGAGACAGGACTTCCTTTTTGATATCATCAGAGTTTTCCTTCATCAATGTAATCAATAGAGATTTGATCATGTTTATTAAAAGATAGTTAATACTACCATGAAAATAAATATTTTTATCTGAATTTTACGTGTTAATAATAAGTAATATTAAACTATAACACATGAAATAAAATTTGTTGTAATCATTAAGTGATCTAATGACAATAAAAATTACCATAGAATGGAAAGATAATCATAATATTACATAGTGTATCAACGTCTAAATTGATTGTGAATATTTTATTAATAAGATATTAAAAATACTTGAGATGTATTAATAAAGAATATTTCATAAGATTCAATCTGATGAGCTTCATGATGTGAAAAAGTTAGCACCAATTACAATAGTAATTATAATAAATTCCTTTCAAGTTTTAAATGTGTAAATAAAAATGAATAGGTTCATGAATTGCTAGATTATGTCAAGGTCAGTAATATTTTATTTCATTGCCACTAAGAAAATTCTTTATCTTTTCTCTAGTATGAAATAGTCATATTTATTATCTTGAAGAAAATTATTGTCAGTAAATATGTAAAATAATAAATAAATAAACCTTACCTTTACTTCAGGTTCTATATGTTCACCTGCAGAACAGAAAGAAAATAACTTTATTTATCTCAAAAATAAAGTTAAGTTGTTAAAATAATTTTTCCTTCAAAGAATATCAATAAAAAAAATAATTCTCACCCCTTTGTAATGTTGACCCAGATGTGTTATCTCCATCCATGGCTAATTTTCAATTTTTATAGTTTTTCACTGGAAACAAGAATCAAGATAAGTTTAATAATAATGATAATAAAGCAGGAAGGATATAAGTTGTTACCATGAATTATAAATATTTCGTAAAACTTGGATTGCACTTACACCGATTAAGAGTGTTTATGTAGAGAATGCAGAATAATTTTATGCATCAAGTGAATACATGGAATGTTGCTCGATTATCAATGTGTCTTATCTTTATATATTTCGCACAGATTGGCAAGCCAATCATTGTCTTACCTTTCATTTTATCAAAAAACTGATAAAAGATTGTATTGAATAATAGGGATCAACTTTCAATCATCTGAATGTTCTTCAACATGAACTAATTTCTGTTTTATTTATTTATCTATGTCTGATGAATACTCTCTTGTATTGACAACAACGCAGATGACTTTTTTGGGATCATTCATAACAATCAGTTATAATCATCATTATAATTAACGAAAATTGTAATGATTATTTGAAAAATGCTGAAAAATTAGTCAAATAGCCTATTGAAAGATAACATGTTGTAAATCCAAAATGATAAAATATGGGCACTTATGGAATTTATAATAAAAATAATATTATTTGTAAATATATATTTAAAATTTTTTAAAAATTAGATATAATATTTTGATAAGATTGAATAATTTTTTAAAAATTTGTTTGTCAAGCTCACGATAAAAGCATTATTTAATTCGTTAAATCTTTAGCTTTTAACTGAAGACATTTGCATGCATTTAACTGCGCAGTTAAACTTTGAAAATGCGCGCTAATTTAGCACAATTTAGCGCCATCTATTTTGTTGCGAAAGAATTGACTCCGAAAAAGGAATCGATATTCAGCACTTTCTCCCGTGGAAAACAACACTTGCAAAACTCGTTTTCAATGACTGATCATTTTGGTAGCAATCTGCAAAGTATTTTAGATCTACAATTTGTGCTGAAAGGTGCATAAAAACTTACTTTTATCAGTGAACTTTTCGGAAAAGTTTTTTCTTTTCATGATGACGCAAAAGATTTGAAATTGTAAATACGTCGTTGTTCAGTGTCTTTAGTGTTTCTTATTTTTTTACTTTAATTGTCGTAACTAATTACGTTAAAGAAAATTTAAAAATTAGAACCATTTGGTCGACTTTTGGATACGTCTTTTAAGAAGTTGTTAGACCAGGTGGGAGTCATAAAGTTAAAGCAAAAAAAGTGACATGAAACAGCTAAGATTATTAGCCCTTTTTTAATTTTTTCTGTGTATAATAATCTTAAATTTTTAATTATTTTACAGATTGATTAAAGATGCATTTAAAAAGACTATTTAAAATAGTTAATAATTAGTTACTATATTTTAACCATTCTTCGCGTGCCAAAATAACCTTAAATTATACATGATAATTAAACAAACATAAAAAAATCTTTAAAATTTGTTATGAAGATAACAATTTCACTCATAACCTCAAAACTCTAAAGAAAAATTTACGACTTATTTACAAAATCTAAAACTATAAATTGTTTTACAAATATGGGGTTTGACATTAATAGATTTCAAGGAGAAGTTGACGAAGAACTTATTTGTCCAATTTGCTCAGGAGTTTTAGAGGATCCAGTTCAGGTATTAGAATTGTTTAATATCGATTATTATTTTCTCTTTAAATATCCACGATTTATTTTAATTTGAGAACGCCAATGCTTAAAACAAGTAATTTTTAATTTTTATTTAGTAAAAACTCTCTATAATATAATGTTTAATGAGTAATTACATAATAAAAAGTTATTTATCATTTTTTAAGTTTTTTAATTTGATATGTTTCCCAATTATTGCTAAATATTGGCGATAGATTTTTTTTTGCACGTTACAGAATTTAAATAGTAAAGCTTATAGATGACTGATAATTTTAATGAAATAAGCATTGGTGTTTTTAATCAAGTTAAAATTTTTAAAGCTATGCAGTATCTAAAGACCGGTAGGTGAGTGATGTGTTACAGGCTGCAGCATGTGAACATGCTTTTTGTCGAAGTTGTATTAACGAATGGATCAGTAGACAACCAACATGTCCTTTGGATAGAACACCAATTACACCAGCACAGTTAAGACCAGTTCCAAGAATACTGCGAAATCTTCTAGCTCGACTTTGTATTAATTGTGACAACACAGTGTACGGATGCCAAGCTGTTGTAAAGCTTGATAACCTTTTAACACATTTAGAAGAATGTGAATATAATCCTAAAAGACCAGTACCTTGTGAACAAGGTTGTAGTCTTATTATTCCTAAAGATGAGTTAAAAAATCACAATTGTGTGAGAGAATTAAGAAGTCTCATTCAATCACAACATCAAAAATTGAGTGATATGAAGAGAGAATTGAGCGAACAACAATTTCAAATAAATGAACAAAGAAGAGAGATTAATTTGTTAAAAGATTTCATGCGGGCTATGAGAGTATCTAATCCAGCAATGCGTGCAATAGCTGATCAAATGGAACGTGATGAAGTTGTTAGATGGTCTGCGACTCTTCCTCGTGCACGAGTAACCAGATGGGGTGGTATGATTTCTACTCCAGATGAACTTCTTCAGGTATTTTTATCAAATATTACTAATTAATCGATGAATTTTGAGTATCATCTTGAAAATGAAGCTCTAAAATACATTTATTTTTTTAATATTAATTAAATAAATAAATAAAAATATGAAATTCAATGACCAAAAATAATAATAATTGTTCAATTTTAATTACAGACAATGATTAAAAGAACACTATCAGAATATAACTGTCCTCCACATGTAATCGATGAGTTAATGGAAAATTGTCACGAGAGAAAATGGCCACCTGGATTGAGTTCATTAGAAACTAGACAGAATTCTCGACGTCAGTATGAAAACTATGTGTGCAAACGTGTTCCTGGTAAACAAGCTGTCCTAGTTCTTTACTGTGACAACACACATATGCCTGTAGACATGATGGTTGAACCCGGTCTTGTAATGATTTTCGCTCATGGCGTAGAATAGTTAATTCATACTTATCAAAAAGGCTCATAAGAGAAATATAAAACGCTTCTTAATAAATAATTAAAGTGACAAGTCATTATATTACAGTAAAATGATTTATTGTATTAATTATCAATTAATTTATCAGACAACTTAATTAGTTAAGTTAAAGTGCGAATTTTGGCCTTCATGAATATTGTTTATTTTTGCCTTGATTATAAAATATTCATATTTACACGAATAGTTGATTAAATATTAAGATATGTTTGTAAAAGTTTATTAAAGACTGGCGCGCAAATTATAACATATTCTTAATTTTTAAATCTTCTTATTCATAATACTGTTTAATATGAAAAATTATTTTTCCATATGATAAAACTCGATAATAAAATCGTATAAATTTATTTTTCAAAATATGTAATAATAACGATGATTAAAAGAAAATATTTAAAAAAAAAAAAAACAGTAATTGAAAAATGTAAAAATATCAAATAGCACTAGTGGCGGTAGATAAATAGTTGTGTGATGTATTGTTAACAAAAAAGACTGTGATATCATTGTTCACTATTATAAAAAATAATGTGAATACTCGAAGCATGAATTTTTTTTTTGTCTCGCTTCAATTCATGTTTCCTATCAGCTATTTTATTATTATATAGAATGTAAGAAAACTGATGTATGCGCACCATGTCTGATTGTAATTTATAAGAGTATAATTTAAGTTCTATTATATATATATACATATATATATATATATATATATATTTATATTTCTAATTGTCCAACCATTTCCAATATTAATTATTTCATTAATTATTCTTTTGTATTTATCATTTTTTGATCAATGTTCAATCAATAAGGAAATAAAGTAAAAAAGACTCAAATTATTAATATTTATTTATTAATTATTATAATGAGGTTCTTAGCATTTACTTAGTTTTATATCAAAATGACTTTATAAAATATTTATTTCAATGTGAAAAAACTTAATAAACTAAAGTTAACTTATATTACTTTTTGGTAAATCATGTCCTAATTAAATAACAGGACATACACCAGTTGTTACATGACCGTAAGATCGGTCTGGATCGAAACTTATTTCATTAGAATTAATAACGATGTTTTTTATACATCCAACATACTGCGCGTGTGATGTGCTGCCGCGTAATCGTTTTCCAAGAAGAGGATGTCCACCGACAAAAATGGGATGCTTTGATAACACACCTACTGAATTCTTACTTCCTCCTACTCCTGGAGGTGCTGATGCATGATCAACCGAAAGTAATACAGCATTTTTTTGTTTGACAGCTGAAAAAAATGTTGAATAAATATGATTATTAATTAGTTTTAAACAATAAAATATTTTTATTAATTCAAATGAATTACTAGAAGTGGAACACAATATTTAAATAACTTTTTTAGATATAATTATATAAATTTTATCATTAAATTTAATGCAATCGACGTATTATAACGGATATTTAAACAAATGTAAATTTATATACAAATAAGTATATTCTTCTTCTTACAAAACAGCAGTCATCACCAATTTAAATGCATTTAAAAAAAAAATGAAATGCATAGACTATCTTCCAATATTTTCGAATACTTTACATTAAGTAGATATTTGCGATTGATTTGAGGAACAAGTATGATGCTATCTCAAAAAACAAACCGAATTGTGGATGGTCAAAGCCGACCTTCTTGTTTATCAAAAACCTTGACCTTCAGTTTTAATATGTTGCTTTAAAACATAGTCTTTATGAAATATTCACGATTAAGATTGGTCTTCCTTGCATCTGTAGCGTATTTGTAAATGACCTGCTATTAAAGAATCGTGCTGAAGATATCTTCAGAAACCAATCTCCATAGATCAAGATCAAGTTCAATACTTTTTTAGAAATACTCTGTCTGACCTTAAATCTTATAGATAAAATAGCATGAGAACTAGGCAATAGTTGCAAATGATTTACTGAAATCTGAGAATAACTTTAAAAAAAAAGTGTATGATTTAAATTTACCTCATTTTTTCATGAATACATGACCTTATTTTGTAATAGCTATTTAGGATAGCATATTTAATCTGTTCAAGGAATTATTTCATTAAAATTTAAAAGATTTTACCTCTGATATTGTGCCAATTTCCATCACACAATGAGTTAGGCATCTTTGGTACAAAAGACGTTTCAATAGGACCTTTGGCAGTCTTAACTAAAAATTTAATAGTCCCATTGATCATTTCAAGAAGTAAAAAGTCTCGTCTTCCATGAACTGATAATAAATGTCCAGATGTTGAACGAGGCTTGATATCCATTTGGATATCCACTTTGCGTCCTACAGTGAATTTATCCACTAAAAAACATACAAATACCATAATAAATAAAAACTCGAGTCTTTTTTTTATAATTATTTTAAGTGTTAATTTAAAATCATCAACTTACTGGCTTTAAATAGATTACTTCCATTTCCAGGATAAAAGAAAATCCCGACTTCGACTTTATTTGAACATGGAATCACACCTATTTTTTCTTCTGGTTCACCAACAGATTGTCCATTGGTCATAAAGTTTGCCAGACAACCATTAAAAGTTTTGTTTATATTCTGGAAATAAAAATAAAGATAATAATTTAATAAATACATGATTTTAAAACAACAATAGACAATTTTTTTGATCATTATTAACTTACAATAGCTTCAAAAACATTAGCAGACAATTCTGGAAGAATTCCTCCAACATAGAAAGGTGGGTTAACATTAATAACCTCCGACTCTCCTGGAGAGTATCCTTGAACAATAGGATGTTCATCGACAATGAGTTCTCCAAAGTTTCCAACTCTTTTGAAAACAACAGTATGCCATTGATTGTCATTAATCTTGATTTCACTCTTTAATAAGCCCGGTCCAGTTCCACAGTTAAAGGTGTAATGAATCCTACCACCTTGGATGTAAACCGCGATCAAATTATTAGATTCTGAATCTGAACTGAAGAAAACTATTCCTTCATCATCAAGTGTTTTCAGATCAATTTGGAAATCAAAATCATTTCTATATCTTCCATTGAGCGATCTGTATTCAAGTCTACTGTGTCTAGCAGTTCCAAATCTCCATCCTGATTCTGATTCAGGATCTCTGGCAGGAATGTAGGGAAGCTTACATTGATCTACTGTATAAGGAGCTGAAGTAGTGGTAGAAGTAGTGGTTGTCGTTGTTGGTGTAGGTATTTCTACTTTTGGTGTTTCAACAGGTTGTTCAGTAATAACTGGATTTATTGGAACGCGTCCTTCTAATTCATTAGGTCCAGGTTCTACGGTATCTACTTCAACATCAACAATATTACTATTGGATGAAGGTCTCACATTGTCAGGAATATTTGGAATTGGTGGTGGTGGCCATATTCCAACGTCTGGTTCAGTAACAGGAACGGGTAAACTTTCTCCACCTAAACATTTTCCTAATAAAGCATTTGGACGTTCTTTAGCATTCGCAAAGTTTATAATTTCTCCATTTAACGTAGCATCTCCAATACATCCTATAAATGGTTCAGTAGTCTTAGAACCACCTTGAGAAATTCCTAAAGCATTAGGAATGCCTCCAATATAAAGATTACCCTTTTGAATATTCAAAGCTGGTGGTGGATCCTCTGATATATAATTTTCTACATCATCAATGTCAATTCTCAGAGCATTTTGATCATGAGTGGCAGTTATTACATGCCATTCATTATCATTAAATTTATTTCCTACACTGCTGCTTCTAACAACATCTCCTTGACTCTTGAATACTAGCATTCCGTCTTCAATTGATAGAACACTATTAGATGTTTGATCAGAATCTGTTGCATAAAAGATCAATCCATTATTTGCAGTAGTTTTGAATTTTAGATTAATTTGAAGTGATGGATCAGATGAGACATTTAACCAACGAACATATCCTGGAGATTTTTCTTCAAAGGATACAAGACTTGCAAATCTTACAGGACATCCTGGCATTACTCCAAATGCTTGAAGATTTCGGGTAAGATCAACAGAAGTATCAAGAATGACAACTTCATCAATACAACCTTCAAAGCCGGTTTTTGCAACAGATGCGTACGGGTGTCTTAAATTCGGTGGGTATCCACCAAAATAGATATGGTCTAATGATATTAGAGTTTTTCCACGTTCATCACCATCACTTTTAGCCACTACTTTTCCATCAATTTCTAATACTCCAATATTCTCAAACCTTCTTGCTTCTAAGCTATGCCACTGGCCGTCGTTATATTTCTGAGGAGATTTTAGAGAAATTGGACCCTCTCCTAATTCAAACTGGAATGAAATATGACCATTTTGGATATCTAGAGCCAAGAAATATGGACCGTTTCCCATTAAATACATTAAACCATCTTCTGCAAATGTCTTAAAGATCATTTTCAAACTAAATTTGGAAGGGTCGTGACGAATTTGTGAATTTTTCATACTTAAAATTGCATAGCCATTCTTATCAAACCTATAACCAGTGCTAGGAGTAAAATCAACGAGTTTATCTCGTTCTATTGCACCTTCATAATTATTCTCTCCTTTAACAAAGTTCCAAAATGATACTGGAATCTCTCCAATCATCAATTCTTCCATTTGACCCTCAAATGATGAGGCTGTTACTACATCTTGAATTTGGAATGATGAAGGGTATCCACCAACAAATAATTTCGAATGTTCTTGATCTAAATTAAATATTGAATAAGTTCCTGGAATTACTTGTTCTTTGATAAATTGTTCAACTCTTCCTTCTCCTGAATCTTCTTTAACAATCAATTTTATATTTTTCCCAGTTCTATCAACGACAATCTGTCTCCAAACATTATCAGATACAAATTTGTTATTTATAATTTTCATTGGACCTGATCCAAAGTCAATCATAAGCACTGGATATCCACTTTCAATTGTCAATGCCAAGAAATCATGAGTTTTATGACGGGATATTTTTTCTTTTTCTTCATTTCCAAGATAAAGTAAGAGTCCATTTGTTTTGTCAGTTCTAAAGTATACAGATAATTTTGTTGAAGTTGCTAATAAAGGTAAACCTTCTGGATTTTTCAATTGAAGTGTTGTATTTCTATAGAATGTTAAACCAATCTTAAATCTATCAGCTAATTCTCTTGCATTTGCTACTTTATTTTTCAACTCTTCAATCTTATTCTTCAAATCATCACTACTAGAGTCTATGTTATTTTGAGTTTCTCCAACTTTATCTAATAGCTCAGTCATATTGGGAAGAATTTTACTCACGGAGTCAAGTTGTTTTTTTGCTTGAGAAATATCTCGAATTGAATCTGAAGTATCTTTGCTTAAATTCTTAGCTTCTTTCAAGTCGTTTGGAATTCTATTAACAACTCCGTTCATGTTATCCATTACTTTGATGACAATAGCTTCCACTTTGTTTGCTTCTTCTGTGATATCATCAGTTGGTGATCCAGAAGTACTTCGAAGATGATCTAATGTATTATTAATACGCTCTAGAGCATCAGTATTTTTTTTATTTAAATGTGCAATGTAATCATTTGTCGCAGTAGCTTCATCTAAATCATCTTCAAGTTTTTTATCAGTTAAATTGAATGCAGAATTTGCTGCTGTTAAGAGATCGAATGATTTTTTTCGAGTTTCTTCAGCTTTTTTATCAATTCCATATGATAAAGCAGTAGCATTACTTGCTGCTTGAACTGCTTCGTATGTGGCATCAGTAGCTTCTTTAATTGCTCGTTCAATATCTCTGTATGCTGATACTGCTCTCACTGCACTTGTATTACGAGTGTCTGTTAAAACACTATCTATTTCTAATGAAAGAATGTAGAGACCTTGTGCGTGTTTATCAGCTTCGGTAACAACAGTAAAGACTTCAAGTAACTCGTCGTCGTTTTGATTTAGTGTATCATTCAATCGAGTTATAGATTGCTCATGTTGTGCCTTGATATCATCTAAAGAAAAAAAACGATACATTATTAATAGTATTAAATAATGTCAATATATTTTAGTTTGACGCCATTCTCATTTAAATGTAATATAAGTTAATAAAATTATTCAATACTAACCTAAAGTTTTAAATCTAATTTCAGCTTCATTTAAATAAATCGTAGCATTTTTATTCAAATTTTTTCCAGCCACAATATCATCCTGACTCTCAGTCGTTGCATTTTTAACCAAATCGAAATTTCTTAATTCGGTTGATTTTTTATTTATATTAATTACATTCTCTGCATCACGAGTTAATTTGTGAGCTCGGTCAGTAATTTCAAATAAATCATCAACTTTTAATTTGAAATTTTCAATTTTTTCACTTACTTTATCAGCAGCGGAACTAAGGTTACTAACTGGGAAATTGTACTCTGTCATTTCCGACCATAAAACATTGGCCTGGTCTGCATGATCGAGTGCTTTATCTCTAAAATTAGTAAATGAAACATTTTGAATTTTTTTCAAGATTTCATTAGCTTCCTTTAAAGCACTATCAATTTTTGCTGCTGATCCAAGGCCAATATTTGCTGCTAAAGATTGTATTTCTGATATAATTGCATTAACCAAATGTATTTCTTTAACAACATCCGTTTCTAATTCATTCATTGCATTCAAAGTGTTTTCTGCTCCATCTTTCCATCTTATACTGTCTTCAGCAGTATACTCTATATTCCTCTTCTGATTTGCAACGTCTAGAGAAAGTTGTGAAATGTCTTGCTGTAAAGGCAATAGATCGACTCGACTGGAATCTAAATCTTTAACTTCTGGATAAAGTTGATTAATAGTATCATTGACAAATTTCAACCTCTGATTAGTGTAATAACTTTCAGCAACTGAATTAAAGTCTTCCGCTACTGGAGATAACAAAGATTCTAATTCATCAGTTACATCTAAAAGATCATGAATACAAGAGTCACATTCATAACATCCATCTTCTTTTTTTAGAACCCAACGATATGGACAATGATCACATTTTTCTCCAATTACTCCCGGAAGACAAGAACATTGTCCAGTTGTTGTATTACAAGAAGCACCAATCGAATATCCAGTATTACAGTTACATGATATACAACCTTCTGGTCCATAATTCCAATATCCAGCGATACATCTATCACACTTTCTGCCGGTGACTCCTGGTTTGCATTTACATTGACCGGTTTGTTCGTCACATTGTGCATACTCTGATGCTAAATCACAATCACATGCCTGGCATCCGTTACAAGAATCAAAACCATAGTGATTTTCAGCACATCTATCACATTTTTCACCAACGACGTTTGGTTTACATTCGCAAAGTCCATTGTAACTGTCACATCTATCCATACCACAAGGTTCACACATACAAGTTTGACAATCTTTACGCTCAACAGCATCTCCAAAGTATCCTGGTGCACATAAGTTACAAGCTTCTCCATAGGTATTGTTTAAACAATGTAAACATTCACCAGTTAATGAATCACAAGAACCAATATCATTTGTGTCAATGTTTCCTGAACATTCACAAGGTTTACAAAATTCACCTTCAACTTCTGGATCTCCATAATATCCTGCAGCACAAGATTTACAACGAGCACCATAATAACCTGGAAGACATTGACAACTAATTTTTGTTCCATCACTACTGACTTCACAACCAGTAGCAAAGTTATTAGAAGGAATTGGTAGAGGACAAGCACAAATTAAACAGTCTGTTGGTGTTCCAACTGTTGCATTTCCGTAATAACCTTGTTCACAAAGTTCACAATGATCTCCAGTCGTTCCATCTTTGCAATTCTGTAAAATAATAAAATAAAATATTTTATAAATTAACGGACATAAATTATGCATCTAAAACGATTGATTATAATTGACAAAACTTACATGACAAATGCCTGTTTTAACATCACAAGTATCTGCATGCCCATTGCACTGACATCTTACACAAGATCCACCATAAGGTCCAGATTCAACTCTATAGTATCCAGGAGCACATTCTTCACAAGAAAGACCTTGATAATTTGGTGGACATTGACACTGCTCTACACTACTTGCCAAAACACTACCAGGAGAATATTCTTTAGTTGCAATATCCAATGTAACATCAGAAAGTGAGACAGAAATAGTTGGATCCCAATAAATAGCTCTAATATAAATTCCTCGTAAATTTTCCAAAGTAACTAACAACTGTTCGCGAGAAACTTCTTGGTTTGTAGGAGTAACAAAATTAGTTTCTATCAATGCCATAGAAGTTCTAAAAACAGTAGATTGAGGTGGTTGTTCTTCTCCATAATATAAAAGTACAGAATCACCTCCAATTAGAATTACATCAGGACCCGGTATTGCTTTACCAAATAGTCCATCGGTATAATAAATTGTGTAATTTAATGTTCCTCCGTATGATGTAAGCTTTTTACCTAAATAATTTCCAGGCGCTGAGAAATAGACAATATTATTCCGTGTTTCATTGTCATTAGGATTAATAACAATCGAGGAATCATTGAATTCTTGAGGAATCATTGAAAGAACTGTTACATTTCCAGTTTTATCATTTATTAAAACGATATCCCAATCAATCATATTGTATGTGAAATCTCGATAAAGATTGGCAGAATCACAGCGAGTTGTTTTTCCAAAACAGAAACACTTACTACAACCTACTTGATTACTTTCTTGAAGATTAAATGTTCCTTCTTTACATACATCACAAGCAGATCCTTGAACATTTGTTTTACAAAAACAATCAGCAGTATATTGATCACAAATCTCTTCAGTGGTTCCTTTAATGTCACAATCACATTTTTGACAATATGGAAATTGTGAATATCCATTTTGACATCTGCTACATTGACGTCCAACAACATTTTCCCTACATTTACATGTTCCATTAAGTAAATCACATTGCAGGTCTCCATTTGCTACACCAGCAGGATTACAATTACACTCTTCACACCCAATAACTGGATGGAAACCATAAGTTCCTTCTTCACAGCGATCACATCGTTCTCCAGTTACACGTGCTGGACATTGACATTCACCAGTCTCAGTACAGATTGCAGTACGTGGACAATTACATCGCCTACAATTGGGGTATCCATAAAAGCCAGTTTTACAAGTGTCACATCGACGCCCTATAACGTTAGGTTTGCAGGGACATTGACCACCAAATTGAGCACATTGAAAACTCGTTGATCCAATAACGTTACACTGACAAGGTAACGCTCCATTATTATAATTAGTTGTCAATGAAAAAATAGAATCCCTACAGAAGCCTTCTTCAGTAGTATTAATGTAAAAGTGATTATTACCGCATCTTTTAATAAACTCTTTTGTCTGATCAAATTGAATTTTTTTAAGAATTTTATCATCATACTGACCAGCTGGAATAATCAAAATATAGTCTAACCAAATACCATTGCCTGGATTTTTGAAGCTCAATACAACATTTTCAATTAATTGGAATTTGGAGTTGCCATCGAATTGTTTTATAATACTTCTACATCCACTATTACTTGGGCAATGTGGTACTGCGACTTTAGATTCGTAAAATTTACCATTCTGAACTAATACTTCTATTTCGAATTCAGGATAATCAGGTTGGTAATATTGAACAACAAAGATGTAATCTCCAGGTTGTGGAACTTTAGTCTTGATATCAATCATCGGTTTATTACCACTTAAATAAATTAATTTAGTTGAATTATCAAATATAATTAAAGGACGAGTACCATCCTCTAAATCTTCATTGTTAGCTTCGAACTCTACTTTCTTTGCTTCAACTCCAGCTGGGAATATTCCTTGAACACATTTACCATTCTTTCTAACACAAACTGACTTAGGTTTGATATAATCCAATGACCATTGATCATGAGGAATAGCTACTATTGAATCGATAGCTACATTGGAATTAGGTTCACCAGTTAAGACAAGTGTTGCATAATTTGTTGAAAAATTGGAAACAGTAACTTTTCCGTATCTATCAGTAATAACTTGTCTACAAGCGCTGGTGTATCTACATGGATAAAGAGTAGCTTTGCCTTTGTCACCATTTGTTTCAATAACAAGTGTAGAACTTGAAGAAGCATCCTTTGAAGTGATGTAGGAAATTAATAAAACATATAAACCTGGTTTTGATACACGATATTCAAAGTGAATTTCTTTTTGTTTATTATTAATTAATGGTAAATCATCTTTTCCGAGCTCTCTAAGTATTTCACGTTCTGAGAAATATTCTGTTAATGGATATCTTGCTCCACCTTCATTAAGGAAACCTCCAGCTCCACGAACTGAATCAAAGTGTTGTAAATTAGGATAATCATAGTGTCTACAGAGCCCGTGATAACCAATTTCACAAGGAATATCTACGTCTTGGGTTAAAATTGTGGCTTCGTAATATTCAGCTGGTAAGAGAACGAAATAATCAAGGAATAAATTTTTTTCAGTGGCAATACTGATAGACCAATAGCCAGGATTCATGACCATTGGAGCAGGAAGATTACCATGAATTCCAGCTACTGTGACAAAAGCCGGTTCATTTGTGGGTTTTAACTGAACTTTGAAAGTTTGTTCAACTTCTTGAGGATGTTCTGGAGTGATTTTTATTGTACCCGTAACTGGTTCTGCATTTTTATTAACAAATCTTAAAACCATACGATAGAAAGATGATTTCATAATATAAACTCGTTGAATTATTTCATTCTGGAAAGAGGAAAATAATGCATAACCTTTCGAACTATAACCAGGGAAAGTATCTTCAGCAAATCCATAACGAACTTGACTTCCACTTGGAGTTTTTCCATCTTCAACTTCATACTGGAATTGATGGAGAGTTGGAAAATAATGAGCTTGAAGAGGCTCTCGACAGGTTTGCCCAATAACTCGAGGTTGACATGAACACTGTCCTGTATCTTTATCACAAACTGGTCCAGTTGATCCTCCGATATCACAAGAACAGCGCGAACAACCGAATAAATTAGATTCTTGGAGATTATAAGTACCATCAATACACTCAGAACAATCTCGATTTGTTACTCCATTCTTACAAATACATTGACCGGATTTAGAATCACATTCTCCTATGTTGCCGATAACTCCAGATAGATTACAGTCACAATCTTGACAACCATCAGGATTTGATGGTAATAAGTTCCAGTAGAGCGGTTTACATTGATTACATATTCGTCCTTGGACACGATCTTTACATTGACATAATTCTCCAGCAGGAAGAGAACCACATCCTCGGAAGGATTCTACTACTCCAGAAGGATCGCAATTGCAACCTTCGCAACGTGGAAAATTATAAAATCCTTCTTTACATTGATTACATTGAAGACCGTCAAAATTTTCATGACACTGACATTTGCCTTCAGCATCACAGGAAACTCCTATTGATCCATGACTATCACATTCACAACCTGTAAATAAAGTTTTGTTTAAAAAATAATTATAGTTAAGATGATCTCTTAGTTATTCTCATACTCACTTATACATTCAGGATATTTATAGTATCCAGGACTGCATTGATCACAGGTTCTTCCTGCAAAGTTTCCCAGACATGAACATTTTCCGCTTGAATCACAACTACTTGATGGAGAGCCAACTGTACTGCAATTACAAGGCCTACAATTAGGATAGCCGTAATAACCATTGATACATTGATCGCATCGTTCGCCACCGTAGCCTTCTTTACACAAACATGAACCATCCTTTTTGTCACATATTTCTGGTCGAGTTCCTCTTGCATCGCAATTACAGTCTATAAATAATTCAATGAAATGAATGAATTAATTGAAAAACTTTGAAATAAATTAAATAATTAAAAATTGTATTTATACTTACATTGACATACTGGATAACTGTAATATCCATTTTCACAATTACTGCACGTCCTACCACCATAATTATTTTTACAAGTACAATTACCAGTAAATGGATCACAAACATCACGAAGTGAGCCTTGAAGGTTACATTCACAAGCTGTAAGAATTATATAAATAAAAAAAATAAATATGTTAATTCATTTGTGATTTAACAAAAATAGTTGAATTAATTTCAGTCAAAAATACGTACGTAAACATTCAGGAAAATTATAAAATCCTTCTGCACAAAGATTACAATAACCTCCAGCATAATTTGGTTTGCAAGGACAAATACCATTCAGAGCTTCACAGTGATAGCCATCAGTTCCATTAAGATTACATTCACAAGGCCGACAATCAGGATATCCGAAGAATCCATACGCACAAGAGTCACAGTCTGGTTCCGTATATTCTGGACGACATTCACATTTTCCAGTTGATTCCGCACAGTTTCCAGTTGAATTGAAGAAATTACAATTACATGCTAAAATTTACAATTATTTATATTAACATTAGATAACTATTCAATAATCAAAGAGAAAATTTTAAAAATTAACCCCAAAGAAAAAAAAATGAATCAATTAAAATTAATTAAGAGAAAATAACAATGACCATCAATGAAACAATTGAATAAAATAACTGTAAAAAATTACGTTGACAAACGTCGGTGGCATTAAGTGGTTTTCCCGCTGGTCGGTAATATTTTGACTTGCAGTGGTTACAATTAATTCCTTGAGTATTATGTGCGCAATTTTTACAAACACCACCACCCTCATAATTTCCATGAATATCTAATGACTGATGTTTTTCATCAACTATAGGATCATATATACACTCCGTTGTGTGTCCAAAACAGTTGCATGCTGCAAAACAAAAAACATTTATTGAAATACATAATAACTTTCAGTTCTTTAACATGTTTGGTGTCGGTTATAGATAAAATATTCTAGATATGTGTTTATTAGATAAAAAATTACATACGCTCGCAAGTGAATTTCTTGAAAGCTGTAGATATTTGCCATTTTTTTTGTTGAAATCCAGGAAGACAAGAGGCACATTGAGGACCGTAAGTATTATGTTGACAAATACACTCAAGTTTATTCGGTTGTTTTGGATCGCGAATATCACATGTGTCTGCATGTCCATTACACATACATCGTCCACCGATACTAATGTCTTTGATTGAGTAAAAATACTAGACAAACAAATGTTATCAATTTATTTACATACTTTCAAAGCCATCTTGAAATTAACATAACCCATTATCCGAAAAGATTGGAATAAAATTAATTCGTGTTGTATTTATCAGTTATGTCGAATAAAAAGTACATACCCTTCTCGTAACTGTTGTATCCTGTCGAGCTACAGACATTAAATGTCCTAAGAAATTCTTTGTTCTTAGAAACCGAAATCTCACATTGGTAGCACGAGTCCATTCTTGGAGTACAGTTGAGTTGAAATAATGCAAAGCAGATGGTCGATTATTTAAAATTGATATCGGAATTTCACCACCTTCTAGTGGCACAATCTTTGAATATTCTGTCGTACAAATGACACTGTCATCTCGAGTAATTTGCGTACGACTATCAACACCAAAAAATGTCAAACAATCACTTGCAGAATCAGAAAAATATTGCCACGGTTGCCATGTCTTTCCATAATCTTTTGATTTTTCTAAAACCCAAAGTCCTGGGCGTGGTGAATTGCCCATTTTGATGAAAACATAGGCTACATGAAATTCCTGAAAAATAACAGAATATTGAATGTACATAAATTTAAATTGTATTTTTTGTTTTTATTATTGAAAATAACATTCAACATCATTCTAGAAACAATCTAAATGTCAGATTTTAAAGAAAATGCTTGCCATAGCCCTGCATTAATATAACATTTAAAATAAAATATATTTATCTAGAAATAGTTTTTAAATTTTTCCATCATTTCCCAGTAGATAAAATTTTATCAATACCAAAAACATGTGAAAAATAGTCAGAGGGTCGAGAGTAAATTTTCTAAGACGCATCAAAGGGTCTTGGTTGTGGATGGTCTGCAGATGTGTGTTATTTGAAACTTTAAATTACATTATATTTATTTTCATCTCTCTCACTCTTTTACTTCTTTTTCTCTACAAAACACATGTGCGGGTATGTTATGAACGGTCCTCTCGACCTACTGCAGAGATCTATCCAGACCTTCTTAGAACATTAAATCGTTGTATGAGTTTATGATTTTGTGAGGTACCAACAACATCATATCAAATAAACATATGCATTCATTTTATTCTACATAGTGAATACCAATATGTTATCTTTATTATTATTAATTTATCTTCATTTTATCAAATATATCTAGAGTATTTGATTTAAAAAGCTCATCTGGACAGAATATTCAAAATTTCACAACAATAGTTCCATTTAAAACATCAATGACTTATGAATTCAATATACATGTCTAAAAATTAAATTATCAAAACGATAATTCATTTCCCTCGTCCCAGGAAGTCGCCTACGATGTGATAAACGCATCATTCAGTTTTATTTCATTTTACTATCAAGCTTTCTTTGAAAGTTGATGATGATAATTCTCCAACTCTTCTTACATCAAATGCTATAAATTTACTTTATTATTGCTCTCATTTCTATTACTCTAGATGATTAAATAATTCTATTTGGAATTATTTTTTTTTTGAACTGATTATTTATTACCTGGCCTAAGTTAATTGTCAGGTTAACTTCATTGTATTTCATTCCACGAGAAAGTGGAGGTGATTGCCACCAAGTCTCTGCACCATCAACTGCATGCTCTGGAGGGTGGAATTTTTCTGGGACTGATGGATCACAGACATCACAAACCTAAATGAAAAAAAGAAGTATTTTACTAAAGAAGAGATGGACATGAGAATTAAATATTATAACTAAAAAGCTAGAAGTTGGATATTGATTGTAGTAAATTTTAGGTGTAGGTGTTGGAATGAAACATTAAATTCATAAAGTAATGAAGACAGGATATATTTATATGAATAGTTCATTTTAGTCAAGGGAATTTCATGGTGGACTTGAAGAACACGATTAAAAATGGTTTAATATATTCATAATGATAACAAGATGTTCGTAGGCACAAAAAGTTATCGTGGGGTCACTTTTATCGTTTTTATCACTATTTTATTCACTAAAATGGAAGTTGTGCGGGAGCACATTTTTTAACTGGAAATTTGTTCTATATTTATTTATAAAGATTACATAACAATTGATAACAAAGCATAAATAATAAAAAAATCACCACTAGAATAATTTTTTAAATTACTTGATCTATCTCTAGAACGATTTTGAAGACAGGTTTTCATTCATTTCTTTTTTTTTTTTACAAACTCGCCAAGGATTAAAGTCCTTTGATCAACCGACAAGTGGTTCCCATATAAGTTCTGAAATGGTTGTGATTTTTTATAAAACTTTTTTAGCAATAAACTTGCTTTGGAGCATTATAATTTATTGAGAGATAAAAAATTTTTGTGAATCACGAGCGAAAGATATTTCTATATTTTTTTACAGAATTCAATTTTTTTAATGAATAATTTGAAATTGGTATAAAAATAATAGAATAGATAGAAATCTATGATTTACAGGGATTCTCAATCAATTTGGAACTTTGAAAATATTTATCAAAATAATTATTCAAGTAATTTAATTATTGGTTCCAATTATAGAAAAGAAGAAAGATCTGTTAATTGATAGATAATATTTTTAAATAAATATATAAAATAGAAATAAATAATAATATTGAGAATCTTGGTTTGAATAGTAAAAAAATACTTACTTGGCCCTGAATAAGATTAATATCTTCATCTTGATCAGAACTAGCACCAACAAGTTTACAATAAAGTTCAGGTCCAGGAGTATCAACTCCACACGTTGCAGAAGCAATTATTTCTTTACCTTCGGCTAAATTGAAGTAAGGAGGGGTAAGAATTTCAGCACTAGTCTTTTTTGTCAAGGCTAATAATAAGCCTAATAACACCAACCACCTCATGATTCTTAATGATTTAGCTAAATTTCACTACTTATCCCTTCGTCTAAAGTTAATTAACATGAACACAATTAACAAACTGCTCTTCCTTACGGAAGACTCTCGTCGAATGACGCCGGCACGGCTTCTACGTCGAGACTGAGTTTTAAGCACTGCCTCAGGCTGTTAGAAATACGATGTAATGGTAATATAAGAAATGCGAAGAGAATCGGGGTGAATGAAAGACTCCGATACTACATGAAGTTTTTTCTTCAATGATTTGTAGCATTATCGACAGTGAAGTTAATGTTTTTATAAAATTAAACTGTTGTAATTATTTTAGATTTTTTCTAGTTACTTGAAAATTTAAAAAGCTCTTATGATTATAAACATTCCATGAAAAATTACAATTATTTAAGACTTTTAATAATAAATAAATATTAAATATTTTTCTAGTAATGAACTTGAAAATACAGTGAACTTAAGAAAAATATTAAAATAACTAATTAGCATTGAATATCTAACTACAAAAATTTAATTAGCATAAAAAGAGATGATAATGAAGAATTTGAAATTTGAGAAGCCGTTGGGCTATCTTGAATACTGCTCTATAATTCTTTTTAAACATTAACTTATCGTAAAATCGTCTGGAAGGGTATCGCAATTAGATGCCTGCTTTTTTGCTGATCAATACAAAAAAAAATAATAAATCTACAGAAAATCGTAATCATTTAGTAAAATATCTATTCATTCATTTAAAATAATTTTTTCTTTTATTATTACATTTCTCTTTTATTTTAACCAGTGAATATTTTTTACTATTCTCTTTCTTTATGTTAGTTATAAATTTTAAATAACACAAAACAATTAGAGTTTAATTTTTTAAACACTTATTTCCAAACAATTTTATTAATAAAACACAACTATAATAATCTTCAATTAAATTGATTTTTTTTTAAAAAAAACGACCATTTTTATGGTGTAAATATTTGGTAATTGGCTTAAGCTTATAATCAATTACAGATTCCTTATAACTACGTAATTTTTTGAAATATTTACAGATGACCTTTTTTAATAATGTAACAATACTTATTGATATGGCAAGTAATTGATTGATTAAATTAACGAATTATTATTTTATATAACGTAAACATCATAAGAATTTGGATGATTTTATGAATCCAGTAGAATCTAAAAGTGAAAAAAAAGAAGAATAAGAAATACTTATTCATGTCGATAAAAATTTAGTAATAAAGTTAGACTTACTTCAAAATTCGGTTTCTTGCTGTTGACAATGAGTCTGGATCATCTTTCAATACATATTGTCTTATACCAAGAATATATTTGTGTATATAATAATCCCACTCAATTTTATTAACGTCAAGATTGAAATTTTTTTTATCGACAGCATTCTTCAACATCTTCATCAGTTGCTGAACATTATTACTGCTGTATTTCCACTCACGCATGCAAAAGAATTTTGCTGATTCCGCTACTCGATCAAACTTTTTAGTTATCTTTATCATTCTGAAGTATAATAAAAAATTGAGATAATGCTTGAATTTAATTAAATAAATTCGTAAAATATTATACAATAATAATTTAAAACACTTATTTACTTACACAGCTTTACTACCTCGAAATTTTAAAATCATATCAACTATGTATGCAGGAACGTAATGTAAAAAAACTACTGTTAGTTTGTGCATGAATGTATTGGTGGTAAATGTTAATCCTGGATACCAAACAGCGTATTTTGATGGACATTCAATGGAGTGTTTGATGACCAATTGTCGAAATCGACCCCATCTGAAAAGAAATAATTTCAAATTTAGAATTATTATGAATTCGAATTAAATTTTAATACAGCTGGATTAGAGTTTAAACAGTGAAAATATCAATAAACTTACGTCAAGGGGTTAGATGTACTACTGACACAGTTATAAATCTGAAGTGAATCGTTACGGTGCATCATATTACGCCAAGCGGCACAAATAATCGTATCAACAGCATAATCCACGGGTATCATGTCAATAATGGATTTATTATCGGCTAAGGCACTTCTGATTCTCCCTCGACTTGACTCCATGATCATTCCTGTGATACCAGTAATGTTATCTATCCAGCCGGGAAAAGGTTCTTGACAAGCTGCTCCAATAATACTGGGTCGAACAATTGCCACAGGAAAACCGAGCTTCTTCTTGAATATCAACATCTCCGCTAGACCTTTTGTGAGGGTATAGGTATTTGGATGATCTCCTCTAAGTTTAGCTTCTAAGGAATTCAACAACTCATCGTCAAGATTGTCAGCCATATCCATGGCGATCTCTGGTGTTATTTTAGTGCTACAAATTGATCATCAAGTATAAATAATAATTAAATTAATGAATTTAATAATAAATAGTACTTACTCATAAATGATCTCGCCAATTTCTTTCAAGTCAGCATTACTATATGCTGTACTGACATGTACGAAACTAACAAGATTCATCATTTCGGAGCATAGTTCGACAATCCTTTGTGTACCACGTGTGTTTAGAGTAATTGCAACTTTGAGTGGTTCTTCGAATCGTACAGTAGCTGCACTATGGAATACTATATTGACATTTTGTATCAATAACAAACGATCATGGTCACTCAATCCAAGATTCGGTTGACTAATATCCCCCATCATTGGTACTATTTTACTAAGTACTTCCGGACATTCCCATCGAATTCTGTCGAACACCTGTCGAAAAATAACCATCAACAATAATGTCAGTTAGAACTGGTTATTAAAGAAATCTACTATTTTTAGTAATAAAATTTGTTATATACTTACTGAATTTTTTAGTAAAGATTTGTATCGTTCTTCTAATGTCAAATTTTTTCGCGGACGGATTAATATGTAGATAATCGAAATCCGAGGACATGATCTTAAAAGTTTCTCAACCAGTGCTTTTCCAAGAAAACCAGTTGCTCCAGTCACAAGAATGACTGACGCTGCAAAGAAAGCTTCCACTGAAGTCCCTCCAGAGTTGACTTCTTCATTTTGATGATTCTGTTCATTTGCTACCAGTGCATTAGACGTTCCCATGTTGATCGAATTCTAACTGCTTATGAAGAAACCTATCAGTTCAAGTAATAACTATTTATTATCATCAGTTAAGTTGATTATTTTTAATAATTTATTATCAACTTTATATTTTGTCCATTATTTTTATTAAAAAAAATCATCAGATATTCCTCTAATCAGTTGTTCATTATGAATGCAAATATTTGTCACAATGATCCAATTATAATTGCATTAACAAATTAAATCAAATTATTCTAATCAAATAATTAACACCATTTAAATAATGTCAATAGTGTCCACTAGGCTGTGACAATAAGGTTATCGATTAGAAAAAAACTTGTCTGTGAGTATTTTCCCTTTAAACATCGATCGCCAGTGAAAGTCTTACCTCTATACTCCACTAATATAGATAGAAACAAATAAAGATAGACTTTTTTATAGTTAAAAAATAAGATCAATTTATTGCCTTTAGTACCTAAAATAGACCTGTAATTGTATTATAAAATTATAGAGTATCATGTCTATCGATAAATTAACGTTTCTAACAATTTTACTTATTTATCATAAGTATTCATTCATTATTCAATAAAATATAAAATTCATCAATGAATAAATAATAAACATATTAGATTTGTATAATAGTAATTATTATGAATTTCAAAAATGGTAGCCTTTAACAGCATTCTATTTTAATTCTAAAAAAAGATATTTAATTTTTTATCAAGTGGAACCCTGAAGAAATGTTATATCTTTCATCAATCGATACTAATGAATTGTAGGTAATATATGATATTAAATAAAAAAAAAACATAAATGAAAAAATAAATAGTGTGTATTGATTAAAAAAGGGTTCTAATGACCTTAAAACTTAAATTTACTATTTACTATTAAAATATCATTTTTAATAAAATTAATTAAAACTAAATTTTGAAAAATTTTAAGAAACCAATACTTTAAATTTAAACTATCTTTAACATTAGTATTAATTTCAATATTAATTCATTGAAAACCCCCACGTTTTTTAATAAATTATATAAAAAAAAACAATTATATTTGTTATCTAATATAAAATCGCTGAAATAAAGACAAACTAAAAATAAAAACCGCAGAAGTTCCATCAGACATTATTAAAAGTTATTTCAGTGTTAGATAGATTAATAATAATAATAGAAATAATTGCATTACCGTTTAAACATAAATTAACAAAAGATCCCATAATTATTTTCAGTATTTTTCAGTCACCCATCATCATGATATATTTTTTATAATACTCAACAATTAACTGTAGAACATATTCACTTTGGTTTTGTTCGAATCAGAAACATTACACATCGATCAAATGATCACGAACATGGTTCATATTGTACTGACTGTGATATCAAGTGAATACGTATATATCTATAGAATGTTTAACAAATATGCGCGCCCAGTAAGCATTTACCGGCGTTACGACGTCGTTCAAATGTCCACATGTTTATATACATACATTATTATTTTTTTTACTATTTGTACAAAAATAAATAGATAAATTATTAACTAACAATTCGTTCATCAAAGAGTTTTGCCAATTTGCGATAGATTAACTATTGATTAATGACAATATCATTATTGATTTAAATCGAGACCATTGTTGCAGTAATTTTAAGCAGTATTAGATCAGTTCTGGAGTAGTTCCAGAAAAGAATTATAATGAACTAATTATTTGTTAGTAATTAAAATAAAAACAAAGATAATATACAAAGAATTTTACTAAATTCAGTAAGTTCCATTACGCAACAAGGAAATTGCATGGCTTTCACATGGACACGGAAGTCACTTTCTTCAATATATATTTGTCCTTGTTTTAAATGTTTATCCCACATTTACCTTAATTGATAGATGCACGTATTCACACAATATCAACACATGATTTATCCATTATTTGTATATAACATGCACACATGTATATTATCCATTATTTTATCATATATCCCTATTCGCTACTTACCTCTTTCAAACTCAACTCTAAAAAGTAAATACACTTCCTCCTTTCTTACTCACGTCTGACCAGTTTCACCAGATGTTTGCATTCTATATAATTCTTCTCCTGCAATTCTCAACAATCCCTCCTTTTGCCAAACCCCGCTTTCATTATTTTATATCCAAATTATTTTTGTTTTATCATTGAAACATTATTTTTCATTAACACATATTGTGCATTTAGTGATTAAAAATTCATAAACGTTTTATAATAAAAGTAATGATTTTTGTTAAAAAGAACTTTCTGTATTATAACTAATAAAGTCCATGAAATATTGAATTTTTCTAAATTATTCCAGATATTCACCATGGTATTAGAAGTAATAAAAAAATTTTTGTACTAATTTGATATGTTATTAATAAATTAATAACCACAAAATTAATATAATTATGAATTGAATAGATTTTTGGATCCAATAGAACCTAAAAAAGAAATAATCTGTTAGCCCAAAATTCATACATGTTAAAAAAATAATGATGATTGTTTTACTACATACTTTCTAATTTGATTTCTCGCCTTTGGCAATGTTTCTGGAGTGTCTTTCAGAAGGTATTGCCTCATACCTAAAATATATTTTTGTATGTAATTATCCCATTCAATTTCTCGAACATCTAGATGAAAATTATCTTTATCCGATGCTGTTTTTAATAATTCAATCAAGTATTGAACATTATTACAGCTAAATTGCCATTCATTTGTGCAGAAAACTCGGGCAGATTCTGCTACACGATTAACTTTTTTTGCAAGATTAACCATCCTAGAATAAGAAATTAAATTAATGTAATAATTATTTATAAAAAATATATATATTACTACATTTTGAGTTACTAAATAATAACATGACTTACATAGGCTTGTTGCCTTCATATATAAGAATTAAATCAACCACATAAGCCGGAAAAAGATGGAACAATACGACATATAGTTTGTGGAGGTAAACATTTTTAGTAAAACTAATTCCTGGATACCAAACAGCATATTTAGAAGGGTATATGATGAAATATTTATTTATCAAGTCTCCGAGTTGTTTCCATCTACAAAATATTTATAGACATTTAACTTTCTATCGGAATATTAAATAAGTTTAACGAGTAATTATAAACTTACGTTAATGGATTTAATGCACCACTAACATAATTGTAAACTTGAATAGAATTATATGGTTGTATTAGAGTTCGCCAAGCAGCACAAATGACAGTATCAACAGCATAATCCACGGGTATCATGTCAATAATACATTTGTTATCGACTAGAGAGCTTCTAACCCTTCCACAACTAGATTCTAACATAACTCCTGTGATACCGGTAGTGTTATCTATCCAGCCGGGAAAAGGTTCTTGACAAGCTGCTCCAATAATACTGGGTCGAACAATTGCCACAGGAAAACCGAGCTTCTTCTTGAATATCAACATCTCCGCTAGACCTTTTGTGAGGGTATAGGTATTTGGATGATCTCCTCTAAGTTTAGCTTCTAAGGAATTCAACAACTCATCGTCAAGATTGTCAGCCATGTCCATGGCGATCTCTGGTGTTATTTTAGTGCTACAAATTGATCATCAAGTATAAATAATAATTAAATTAATGAATTTAATAATAAATAGTACTTACTCATAAATGATCTCGCCAATTTCTTTCAAGTCGGCATTACTATATGCTGTACTGACATGTACGAAACTAACAAGATTCATCATTTCGGAGCATAGTTCGACAATCCTTTGTGTACCACGTGTGTTTAGAGTAATTGCAACTTTGAGTGGTTCTTCGAATCGTACAGTAGCTGCACTATGAAATACTATATTGACATTTTGTATCAACAACAAACGATCATGGTCACTCAATCCAAGATTCGGTTGACTAATATCCCCCATCATTGGCACTATTTTACTAAGTACTTCCGGACATTCTTGTCGAATTCTATCGAATACCTAATTGCATATAAAATATATATTAAAATTTATTTATCGTAACCTTCCATGAAATTTTTCTCATATTACTGCAATAGTATTTATACAAAATATTGTTACCGAATTGTTTAACAAAGATTTGAACCTCTCGTCCAAGGAAAGTTTTTTCTTTGATCGGATCAGTATATAGATGGTCGATATTTTGGAACATGACCTTAATAATTTCTCAACCAAAGCTTTACCAAGAAAACCTGTTGCTCCAGTCACAAAAATGATTGATGCTGCGAAGAAAGCTTCTACTGATATTTTTTTAGAATCAGCATCTCCACTACTTTCGTAATCCAATGAATCCTTCTTCAAATCTGCTTTAATTTTTTCCATTCTATAAAAATTAATAATTTACCTTTTAATTGCCTGAAATTTATTCAATCAGTAACAATATTTCTTGCAAAAATATAATATAAATCTAGAAAAGTCTATGAAACTATTCGAGACTTCAAGTATGTAGATTTTATTATGACATTATCATAATAATTCATTTTATGACAAGTGTAATTTTCAATCAACATCTAATAACATATTATAATTCTTAGTACATATTGTCATAAAGTTTGTAAATACAGGTAATAAAATTTCTTTTAACATTTTAGTGAGATAGTTTAAAAAACAAAGTTCACAATAATGACATAACAGATCAATCATTTTTTCAAGTAAGAAATAACAAGTGATCATTTTTTACTCTATATTTATTACATTCAATATTTAATATGGTATTCTTCATCTAATGGCATAAGAGCCTTTTAAAAAAAATTATTTCGATCATTGAAACTAAATATAGTTTATTAATAGTTCTTGATTATTTTTTGTAAGTGATAAATGATGTTTCTAAATAATTAATTGCCAAAAAAAAATAAAAATGGCAAAGATAAACAAAAACTATTACTTTTCTTTAACAAAAAATTAATATGAGCTGAAAAATGACGAAGATTGTATCTACTATCTTGTTTTTTCAATAATTCAAGTTCCATTACACAACAAGAAAATTGCGTTGCTTTCACGTGGACACGGAAGTCACTTTCTTCGATATGCACTAGCACTGAGTGAAAAAATATTTTTTTGCTCATTTATTCCATGTGCATATGCATATTTATAAGATATGTAAATATACATACATGTATATATTTAATAATATATAATTTTAATCAATTTACCTAAACTAGCGTTGAAATTTAGATTGGCAACTTGGTATTAAATAATTAGTCAAATGTACTTGTTTATTTTCAAACGTCTGATCAATTTTTCATGTTTCTCATCCTTATAAATCTTTTCTCCTACAATTCTTGAATCATCCCTTCCATTATTCCATTTTGTATTGTTTCTTTTTCTTTGTATCCGAGCATGTTTTATTACTTTGACGTAATTAAATAGAAAATCAGTTACTAAAAAAGCCATTTGTATCAACATCGTTCATGAGACCTTTAACTTTTCATGTATTCAAAGAAATTGTTGGTTAATTAATTAATAAAAATGAAATACACTTCACACTTTATGCAAATAATAAACACTTTGTAAATAGAATAAAATTTATGACTTATCAATGGCTATGTATTTTTGAGGATTAAAATATATTTATAAAACTTTTCAAAAAATAAAATCATTATTTATTCAGTTTATTTGCTATAAAAACTAAATTAGACGATTTTTAGCAAATACTTTATTTGCATTCAAAGAATAAATTAGATAACCTTATCTTCTATTCAAGAAATAAGTGTTGACTCATTTCTGTATATAACGAAAAATCAAGCAAACTATGTCTGTCAATTGGATAGAAAAAGCACAATGAAACAATCATGAATATAAAATACATCCTGTTGATATAAGAATCCTAATTTTAAAAGTAATCAATTTTTATGATTTTTTAAAAATTTATTGATTAAAGAAAAAATTATTGTATGTTGAATGAAATATTTATTGATCATAAAAATAAAAAGTTGTTTTGTTTTTATAATAAACAAACTTATTGAAAAAATCTTTACAAAAAGATGGTTCGGTAATTATCAACATATCCCGAGAACGTTGAAAATGTAGAAATTATGCAATAATATATTATCCATCGAAGATAATGATTGACTTCTTTTTTGAGGTTATTTTATCAATAATTGATATAAAGTGTGACTTGAAGATTGAATTCATTGTTTCTTTGTTTTTTTAAAAATTTTTTAATCATTTTTAAATGTAATTACGGTGAAAAACATTTACTGGTGTAATAACCAAACAAATTATTTCCTAAAATTGGATGAAATATATTCAATACAGAAATTTCTTGCCTGAAAAAGAGAATAGAAAAATTTAAAAATGATGGTGTAGTTTGTTTTTATCAAATTTAATCATACCATATTCACATTTAACATAATGACGCAGTTACAAAAATATATCATCATTTTCATTATAATTTAAATACTACTTAAATATATGTGATGATCATTTTGGACTGAATTGAATAAAGTAAAAAATCGTTTTGATCTTTATTTCACGGAAAAAATGAATTGAGTATGTCACAAAAGTATCAAAAAAAATCAAAATAATTTTCATTAGACGATGACATCCAAACTTGATTAATTTGATGTCTCAACAACTTAATGTAAATGATTTATTTATTGATGGAATTAATTTATTTTGATGAACAAACTCAGGTACTTTATTTTCTATTATCTTTTGTTTTATTTATTCTTTAATATTTTGATTTCTTCGTAGGCATGGTGAGAAAATATTTGTTTATCAACAAGTGTTGAATAAATGATTCAATAAATGGCACATCTGTGCTGAAAATTATCAATTATATACATACCGTTCAATCCCAAGAAATTTTTTAATGCTTGAGACAGATGTGAGAGAATCATGTTGAAACCGATATATTATCACGGTATATTAGCTAATCATAGCAAATAATGAAATAGTCCTTTGATGTATTAGAAATTTCCATAAAGCGTTAATACCATCCTGATAAGAAAAACAATGTCACTTTGATAGCAATAATTACGTATCAAAGTTATCATAATTTTATGAATGGCTGTTCTATAAAATTATTAAAAATTCAAATCAACTGGGATGTTTTTTTATGTAAACAATGACGATACATTAGGATGGCCATTGAGTTTTCTCCATAATTCTTCGTGACTCGTTTTTAATAAGAGCTATTTATCTATATTTGGTTGATGACGAATACATCTTCTGTAAATACGAAAACTGCACTTACCTACGTCATTCATTCTTATGAGGTATTGCAAAATTTTCATATATTTACTTTGAACATTCCCAATTGTTTTTCTAGCAATTATTTTTATGATTGTGTTAATTATCAGAGAATGTACGGTAAATTTGTGGGAGTAAAATATTTTAGTGGTGAGAACACATTTAATTAAATATCGGTAAAATTTTAATTTTAATTTATGAGAAAATTTTAGACACATTTATTATTTGTTGCTCTTGAACAAATTTTGTAACAAGTTTTTTGAATGATTTAACTTCTGGTAATCTTTTCACTTAAAAGGAAAAGTTCGGAGAAAAGGGATAATTATTGATAGTAAAAATAAGCATAAACAAATTGATTTAATTTATCTTGTCTAATAATTGAAACTATAATTTTTAACTCGATCACAAAATCGACGTGTACAAGGTTGTGGAGCTTATCTTTTCAACATGTGAAATATTCGAGAGGATTTTGATAAAAATTACTTTTCAAGTATTCTTCGGGATTTTCCATGCTGCATTATCGCCCCTAATATCGAGCACTCATAAAACTTATTTTTTAAATAATCATCACGTTTAACCAATTATTTTTCCAATGGCAAACTCATAAATTTATTTTTCTATTTTCTGTTTAATAAATGCACCCTTATTGTTAATATTATTTTCTGTTTTCTCAGTATGTATTTTATCAAAATGTACCCATTTATTTGAACATTATAAATTAGATAATGATAAAAACCAAATAATGTAATAGAATGTATTTTTCTTTTTCCAGCGTTTTTTTTTTTTTTTGTAAAACTTTCAATACACTACGTGATGTAATCAAGCAATGTGTGAGATCTTTATCTGAAAATAGATGTACATATGAATATTATACCTGTGTACATGACGGGGATGTGATTTATAATAACTTACAACAAAAGTAACACAAAATGAATGATATGCAGATTATTACAGTGATAAATAAAAAGCAAACTTCTTATAGCATGTGATTAATTTTCACTTATTATAACAATAATGAACATAATTGCGTCTGGTCAGTGTTTAGGTGGATCAAAGCCCACCGATATTCTGATTATGGTATTTTTATCGAGGTAATAAATGCAATACTATTAATACCAATAAAAGTAATAATTATTATGTACTTTCATAAGTTTTCTCGTTTTAGCATACACATTACTGCTGTTATTTCTATGGACTTACATTTTTTTCAATTCATAAGAAATTTTCCTCAATCATATTATGATGGAATTTGAAAAAAAAAAAATGCAATAATCGAGAAAGTTTAGTGACATGAATTTTCCTTATAATATAATACTTTTATTCCGGAAAATCCATATTTTATATTCAGAAAGATATAAATCGGAAAAATTCCAGTTGAAATTTTCTTCATTGAACGTATACTCAATGAGTAAATAAATTGATTTATAAATTAAAAATAATCTATAAATTTTAAAATAGATCCTTATGTTATACATAGATAAAACATAGATTGATTATCATTATTTATTCTGTCCGGCTAATGAACCATTGAATTATTGGTAAAAACCCTAAAAAAATTCCTGGAACAGATCTTTTGAACTCCGATGATGTGTCATGTGAACTGAAAAAAAATCACGAATAGATTTTTTCTTCTTCTACTACCTTTCGCTTGGTCTAAAAATGAAGGTTGGCAAGGACGTACGTGATCTTCCTCACATCAAAATCTTTGGTCCATTGAGAAATTTACCAACGTTACGATTATTAAAAATAAATAATTAGTTTTTTGCTAAATAATTACTTTGAAAAATCAAAAAGATATAAGATATTTGATCGTAATATAAAAAATATAATAAACAGGTAACTATCATTTTCTAATAATAAAAAAGACATCTTTCAAAAACTAAATTAAATAGATAATTTTTTAATATATAATCATTTACAGATACAGCTTTTCATCCGATATCGTTAAATAAAAAAGATGATTCATGATGTAAGTTTGTGAAGAATGTACGAAATCTAACTTTCTATCACCGGAAATTCCACTCTGAATCCTGACGAATTTCACAGAAATGCAGGTATGATAGAAATAAAATAATCGTCGGGTACAAAAAATCTCGAAATAAAATAAACCGTTATAAAAGAGTTTTATTGGTACCTCTAAAAAAAGACATTGATTATTTAAAATAGAATTTTTTTAAATACCATTTAATAATTCACAATGCATAAAAGATAACTCTACTGAAAGCATAAAATTTAATTTCTATTTACATATTAATTAATGATGTAAAATTAATTTTGACATGTATTTAATTATTTGAAAATCTACTTTTGGCAAAATTCTATTAATTAAAACCAATTATTAGATAATATGTAAAGAGAAATTCCATTGGTAGTTAACTTTTCTACAGTGTACGTTAAATACTAAGATTTATTTGAAATTTTATAAAAAAATTTTGATCGTATTTTTAAAATCACAGTCAGATCAGCCAAATATTTGACCTATTCAACAAGTATTTGAAAATAGATTATTCCAAAAATAGCCACAAATTAATAATCGAATTATATTAAAATAAAATTTTTTAATTGTAAAAATATGCCAAAAAAAAAATTAAATAGATAAAATGTTAGGTGAATGACACGGAAGTATTTATTTTTAATATGACACCATCTTACTCTGACATGATACTGTATAGTATAAATACATAAGGCAAAATAATTCTTGTATAAAGAGTGTTTGACGTAATGTGACGTTTATATACTCTAGTAGATGGAGAACTTACTGATGTAAATTTTTATGTGCCGATGTCAGCGATGTGTGTAAAAGAATGTCGCTGAATCATTGCGTGTAAAACGCAAGCTACACGTAAGTTAAAGGTTGGTGTCATTTATCGTACCGACTTGAAATCTTGACGTGAGAGCCGATCGTCTGGCGATCCCGTTTAATATTATTGCATCATACTATATTAAATACATTAAATTATTATCACAAATCATTCAAATCTATTTAACGAATTTTGTCTTCAAGTGTCATCACATTGATTATCACACTTATCAAACTAAAAACTTTAGCAAAAATTTTTATACGATTAAAAATTGCTAGGATAATTAAAGCTGATTGAAAAATTATTATTATATAATATAAATTTAATGATGTGTAATTGCATGTAGTGATTTTTGTTCAAATAATAGTTCTCTTCCTTTAATCTGAAATTTGCTCTTTTCAGCTTTCCTGTTTCTTCAGCCATTGACAGGAATAAACGTGTTAGGAGAATGTGAACACGTTCAAATTAAGGTTCCTGTCCTAAAATCTATCTGTAATATAATAATCAAGCTATCATTAATTATTTTTCAACAAAATATGATAATTGATTAATGGTATTTTTCAATTTTTATGTAATAATTATTCATATGGTTTTCGGAAAAATAGACACGTGCTCTTTGTAATATATTGTGGATTGCCTATTAATTAAACAACATCAACAAATATCAAAATGAATGGAGTTACTATTATATGTTAATTTAATGTTATTAATTTGACGATATAAAATCACACAATAATCTGCTACTCAATAGAGCACCATATAACTATATTGTTATCATTGTGATGATGACGTTATTTCTACTGTTCATTATGTTTATAATTACTAGGTATGTATGTTATTGATTTACTATAACTTTTAATATAATAAGAACTCTACATATGGTATGAAACACCTGTACATAAAGCTATAACATAAGTATATTTTTAGAAAATAAAGAATATGAAAGTCGTTACAATGGATTATTAAACTAAAAAATAAAATTAGATCATGTATGAATATTAAAACCATCATCAATGTCGTAAAAAGTTTTGCTTATCTATTTATCAAGCTTTCATGTATGATCTTTTGACGAATGTTCTAGTACTTTTAAGTGATGAAGTAACGAATTAAAGAACATTGTTGTAATAAAATAAGAATTTTTATTATGAATAGTTGTCTTAATTATTGGTAAACTAATCAGGCTTGATCTAATTCTCTTACGTATTTTAGAAAATAGCTTCAGAAAGTTCTAACAATAGTTCTATCGTGGACCATTGACTTTGATCTAATTAGTTTTAATGAAGAATGGAAAAAAATTTTTTAATAAAATGTATCGAAACTAGCAATAATATATAAATAATTAATTTATTCAACAAATTCAAATTGATTTCAATTGTTCAATATGTAAGTAACAGGATGATTAATATTTTTGACTAAATCTTTAATTGATACCGCTAGATTAATGTATATTGTCTAGATCAAGAATTATCCACTGTGAACCAGAAAAACATTTGTGAAAATATTATGATAATAATATTAACAGAGTGATTCGTATCTTTAGCTTTACAAAAGTTTTTTGTTTTTTACTCGCTGTTAGTGTCAATAATCCATAACATTTTATTAGTCTAATTTTTTGTTTTTTTTTCAAAATGGATTCTGTTATTGTTATAGTATAATGAGAAATGATATTATCACCGTAGCCTAAATTACGTATTATCGTATGATTTAAAAAATTGTAAACAACTTTATATTATAATAATATTAATTAATTGATCCTATTGAGTCTCATTAAGTGTATGAATAAATGGACGTCAAAGATGACCATCATTCTCATATTCTATAATAATAATAATATTATGCAGTGAAACTAAAGTCTCTTTAAAGAGTTCAAAAATATTTGTCTCCAAATAAATCATTTGATAAAATAAAGAAAAGGAAATGGTGTATTACAAACCGAGGGAGCAAAGTATGATATTATGACCTCAGGGTAAAATTGCATCCTGAGTGCAGGGCAGAAAGTTGAAATTCCTGCACTGCGCGCCATGGCGAAGCCTAGGAATCATGTCACGCGGTTCATTCGGGTGTTGATCGGTCGTTAGAAGTAATGGCAAGAGAGATTTTTAATTTAAAAATAAGATAATTTTTTTGTTCTTATTTACGTACATAATACGATGCTGAGCACGCCTGTATCCTTCTAGTATTAGACACGTGCCGTGAATTATTAATCATTACTTATTCAGGTGAAGACTCAATAGATTGTTTTTAGTTAAATATTTTAAAAACATATTTATTTAAATTAGTGTTTTTTCAAGACTTGTGTATTATGTTTATTGGAGAATAAAATAAACTTTAGAAATAATGTATTTCACAATAATAAAAAGTTAAAAAATACGTTGTTTGTTCTATTATTTTTTTAAAAAATTCTAATCTTGTAAAATATTATTTGAGTTTTGTTTTAAAAATAATTGAAATATATTTGTTGAATTTCATACTTTATTCTTATCAAATAATTCTTAATGATTTTCGAAGTATTTTTATATTATTACAAGTTAAGAATAAATGGATAAGTACATAAAGTCTGTTGAATTCAAGATAAAAAAGTGTTCCTTCTTTTTGACGATTAAAGAAATTAAAAAAAAATATATATTTTAAACCAACTATGGGAATATGTTTGTTGATACATGACACGTGGCATTAATTTCCATATGATTAGTCAAATAGTTGATAAATTTTCATTGTTTCCTTACTTAATCTATTTTATCAGATGTATATCGATCATTTTTATTATTACTTTCACTATTTAGTAAATTCTTTTATTTCAGTATTCCTAGACTAGCCTCAATTCGATGTAATAGTATATCAATAGAATGCATTATTCGAATTTTTCTTAAATTTACTCTTTTTTTTTCTTTTCAGGTACTGTAGCTGAATAGTAAATACGTTTGATGGAAATAAAGTGGGGAGTAAAACTCGCGAGGAATAAACGTCGTTCTTGTTTAGCCGTTTATGCATTACCCTAGGTCAAGAGCACATACTCCCACTCACCATGTCTTTCATCTTCTTATTGATGTTACCCATCTTTCACAGCTATTTTATTTATCAATCACCAAAATAAAATTCATTTAGTTGTTTAAACACCTTAATCTATTATTTTTCAATTATGATAAGAATTTGTTTTATTTTTTTTTTTTAATTTTACATAAGGTGTATTTAGTATTTAAAGCTTGTTTTTTTCTACGATGCTTCGTATCACTCTGGTTCTTATTTGGTATTATGTATTTATTTTTATAGCCTTGGTCTTCTTTAAAATATAGTAAGGCATAGTTGTACGGTGAAAAAGAAGGTTGATGAAAAAAGAATTTACAAATTATGTAAGTTTATTTCTGTTTTGTGATTCATTGATGAAATAGAATCATGAAAAAAGTAGTCAGAGTCAATGATCATAAAAATGCTTTGATAATTTCATTTGAACTCTAATAGCAAGATAAATAGATGAAACTACGTGACTGATTGAGTCTAGGATAAAGTTTGAAAAAATTATTCAATAAATTGCAATATTTTGTTATTAAATAAATAAGTAATAATCGTTTGATTATTATTTATTGAGTGAGATAAATTTTTTTTTTTTTTTTTATCATGTGAACGTTAAGTTGAATGAAAAAATTTATCATGAATATTTCTATTGAGTTATCGAAGTGAAACTTTAGCACGATTGAACATTTCGCAAATTTTCGTTGACTCATGCTTTTAAGAAATTCAGACATCAGTTAGAGATTTTGTTAACGTGAATAGAGGGAGATAATATTAAGATTTTTAAATTATGCTTTATTTCATTTACCTATCTTACTTGAATATCACATAACTTAGTAATGTTTTATAAAATTTTTTGTTAAAAAAAAATGTACAAATTTTTCATTTTATTTTTAAATAATTTCTATTCTTTAAATTCATTTTTAATATAAAATAACTTTTTTTTTTTTTTTTTGGATTTAATAATCAATATGTCAATTTAACATATGAATTGATTTAAATTTTTAATACAAACTTACTCATGTGTAAAATTGCACAAAATTATGTAAAAATTAATTATTCATAAAATGAATTGATATTAATAAGAATAATGAAAAAAATGAGAAAAATATTAATTGAAAAGTAATTAATAGGTCTAATTTACAAATAAGTTTTGGCAGTTTTTTTATTGGAATTAATTTGCCAATTTTTTTTAGGGATGACGTGATGGAATAAAATTAGAATAGAAAGTCTGACAATGAATAATTGTGATGAGAAGAAGAAAACGTCGATGGATTGGTCAGCCAGGGGCATCTTTTTTCACTTCTTCCGGGGATAGTTATCGATACTTCTTCGACATCAGAAAGTCAAATTGTGAAGCGCAAGATAAAAGTGAGGGAGGATTCTACTACAAGTGGAGGGAGGAGCCTTCAACGCTCGAGAGTATATATGCCAGAAGCAACCAGCAGCATGGTACAGTTCACTAAGAGACAAAACTGTTAAGAGACTTATTGCCATTTAACTGCATTTTTTGTATTAACCTTTTTAAGTTTAACTTGAATTAATTTTTTGAAAGAAAGAAAAAAAAAAACATATTCACTATTTTTATAAACAAAGTTATCATCAATAAGTGCTTTTAAACCAATTCTTTAAACATTCAGTTGATTTTTAAGTTACTTCTCCCCAACATTGAATCAGTGAATTAAAATTTTACAACGCTGTGAAAGTTTTTCTTTCTACTATCAAAAAATGGAAAATTATAAAAAAACGTATTACTTGACGAGTCTCCTGATCCTTATGATCCTGATTGTTACTCTAGATTCTGTTAATGCTAGACCATCAAGTGGATTCCTTAGGTATAATTTATTTGACTCGTCTAAATTTTTATATGCATGGAAAAAAAATTTTTTTAATACCAATTTTCATTCAAAAATTATTGCAATTTATTTCGTGCCACTGGCCGAGATGTTCATTCTTTGATTAACAGGAAAAAACCAATTACAAAAGTGATAAATAGCATAGTAATAGATTGTAGTCAGACACATAAATGATTTTTGAGAACAATTATATTAAAATTTCAATTAATTATTGGATTTATTTTAAACCTTCTATCATTTTTTTTTATTCAATTAAATGTTAAAAATTTTTTTTTTTTGTAATAATAGTGTACTTTTAATATATTTTAAATTTTTCATAAATGTCTATTGACTATATCAAATTTATATGGTACCTTTTATGGCTGATGCAATATGCAGAAATATTTTCTGCAATGAAGATCGGTATAAAGTCGTTGAAGAACTGTAAAGAAAAATTTTAGATTTATCTATGGCTCATAAACTTATACAGTTGATATTGGATTATAAAAAAATGCGTATCGTTTCAAATTCAATAGTACAGATAAAAAAATTTCAATGGAATAAAATAATAATAATTATTATTAATAGTTAATATTTTTTTTTTATAAGTAAAAATACAAGATTATTATTTAAATAGAGTAAAATATTTTAAAATTGATAAAAAAAAATTAAATAATTAATTGAATTATTTTAGTCGTCGTAAACGTGTATCCGATCAACGTCTTGCAGAGCTGGAGACTTTGCTGGCATTGGCTAAGATGCGTGGAAAACTGGTGACAGTACCATTGGGATTTGATCGAGTGGATCCAGCAAAAATGTAAGTTTAGTTTTATTATTTATTCGACATCGAAAAAAAATCATATGATAAATTTTAGACCAATGAAAATTGAAATATTTAAACGATGATGCGGTCGATCGATTAGATTACTGTTTTTCAACGAGTTCAGACAGGTGCATGATTATTAAGATAACACATTCTAAAGTTTTACCATCTCCCGAATTTCATCGATTAAATGTATAATTGAACTCACATTGATCGTCTAATAAATATATTTTTATTTTATCAATTACATAAATATTAAAGTTTTAAAAAAATATCATATTGTTAAAAAGTGAAATAACTTTATTGATTAATTAATTAATTATTTGATTGAGTTTAGAAATTATAAGATGATTGGAAATTCTACTTGATGCACTATTATCTAGCTATTTAACAGATCAGAGTATGAGTTTGAGAAACGACGAATAAATTTCCATTGTCAAGAAACGTGATGATTTCCATGTACACAGAGTATTCTTGAGAACAACTTTATTAATTGAGAAAGAAGGTCGAAGGGATTGAAGATTTTAATGGAAAATAATCATAATCATAATAGATAAAAAAAAAAAAAATAGATAATGATTAAATATTATCAATAAAAATGGGTCTAGGTGTACTTCGTTTTGTATTGAAAAATTTTAATCTTTATTCTTATGACATTTCTTGAAGCTAAATTCTTTTGTAGATTTCTAAAATGATTTCATATAAATGAAAGTGATAAGTTAAAAATATTGAATGAGTTGAATATAATATTATCGTAAAAAGAAAATTACATAGATATAGGTATTATGATAGGTCATGAATAAAAAAGGACGAATGAAATATGAAATTGATTGATTTTAAGGAATTAATTAATTTATTTATTCTTTTTTTCATTGATATTAATTCAATTATGAAAATAATTAAATATTTCTAATTTTATTACAGTGGTCGCAGACGAAGATCAAGCACTGAATATGATTTACAAAAACTTCAACGATTTTTACAAGCAGCTGTTCGAGATTCTGAATATGCCAGTGAAGAGAATGATGAAATTATCACTCCATCTTGGGTAAATATCTAAATTTTTATTTAAAAAAAAATACATTAAAACAAGAAATATTTTTTTATTTAAATTAATATTCTAATAATTATATAAAATAACGTGACTAATTTGTCATTATTATTTTAAACAGCTGGAGGATCGGCACACCGATGATATAGAGGATCAATTGATATAATGAATACAGTGTTTCAGAGATGTTTGGCAAAAAATTAATCTGTCATAAATGTCAAATATCAAGAAAATGTATAAGTCTTTCTGAACTCAACAGTATTAACGGTTGCTCCGTCATCGGTACTTAAATATAATAACTTTAATTGGAGTTAGTTATAATAATTGATTATTATTCAAAAGTTAAATAAGACGAGAAATTTTGAAAAAAAATTTATGTATATTTTATGTTATAATCTATACATGCTATTTATTGCAAGCATGATATTTAATGTTCGCACATAATTTATTACCAATTCAGTAACGTTTTTTTAAATTATTTTTTATTTTATTTATTATAGTTAAGTATTCATGAAAGCATTTTTATTTTTCATTCATTTTATGATTTGTAAATATCTTTACCACTGTATAATCTATTGTTATACAAAGATTATACTGTCTAAAATAATGATTACAATTTTCACTTAGTCTAATTATTCGTGATTTTATTAGTTAATTTATTTAATTAAGTTCAAAGACAACAATTTAAAAATATCTTGATATCACTCTATGTCTTCTTCGATTATAAGTTGTATGCAATTTTTTTAATTCCTTTACTTAATGATTGTAATTTTTCAAATATTTATGATTAATTTATTTAATTTATTATTTATTACAATTCAAAGTTATAGTCAATTTCACCTTTCACATGTTTATCATTCCTTTCATCAACAAGATATGCACAATTATCATTAATATACAATGATATAATAAATAAAAAAAATATTCTTCAAGTTATTGATGTGTATTTGAATCATTTTGAACCGTAGAAAGTAATTGTGTTAATATTTCGAAAAAACTGATCTCTTTGAGGTTTAAAATTTTTATTTTATTGTAAAAGAAACAAAATAAGGGAAATGAAATTCAAGAATAATACAAATTGAAATGTTTCATTGTTGTTTTAATGTATTCCATAATAGTACAGTACAATATACATAAAATTAATATTAAATATTATTTGTGGTATACATCGTGTTACCGGATAACGTTACTGATGAGACTAGCTGGTGATGACCTTCGCAGCGCTACCTCAATAATTTTATATTAATATTACATTTTTTGTTTGTTTTTTTTTTTTTTCATTTATTTATTTATTTTAATCCCTGATCCTATATAATAAATCATTATAACTTGATGTTTAAAGAATGAAATTTTTATTTTAGCTTGCGCTTTCATATCGGATCAATCATTTCTTGGCAGCGATAATCGACTGAATATCAATCATCGTGGTTGATTTTCAAAGGGAAGCCCACTTTGAACCAGTAAACGAATAAATTAAACAATTCCCGATTACAAATAATTAGCATCTAAAACATCTTAAAGGCACAGGCAACAGGTGACACGAAATTTGCAAATGCGTACAAATATTGAATATTATTCATAGCACAATTGGCGTTAAATAATGTACTTTCATCATTCTTTCGAAACACATTTATGTTTACACTTAATTTAAATGTTTATCATTTTATTTCGAAAGAACAATGATACCTTAAAATATTTACCTTAAGAAAACAAAAAACAATTAACAAATTATTTTGATTAAAACTATCTATCTACAATAAATTGAATTAATAATTTCCAAAATAATAATTATCATTCAATCACAATAAAAAAATTAATTTACTATTATTATTATTATTATAAAAATGATAAATTAGTCATCTTTGGATAAGAACTGTTAAATGTTGACTGTGGAATAATAAATTATCGTTGAAATGGTGATTAACAAATATTTATTTTTTTCTAATTATTTACTAAATTTGTTAATAATAAGAATAATAAAGAAACTAAATTCATTATAATTACAATTATGTATGAAATTAATGAAGCTACATCAACATAGCATAAATCTTGCATTGTTTTAATAAATAAAATGTTATAACATTTAGGGAAAACAAGCTAAGAATTTTTAAATACTTCTATTTTAATACAACCGTATAATTTGTAAGTAATTGTAATTAAAATTTCAGCATCGGAAGCATTCAAATATACATATATATATATATATATATATATATATATATATATGATAATATGATAAATACATATGAAATATGAAAAAGGTTAAATTAATTGAAATATATTATAAATTTGATATGAATAAATTGTTTAAAAAATAACAAGGTTAATAAAAAAAGAAAAAATTTGGCAAATTGAGAAGCAATTTTTTCATTCTTTGGGAAGCAAATAAGATAATTATTAGTATAATAAATACAACTTGTACGGAGAATTAGTTTACAAGCAATAATAATATTATACTGCTGAATAAGTTAGCATAAATAATTAATTCATTAAATAATAATCATAATAAGAGTATTGATCATTTCAATAAGTTCTCGGAAAACAATCAACTTACGGCTAATAACTATATAATACATAACACTTCATCGTTACCCACTCAATAATAATAACTTTTTATTTACAATTCTTCATTATTAATTGTCTATTAATTCTTTTTGCTCAAATTTAACCATTCAAACTGTCTTTTTATCATATATTCTCGATCATTCTGACTTTCGTTCACACTCTCTGGATTTTTTAAAAATGATAATTCACTTGTTTATTAAAGACTTTTTTTTTTGATGAATTATAAATATACTGAAGAATAATTTATTTTAGATAACTAAGTTGCCAATGCCTTCAAAATTTAATTATTATCTCAACTGTGTGCAAGATACTTAGAGGCGTTATTTGTATATAAGACTTTAACATATATATTATTTGGATGCTTTTTTTATAAAAAAAGTGCTCTGATTATTGGTCTGTCAAGTCGATTCTAAAATCAATGGCAGTTTTTGAATAATTAATTTTGCACTATTTTTTATTAATCAAGCCAATTTATATTTATTTTTTTTCTTTTTTAAATTATTTATTTATTTTTTTTTTCTCTTCTTTTTCATAATTACTAATTAATAAAGATTGAGAGTAGTGAAGTTATAAGAAATAATTGTATTTATTTTTTATTCAGTAACTTGGAATAACACTTTTTTACTTTATTAAGTCTTCAGAAAAATCCATCTAGGTATCTTACAAATCACAAGACAAAATAATGAAAAAATGTCAGATACCGGAAATGCGAAGGCACACGGATCTTGTAGTGATAATATTGTCCGTGTGATTTTTTTTTTTATTATTTTCTAATGTACAAGCGGCGTTATATTGATTATCGAATATCTAATTATCACAAAATTTACGTGACACTAATTAATCGATGTCGACGTTATTATCATAATCAAAGTCAGCATTTCAATAGATGATGAATTATTAAATTAAGCTGACAGTATTTCATACAATTCCATTGAGAGTTACATTATTCTCAAATTTATCATTATTCATGAGTTAAATCACTTACTCACCATAATTAACGTGTTAATAATATAGCCGCTATTTAACGCCATCGCTTATCGGTAACAGACACTCGTATTTTTTTCCCTTTAAATCGCTCATTTGGCGATTGCTAAATTTATAAACACATACAAACATTAAAAAGACCAACATTGTGGAGAAAAATAGGAGCATTGTCGTTGAAGATATTTGATTGTAAAGATCGTAAGACAATCCGCACTTTTAAATTGAGCTCCTCAATTGGCTTCTGTTTCAATTTAAGGGTGGTTTTTTTTATTAACTTGTATATGGTTCTGAGCCGTCAAACAATCATGCGGCACATGCGAAGGACGATGGACAGGAGCATCACCCACGCAGATCGAGCTACTGAACTACGGGATAAAACAAGACGCAGGACAAATATTACTACACTGAACTGTACCATTTTTTGGATCCAATATAATCTGAAAAAAGAAAAATTCAATAAACTTAAGACTTTATATTTAAAATAAAAACTCTCATAAATATCGAATTTTTTCGTACTTTTATTAATTTTTAATAATTAGAAGAAAATGTTTTACCTCATAATTTGTGAGCGTGCAACTGGCAGTGTATCCAAACTCTCTTTAAAGATAAACTGTCTTATTCCCAATATATAATTTTCCAAATAGGAAGGCCAATCAATCTGCCTAACATCAAACATAAATGTTTGTCGATCTTCGGGACTAATTTGCTCATTAAGTTTTCTAACATTATCGTCTTTAAAGTTCCACTGTTGAGTCGTAAAATATTGCAAACAAGTGGCAGCTTTGCTCAATTTTTTTTGTAGGCGTAACATTACTGGTTCTATACCCTTCATTCGAGCAATCAAATCAAGAATGTGGGCGGGCAAAATGTGTTCAAGTGTCACATAAATGTTGTTTATGAATGAATACGTCTGGCATGTACCACCTGGATACCAAATTACATCATTTGTTGGATATATTCGACTGTATTTAAATGATAAATCAATAAATTCTTTCCAAGTTATCGGATTTTGTTGACCAGTACAACAATTGTAAACTGTAATTTTATCTGTACGGTGTGTTGCAGTTTTCCATGCTGCACAAATCATCAAATTTATCACAACATCAACAGGAACAAGATCTGCAACCATGTCTGTATGACACAGCATTGTTCTGAAAAAAAATTTTAAATTGATTTATCATCAATAAATACAAATTTTTATTTATTCATTAGTTTATTCAAAATATTTAACATCCAAGTGCATAGTTAATTAACAACAAATTTATTGTAAATACTTTACTTATTTAAACAAATATTGAAATTTTATAGAGTTTTGTTTACCTAAACATCCCTTTGCCAGCGGCAGCAATTATTCCAGTTGGACCATTTGGGTTGTCTACCCAACCAGCAACTGGTTCTCTCAATGAAGACAAGACGATTGAAGGTCTAACAATAGCTACTGGTAAAGAACCACTCTCACCCTGAAGCATAGCTTCTGCTAAAGCTTTGGTAAATGTGTAAGTATTTGGTCGACCTTCAATTAACTTTGGCGTCAATTCTTCAACTAGTTTGTCATTTATGAACCTGGTATAAGCAATCACTTGTTCGGGGTCTTGTGGTGGTGGATAAATTACTTCATCAACTTCCTTACGATCACAATTACAATAAGCTGTTGAGACATGAATAAGAGCCTGAAAAAAACAATCAATTTTTTAATGATTATTTAAAATATCTTATTTTATGTATAACACTAGCTTATTAATAATAAAATTACCATGATTTTATTATACTCGCGCGAAAAGGTCACTTTTTTATTGAAATATAGATAGAACTTTTCGCACAAGTATAAAAAAAATGGTGTATCCGGTTTTAGGAAGAACCATTAGATTGTAAATTAGTATTGTTATTACTTATAAACAATACCAATAGTATATCGATATGGGTGGAATGTATTAAGTGATACTAACCTCTAAATTAATCATTCTATGACATAGATGTACGATTCGTCCACTGCCCAGCATATTAATCATGACAGAAAGCTTGAGAGCTTCATCGAATTTAACGGTTGCTGCTGAATGAAATACGATCGATACCTGTCTTGTTAGAATTTCTTGATCAGCCTCTGAAATTCCTAGCTCAGGTTCTGTCACATCACCAGCAATTGGAATTATTTTCATCAATTCATGAGGACTATTTCGACGGAGTTTATCAAATAGCTGCCAAAAGATAAGAATCATTCAAGTGAGTATAATTTTTAAGTATTAAGTTCAATCATTCATTTTATAACGATAAATTTCTAAATTAAAATAATTAAAAATTACCATAAATTAAGATCATCTTACCGGTGCATTTAAAAGCTCTGATAGCCTTTCATCAACGCTCTGTCCTTTTTTTGATCTTATAAGTAGATAAATATTTTTAATTCCAGGACACGATCGTAGGAGCTTTTCAACAAGAACTTTTCCCATAAAACCGGTACCACCGGTGATGAAAATGGATTTTCCCATGTAAAAATCTTTAACGGATGTATACTCTCCTCCAGCCATTGTTGCCATTTCTTGATGTTTGTATTACAATTTGGATATACTCGTGTTAATTTTTTTTGGAAGTCAAATATGATGTAAAAAGCACTAGAACTTTATCAGTTTTCACTTATCCAGACTTACGAAGAAGTGTTTTAACTGATTAATCTTGAAAATGAAGACTTGAATTATGCGTTAACGTCCATTGATGTTTGATAATATTTGTTCTTAATCATTTCCCAAATATGTATGTTAAGCCAAACATTTTAAGAACATTTTACATATTAACCTCCAACCTCCTGAAACCAAAATATTTGCGTAATTAATAAAACAAAAAATAAACAAATTCTTTTATATTATTTCTTTTAAAAATCTACGCATTATAGCCGTGTACTTCTTTTCTAAACTTATACTTTATTCGTCAGTGAGACTTTTTACAAACTATCTGCTTTCATATAATGATACGTTATAATAACTAATAGATTTCAAGATAAAAACCGACGTAGTTTCGATAAAATTTAATGAGGTTTACTCAGTGAATAAATTTTCTTGTATGACTGTAAAAACAATACTTTTTTTTACGACCTTATGATACTAAAAGTTAATCCATCAAAAATATCTAAAATTTCAGGTATTATTCTTCAAAAATTATTTAATGCCATTCAGAACACAATAACATCATTAAAAATTCTTCTACAGAATGAATAAAAGCTAAAAATATTGACAAATTGAATACCTTAACCAGTATATAAAAAAAGAAATCCTCAACTAAATAATGAAAACCGATTTAACTAAATAAAATTAACTAAATAGTTGCTTCAACAATAGTCAGATGTTGAATTGCAGGTTTTTAGTTGTCATGAATGTAGGTCACATTTGTATTTTAACTGAAGACAACGTTTCTATTATTATTGACTCAAATATGTATATTGTCAAAGTTTTCATAATAGAATAGTGCCTTATATTAAATTTTGTATTTAAAATCAAATTTTTCTATTGTAATAGAATGAAAGAAGAGAAATGAATACATACAGATGATCATGATAAATTTCAAAAATATCACAGACAATTTTAGTAGTTGGTATTGCAATAATATTTCTAAAATAGAAGAACACTTTCAAGATTTACCAAGTGTAAATGAAGCAGAACTTGGAAAAATAATATCAGTGTTGTTAATGATGATGATGATGATGATGATGAGAATACCATTGCCAATCTATGTAAAGATAATCTTTAATCTTTAATCAATAATAAAAGGTTTCACGTGCTGCATTTATTTGGAGAAACACTTGGTATATTGTATTAATATCCAATAATAATAGACTCTAATGGTACTAGCTATCAGTGTGTGAGATAGTAAGAGAAATAAAGCAGCATATTTGGATAACTGTTGGTAGTTGGGAATATTATAGTATAGATTCTGATGCCATTCATTTCCAAGCTTCATTAAATAATGAGCTAAGCAAACTACCATTCAATAATATATAACTATTGGTCGCCATTTTGACAGTTCAATCTTATGCCATGAATGAGTGAATGATAAATGAAACTGCACTTAGCTATAAAATGTCAATTCATACCAATGTAATCAGTTATTAAAAAATCATCAGCAACAGTAATGACAATTGTTGATATCACACTTAAACAGATTCGTCTGTTGTTGATGAAAACTATACAATTATTATACAACTATACAATTATTATGTATATGAAATATCAACTCTATTTATGATGATCTGTCAATGTAAACTTAAATAAGATTGCTATAGTTGATGATTCCAGTATCATAGATTTCCTATATCATAGATTTACAAACTGGTCACACACGTCCTACTTACAAACATTGCTATGTACTCAGTACTATATCCAGTTGATTCACATTCAAGAGAAATTCAATCGACTATCGATGTTATCAGATATCACGTATCAGCAAAATTAATCTAATTAAACAATGAAATTAGTGGTAACCTTGCCAAGAATTTACTACAAATAAATCCCAAAATTCTAGAGAATTTAGTCAAATTCAACTACCAATAATACAAGAAAAAGTATTTATGAACTGGAATTTAGATATTTGAAGTGTTTGTTCGAATTGTATTAGTAATCAAATATTCAATTTTAGATAAAAGATTATGAACATGGCTATTTTTTATGCTTGAAAAGATTTTACATTGATTTAAACTTGAAGAGATAGTTTTTTTTTTGCCACATATATAAACTTTGCTCACTTTCTCGTTTAATGAACTCATTATTAATGAATGAATTAAATATTTTCCATCTCTAGAACTTTCTTGATTTAAAAGCTCTTTACTATGACTTATTTTCTTAATAAAATTCTAACAAATGAATAATTCCAGATATTTAATATAAACTTTTTCTACTGTAATAAATCAAACCAAAAAATTTAATCAACATGACCTTTTTTTTATAAACAAATAATGTTATTTAATAGTAGGATTATATTTATTCTTTAAAATACAAGACAAATTTCTAGGATATAGAGAAATTAATGAGAAAAAAAGAAAGAAAGTGATTTATAATTATTTTTTTTTTTCATAAATTGCAGATGATGAAGAAGAAGATGAATATTTTCACAAGCTTTTGTGAGTTGAAAAAAGCTTGACAAACTCGGGCAGTGAGTCATAAGCGAGCAACGAGGCGCTAGTATAACGGGTTTTCGTGTAACGGGGTCGGGTATCTTTCTCGTTTAATGTACACTCTTTATCCCTCCACCTTTTCTCATTCCCTTTTCTTATTCTTCTACCTCTTCACTTCATGATACCACGCGAGTATGCTACTGAGGAGGGTTTTGTGACCGCTAAGAGAAGTTGGGATACTGACCTGGAATCTTTTAAAAATCCGTTACTGGCTAAAATTTACTCGCTTTCAATTTAGCATTTATTAAGTACAGTATTTTTATATGCAAATATGCATATCTTTACTTTTATTTTATCATTCCGGATATAGATTGAATATAATTGCTCATCAGACAAATTTAATACTATCAGCTTCATTTTAATTCTAGACAAATAGTCAATTTTACTCTTACATGAATTCGTGATATCTTAAAATTTCTTATATTTCTGTACATTTTATTTCAAGTGAAGGTAACGAGGTTAAGGCTGTTTCTCAAGTAATTACACGAAAATTATGAAGTAAAAATAATATTTCCATTGTTAAATCAACTTTTTCTGTGTCACAATAAGTTTATTTTTTTTCTTTAGCAAATGAATGAACCATAAATGATGATAATAATAATTATTATTACATCATTTTTACTATTTGCAGTTATTAACAATTTTAGGTCATTATTTCAAGATAATCTTCTTTTTTTAACAATTTTTTGTTTTTTATTTTAGTATAACACTTTTTGATAGGAGAACAATTGAGTAAAATTGATTGAAAAAATTTCGTATTAAAGTGGAGGAAAAAATAAATTTAAATTTGAATAAAATTTATAAAATATTCTGAGAGTTTGATAAGAAGCTCGAGCCAAATAATAGCAGAAAAATCGTTACAGGCTCTGCTACATAAAGTGTTAAAGTGTCGACTTAATATTGCGTGTGTAATTGTATCGTGTGTTTCAGTAAAATGTACCATAAGTGCATGTAGTAAATGAACGAGAAAAAAAAATACTTGAAAACTCAATGATACAGTTTTTAGATAGCAGTAATGTAGATTGGATACAATATATAATCAATTTTATTTAGGGGAAAGTAGGGTACAGTAAGATACTGAAAAATGATTTTGTTATATAATATGGGGAGGAACTGAAATATAATTTCTAATTGTAGCTACCCTAAAACTACTTCAGAGTTGCCCTACAAATGCCCAACAATACTACATAGTTGAAAAATTTTTCTTTCAATCAGATACACAGTGAAATAAATCTGAAGTTTTGTTAAAATATTTTGTTAAATATTTTTTCTATATATTTAATAAATATCTAGTATATCAGATAAATTTATCTATATCAAATTTAACAATCTTTATTGTTGACTATCATAACTGTGTTTATAAAATCTGATTTAAATAAATAAATAATTTTAGATATTTTTTTTTTTAAATAAACAAAATAGGATTTACTTTCTATTTATATTTAAATATAAATAAAATAAATGCTGGAATAAATTTTAAAAATACAATTATCATCTGTCCTATTGTCGAAAAAAAAAAATAATTATTAATTACGAAAAAATTGTAACTCGAGTTAAAAAAAATTACAAACTTCCGTTTTCAACACAGTCGGCAAGCGAGTATTTATCTTTTATTTCACTATCACTCCACGTGAATGTCTGGCAACACAATAAACGAACGTCACTGCTAAAACTCGTTACAACTTAAGTAGAAAAAAAAATTGATACAAATGTTACTCCATACTAATTAATCATTTTTACATTTAACATCACTTTATGCATAATCATTAATTCATACATTTTATATATCTTCACTTCCAGTTCTCTCCTATCATAGAAATGTCCTACAAAAATAATTTTCATTTCATTGACACCAATGGTATTTCAATAAAAAAAAAAAAAGGACGATAACCGTAACCAAAGTTTATGGTAATTATTAAATGACTGTTAATACCGGTTTTATCTGAGTCAGAAATAAGGGACATGATTCTCATCATAAACACATTCAACACATCAGCATACATATATGCGTTAATAACCTGCTTGAATCACTAATTTAAGTATGCCACTCGGCCATTCACTCCAAAATCCTTGACCGAACGACAGCAGGAAGTGAAGGTCAATAAGGAAAAGCCTCTGAGGAATTTAAAATATCAGCGAGATCTTTATCAACACTTTAAACAAGAAATTATAGATGGACTAGTTTAAATAATATAAAGATGATTTTAAAAATGATTAAATACTTAATCAACAATTGATTCTGTAATAAGATTAAAATAATTAATAAAATAAATAATAATGCAGTACTAAAGAATTATTAAAAATAATTTAGATAGACTTTATTTTAATTGAAGATTACGAAGTGAGGAAGGAAAAAATTCTGTAAAGGTACAAGTGTGTTGGAAGCTTTGAATTTCTTCACTTGGGGAATTAAAATTACAAGAACAATTTAACATTACCCTTGCTTCCACTTTCACTCTTACTTTCTTTAACTGATCGTGACCTTGAACTTGATAAAGGATATGGGATTAATAAATATTCTTAAAAAGGTTTATTCTAGAAGACGTCATGATGTACTAAAAATTTTAGCAAAAATACATAAACTATGCAATTATTTGAACTTTAATTTATCGAGAAAAATAATTATTTTAGGATTTGTGTCTTGGCAGTGAAAATTATTTCAAGTATATTTCCTTGGGGAATTTTTGCAAATTTTATTTTTATGCAAATACTTTTAAAATTGATAAAAGATGATTATTTTTTAAATGATTATATAATAAAACTTAAGTTTGACAATTTAATATAATAAAATACACAATTTATTAGCAATAAAATAAACTAATAATTTCGATGTCGAGAATACCGTTACTTGCTCTAATTCAGTCCGGTTCAACTTCCGCGTGCAGACAGTTAAGCAATAACAGGTATCAAACATATTTTGATTAAACAAATATTAATATATATTTAAAAATTCGGAAATATTCTAAAAGATATTAAATATATAAAATCGAGAAAAATATTGTTTAAATTAGTAGACGAAAAGATATTTCAATTTAATTTTCATTTGTTAAAATAAAAAAAAAAAAAGTATCTCATTAAAATGATAATGCGTCAATGAATTTTAATAATAATTTCAATTAATTGAGTTAGTCTGACCTGGTACGCACAAATGTTCATTAACAACGTGGAATTTGCAGAGGAATAATAAAAACAAAAGTCATGGAAAAATTAAAAAAACGAAAACTTCAAATTCACTGAATTATTTTACACAAATGAAAAAATTATTAAACAATTTTCATTACCATTTGTAATAATAATAAACAAATATACCCATTAATAGCAATATATAAACTGACTATTGAGCATTTAAAAATTTTGAGCAACAAGATCCTTTCAACTTGAAGAATGAAAGGTAACTGAGTCAACCATACAACATACTGAGTATCTTATATTATCTTATAGAAACAGGTACTCATCATTTTCTTCCCCTTCCATATGATTTATTTATAATAATGAAGATTATAACAACTTAATCAAAATAAACATAATTAAAAATAAAATTAAAATACATTAATTATCTTAAAATCAAATATTTAATGATAATATTTATTTAAACTTCTATTAAAAAACATTAATCATTATTTATTCTTTAATAATAAATTGGTAATAATTAATTAATTAATTATAATTTATGACACTATCAAAACCGTTATTATAATTAATTATTTATTACAAATAAATTATTTGTTTAATATTCAAAGGAGTAGTTAGTTATAAATCGAAATATTACAATTAAAATTATGTAATAATAATCAATAAGTAATCGATATGAATATTATTTAAATATGTAAATTTTGTGTATTAGATTTAATTGTTAATAAACATGTATTTTTATCTTTAATCGATTTATTTATTGAACCATTGACATTTTTTTTATTTATTATCATGAAATAAAGAAGTTTATAACAAGTTTGTAATAGAAAAAATGCTCCATAAAAAAGTCAACTAAATGTATAGCAACTTTTAAAAAGTAACTTGCAAGTTTATGATAGTATATTTTACGGAATTCTTAAAAAAGTTTTTAAACACAAATTCAAAAAGTTAAAACATCATTTTAAAGCTTGAAATTTATTAAGAAATAAAATAAAAATTTTTATTTAACATAATATAATATAATTTAAATAATAAATTAAATTTTTACTTTTGATAGAAATAAACCTTCAATAGTATTGAATGAAATGTATTATCATTGAACTGAATATTATTAATAATTCTAATAAAAATAATGCAACTGGTATCTCACACGAAGTTAAAATATCATTTAGATCTTATTTTATCACTAATAATAGAATACCAACATAGTAGAAGTGTAAAACATAAGTGACAATTGCATATAAATGTACATATACTATAACAATACGCTTGCGCTGCAAATTTACCAACACTAGATAAACGCACAGAGGGACACTTGGATCGATCTTTTCCTTGAGTAGAAAGAGCAGTTGAAAGAATATTAAACCTATTTTTTTTATCCTCTATATCACTAGCATTTTATACAGAATAAAATATCTTTCATTAATACAAGTATACTTGAGTTTATTTTTAATGACAATTTTTTTTTTCACAATTTCCTTCATCAATTATGAATGAATATCACCAATATCATTTTACATTGACAAATTTATTCTCAAGTATCCATAGCTCATAGATGATTGTAAAAATTTTATCAACAAATAATGCAAATAATGATGTTACTAAAAGTTAATATGAATGTGATAAAAATAAAATTTCATATTAATATAAAAAATTGATGGTTAACTAAGGATTCAATAATAGATAATTGATTGAAGACAAAAGAATATTCAAAACTTAAAAGTACTTGTGTATTATTAAGTTTAAGAACAGAAAGAATTTTTAAAATTATTGAATTATCGAGTGTCTCGATACAAGAGTTGGAGCAAGGGTTTACGGAGGGAAAAAGTTAGGGGAAGCTTGTTATATGAGAAGGGGAAAACGAGGAGAAGAGATCACCGCATTGGGCGGTGGTGCATCTAATCAAGTTGAACAGAAATGTAGGTACCGGCGACTACAGACAAGTGCAGACGAGTCTAACGTAATCCAAGGTAGACAAGTCTATTTAATTCACCTCTTCTCTACTTCAGAACTTTAAATTATTAATACTATGTAAATTTTTTTACTCGTTAATTATCTGTCATTAACATTTAACCTTTTATTGTTGGTATAATTAATCCACCTTTAATGAATTCACCACATGGTCACATCACATTAACTTTTAATTAATCCATTCAATTTAAAGTAAATGAAAATCAATGAAATTTTTGAGTTCTTAATCCTCTTTGATAAGTTGATATTGTAGTAGCAACCAGAAAAAGATAAAATATATATGACAGATTGAAAATAAAATGGTAAAACTGTCAATACATGACTAGCAAAATAGCATGTCAAGAAAATGTTATTAAAAATAATGATACTAAAGAATAATTGAATAGATCAAGTTAAAATGTTTAGTAATTTTAGACAAATTTTCTATAATAAGGTTAAACTCAATGATAATCTATTTGTGGATATATCTGAATTTTAATATCTAAATGCCGGGTATGTGTCATCATGTATAGAAAAAACTGAGGGAGAATAACGATGAATAGAGAAACTCAACCGTTATCTTTCTGGCACGATTATACTCTCTATTGTTACAACTCTTAGTCGACCCGGAAAAGCAGCTGGTAAAGGTGCAGCTATATCTGAATTCACACGCGAAAATTCTCATTTAATTTTTGCCTTTTTTTTCGTATGATTTTCCATCAATATCATGTAGATGTTTTAGCGAGGTTGAAACGAGACTAAAATGATACTTTCCCGTTCAACGTAACACTTAAATATAACATGAACCTCAATAATCAACATTTTAATTGATATTAGTCCAAGGAATACGCATTGACAAATTATTTCCAATTTTTTCTTGTCAATTAGGTGCGGCTCTAAAAAAGAAAAGGATAGGCGATGCTGTGCCTGATTACTACCCCATATACAAAACTCACCGGGACTGACAATGACAGATAGAAATTCCTATTTATGATGGCACTTTCTGTTTGTGCGAGCTCCTCTTGAATTATTGTTGCCGCAAGAACGGCTTGTTTAACACAGGAACCCGCACTTCTCACGTCTTTTACACTTTTCAGCACGTATCCGTCGCACGTCAACCGTGTCCGCCATCTTGGGGAAACTGCCAAGTACAGTTAGAGAAACTGAACCGTACAAAAAGTCACCACGCAAATTATTCGACAAGAAAAAGGGCTCTCACAGGGCTTACACTACACTGTGACACTACACTAAAGCTTTCCCTCAGCATCTGGACGTTTTCTATTGAAGGATCCAACCAAACTGCCGATATCGTTCGAGGCTTGTTACCACCCTCCCCTCTAGATGTTCTATTTTTGATATTTAGTAACTATCAACCAACGGCGGCAATACAGAAATTATTTTTTCACCATTTCATCATTTTAATTATCCACATTTTTGCTATAAATGTTATTTATTTTATTATTGATATTTATTAATTAATTCAACTAAAATATATTCTTCATTATTATTAAATAATTTATCTATTTCAATACTCATCATCAATTTCGTTTACAGGTAATTTTTTCAATTTAATATCAGAAGAAACTATCATTCAATAAAATCAAATCAAAAATTTAATGTTTAATCCAAAGATTTTATCATGATTGATTGATTACAAATAATGTTAATTGTACATTTGTTAATTATATTTTCAAAAAATCAATCAATGCATCATTAAAAGGATTTTTTCTGGATAAAATTATTTAAATAAAATTCTCAATCACACAATGATTTAAATCAAATCGCGGGTGGTGAATTGCATTAGGAAAGTTTTATGCCATAAAAGTTGGCAGAATCAAATGCATGAGTGGCGCCACTATCATTTTTCATATTTTTTTTTAAGCATTCTTATTTGAATATAATAATGTACCTTATATAATATCAAGGTAATCCCTTTAAATTCAATTTTCTACTACTATCATCATTACCTTGGAATAATTGCTTTGGTATTTAATATTACATAAGTTATATTTGACATCATTAGCACGTGTGAAGAAGTCGAAATGGATTTAATTTTAGATATTAAAAACATGCGCAATATAAACAGTCAAGAGAGTCTGCGCTAATCAATCCTTGTCATTTGAATACAAATTTCTACCAAGATTGCGGTATAAATAAAATTGTAACATGGAATGCCATGAACGGTGAAGAATTTCTTAGAAAAACTTTATTATTTTCTATTGTTTATAATCCAAGGTCAGTGATAAACCACAATACAATCTCAGTAAAGATTAACCTAGAAATGTAAACAATTGTTGATTCTTCAATGTTTTTTTTTTCTTTTTAGATATGCAGTTTTTTGTAGTCAACATGACTTGTCTCAATTCCTAAATATTATGTTTATTTAGGCATAATTTTGAAGAATTTTTGCTTTGTTTTTTTTATTGCACAAAAAATCAGATTAGTTAATTATTAATAAGAATTAACTAATAATTATTACAGAGGAAAAAGTCAAAAAAAATATCAATACTCACATCTGATTGAAAAGAAATGAAAATCAATTCAAAGAATTCAGTCAAGAAGTCAATAATCATCTTATTGATGTACGATCGTTATTCACAAAATAAATACACTGCAGTAGAAAGATAAGGTCAACGCTCTATTATACTTTCTAACTAAACCGTTTCAACTTGTCCTCCCTTGATTCGTGCTGAGTGTCGATTGACAATAATTGTGCGGATGTACAACATTTACGAGAATGAAATACCATCGCAAAAGGTGAGTCATCACTAAATACTTATGGCAATGACAACATTTATTTGTAATAACAATTTATAAATGATTTGACACAAAAATGTGGAAATTTTTTATTATATTTAATCTTTTTTTTTTCTATTTTAACAATTTTATATTGATTCCTTTTTTAGAGAGTCAGTATTGTCTACGTTCAACTGTTACTTAAAATTTATCATAATAAATCTAATAAATGGCTCGTATATGTCTCATCAAACATAACATCTAGATAACATAAATCACAAAATTTAATAATCATTTCGAAAAACTCTTTTAGATCAAAGTTAATTAGTAATTGAACTCGTCATCTTCTTGAATAGAAAAAAAAATATCAAGAATTAATAATTGAAAAAGAAAAATCAACATATTTATAATATTTATTTAAACTTATTACAAAATTGCAAATATTAGGAAACAAGTAAATTAATGAAAAATATTCAGAGCATTAATTATGAAAATTAATTTTTTCGGTTCAAGTATTCACACTATCAGCAGTTGAAAAATATTCATTATGTAATTACTAAACTGTTTTTATTCATTTTAAATAATTAAATAATTAATATTCATTTTTATTCTTTATTATTAATAGAAAATTTTTTGTTAAATAGTGGGTTCTTTTTTTTTTCTTTTTAAATATAATTGAAGAATTGTATCAATTAGATTAGATTGGATTATAGGAAGTATTGATTGAATTTTATCATTCTCCTGTAGTCCGTCAATCCCCACTTATATTTTCTTATTTAACGTAATAACACTGATATTGTTGTACGCTGTATTAACATAATCTGATGGATATCGCCAATGCCAATGCCACTTATTACTCCATTCAAAGCTTGTAAAAGGTTCAAGGACAGCCAGCTCACTATTTACTATTTTCATTAACAAGTTTGCTATTTGCTATGATTAACAGTAACGTAAATAAAATTTCCAACTAACGTTACGAAAGAAATTTTTCACACATAAATATTAAATATTGACATATGCAAAGTGCTGCAATTCACTACTTCCACAAAAGTAAGTTGAGATGATGTCAAACTTAATTACATCCCTTTTTTAATGACTCATCTTCTAGTCGGTTGATGTAATTCATCTTTTATTATGACATTATGGTGCTCCAAAAATACTTTTCAAATGTTTTTTTCTGTAAGTAAGAATGTGAATTTACAAGTTCGATAAATGATGTAAAAACTTTAAATTAATATCTCAAATAATTTAAAAGGATTTTTTAAATATTAAAAATATAAATTATTATCAAAGAAGAGATAATAAAAAGCAAAGTAATAGTGCAAGAAAATCATATGAAAAATAAAAAATATTTTTTAAATTTATCTATTATACCGATAATAGGTTATGTATTACAAATAACTATTTTCTAAATTATCGACTTTTCTGTTTTATCAAAAAAACCGTACAAAATAAAAGTGAAAGTGAAACAAAAATTTTAAAAAAGTAAGTAATCTTTTCTATTAGAAAGGAAAAAAAATTTTAATAACTAAGTAAATTGTCGGAGTATTTGCAGTTCATTTTGTCAAGTTATGAGAACCCCTTATGACCCAGCATCTCACTAATAAAAATTTTCAGGTATATTCTGTGAGCATTCCTCAGTGTCCTTGCCTCAATGTAGTGTTCAGTGCCCCCTTCACGTTTCTAACAGCTAGAGAGATTGTCCAACCTGAATGTCTATTGGACGTGGTAATGTAGTGCTTCATATCAGGTGTAGCGTCCACCAGTGTTCAGTTAAGTTCTCGACTTTGCTGTTGGTTACAGCTGGTTACGTATCCTATTATTTGTTCAGTTATTTTAATTCATAAGTTTCTCTTTTATAACAACTATTTATCTATTCTAAACTATCATCTCAGAGATATTTGAAAGGATTGTCGATTCTAACCAACGAATGTCTTAATTTAAAATAGAGAAAACAGGCAATATTTAATATTAACTAATTGCTGTAAAAACAAATAAAACGTGATAATGGCATCTCAGGTGTTAGATTTTTATAGAGGAAAAAATATTTTCATTACTGGTGGAACTGGTTTTGTTGGAAGCTGTCTTATTGAAAAGTTACTTCGAAGTATTCCTGATTTAAAAAATATCTATGTTTTAATGAGACCAAAAAAAGGAAAACAAATAAAAGAGAGACTTGAAACGCTCATCAAAGACTCGGTAAAAATTTTTTAATTATTAAACAAAAAAAATTTATTTTATATTAATTTAAGGTTATTTAATCTAATTAATCGAATAAAAAGGAAAAATAATTTAAAAAATCAGTTTAACATTACTATTACGGTAATAATGTCATTATTTTATTATAGGTATTCGATAGACTTCGTGAAGAAAAAAAAGAGTATTTATTTAACAAACTTATTCCTATTGCTGGTGATGTTGGTGCAGAAAACTTGGGATTATCTGCTGAAGATCGATTTACTCTTGTTGAAGAAGTAAATGTTATTTTTCATTCAGCGGCCACTTTGGACTTTGGAGCCAGTTTGAAATCTGCTATTGATATAAATCTCCTAGGAACACGACGAATAGTACAATTGAGTCAAGAAATCAGAAATCTCAAGGTAAACAATGATCATTTTATTTGAACATTTATTTACAAAATAAATGTGTAAATATGGAAATTATTTTAATGTAATACTTTTAAATATCAATCATACTTTTAAAGATAATATTTATTGAAATACTTGTATATCTATTTATTTCTTTATAGCGTAAAGTATTTATCAACTTAAATATTTGATATCAATTACATAAGAAGATATTTACAATCATGTATTCCATTTGTAATTCTTTAATATATTCTAAATTTTTTTGTAGGCAATCGTACACGTATCAAGTGCTTACGTGAATTCATTCCTTTTAGAAACAAAAGAGCAAATATATCCTGCACCAGCAGATGTAGAGAAGGTGATTAAAATGTCGAATGAATTAGATGAAAACCAATTAGCTGAAGAAGAACCAAAGTTACTTAAGGATCATCCTAATTCTTATACTTTTACAAAACACTTAGCAGAACATGAAATAGCTAATGCATCACTTGCAGCTGCTATTGTCAGACCTTCCATGAGTAAGTTTATAGTAACTATTGAAATAAGGAAACTAATTTTTTTTCTTGAAGTAATTTTTTTGTAGCTTTTTTTCAAATTTATATAAAATGTTATTTCTTGCCACATATTACTGCTAAAAAGAAAAACAACTTTTAAAAAGTTTCATTATCTAAATTAATTTTTAATCTTTAGAAAAAATTTATTGTTAGTAATTGGAATCGTTTCTTTTTCAACTTTTTTTTTTTTTAATTTAACATCACAAAATATCATCGAATGAAATAGGTTTTTCTAGTCACTAATTAATATTGAATAATATGTTGATAACATTCATGCAAAAACAGTTAAGTGTCAATTAAAGATTGGTTAATTAATTGGAAATTTATTCATTTGTTAATGATTGTTTATTGATAATAATTCACATTTAAATTTACCCTTGTTTTTACCAATAATTATTATAAAAATACTTTTTAATGAGCAAGACTGATAAAAAAAGGCTATTACCATTAACCTCGATGTTTCTAGTCAATAATGTCAACAAATGAGCGTATTTATCTAAGTTATGTCATTTTTTAAATAAACGTTACACTGGTAAAAAGTATGCTCTTTTATTTACTAAACTAATGAATAAATTTATATCTTTAATGAATTTTCTAGTTATTGGAGCATGGAAAGAACCAATACCCGGCTGGACCACATCAAAAAATGGACCTCAAGGTTTTTTAATGGGTGCCAGTAGAGGAGTAATCCGTCGTTTACCGATTTATCCAGATCTAATAAACGATTATATACCTGTTGATGTTGTTGTGAATTCATTAATAGTTGCTGGTTACACAGCTGGTACCAGTCAGTAAGTTATCAATATTAAATACCAAAAAAAAACTTTAGACTCAATTGATAACTCATTATATTACTTCATTGTTTTAGTGAAAAAAAAATTAAGGTATACCATTGTACTTCAAGCACTTGTAATCCATTCCGTTGGAGTATGATAGAATCAAAAGTGAATAAATATCTTCACAAATATCCGCTCAAATCTGCTGTTTGGTATCCGCATATCAAATTTCTGCCACTTTGGCTTTTTAAAATTTCAGCTATTTTCATTCATATGATTCCGGCTTATATACTGGATACAGTTACTAAATTAGCTGGAGGAAGACCAATGTAAGTAACATTTTGAAGTAGTAACATATTTTTTTTTTATTTTTATTAAAAAAATACAGAGTTTATTTTATTAAAACTTTCTTAATTAAGATGATCATAAAAATATGCTAATAAATCAGCATTAGATATTAAAAATAATGAAGAATTATGAATGAAATTATTCAGTGAAATTAATAAAAATATTATTTTTTCATGTCATCAAGTCTCGTCCGATTACATACTAATGTAAACAACTCTCTTGGCCGTTTGGAAAAATTCATCGTTACTGAATGGAAGTATCACAATCCTCGATTACTTGCATTACATGAATCTTTATCAGATGAAGATCAAAAATTATTCTACCTTGACATAAGATCCTTAGTATGGGAGGATTATTTTGTTGATTTAACCAAAGGAGTAAGAGTTTATTTAAGTAAGGATCCATTAAAAACTCTTGAAGCAGCACGTTCCAAAGATCAAATGTAAGTTTTTTCCATTGAATAAGTATGATTGCTAAAATCTGAATATTTTCCAATCACATTTATACTATATTATAGCACGATTAATTGACTTTTTCTTCCGATCAAAGTCTTAATTGCAATTCTTTATATTTTCAGTTTATTAGTTGCACATTTGGGGCTTCAATTTGCATTGATGGGACTTGTTTGGTGGATTGCTAAGTTTATTTTAGGCTCTACTTGGACAAAAACTGGAATGATTGTGCCTTTATTTTATTTTCTCTTTAACCAAATTTAAATACATTTCTATTCTCATCATTCCATTAATGGTTAAACACCAGTTTATTGAAATAATTGCTGCAATGATTTGTTAACACATCAGTAGAAAAATTGTATTGTTGATACATTTTTATATCCTTTTTTACATTTTTCATATGATAGAATAGATTTTTCTGATCAAGCTATCGTTAGCTGAATATTATATAAATTTGATTATAAAATTAACATTAATACCTGATAACTTAATTAGTTATACATTTATATGCATTGCATAATGCACCAAGTATACATTACTGTGTGTGTTATGGAAAATGATTAAATATTCTCTGAATTTTAATATATTTGTTTTTAAAAAAATAACCAAAATGAAATATTTCAAAATATTAAGATTACAATATTATTAAATAAATAGAAAATATTTATGGTGTATGTATTTCATCATTTATATATAAAAATAAATTAATTTTTATTGTCAAAAGAGATTTTTAAAGACAAAAAATTTTCCCACAGTACACTTATTCTATTAATCAGAATATATAAATAAATATATAGAAAGTATTTATTTACATATTTGGCAATATCCGAAGGGCATGAAAAATTAAGTAATGAATCCGAAAAACTTTCTCGGCTTTCTTTGTCTAAAAAAATTCGACCTTGAGTAATAGAGTGTGACACTGCAGGCTTTCGGATCTACGAAAGTCCAGTTAAAATATAAATCGATAATAGTGAAAAAGTGAGTGAATTGGCATCCAATTCGTGGTACAAAATGTGGGGAATACCGTGATTTAAGAAGGAACGAAGGCCAACTGCAGTGGCTTGCGGTTGACTCAACGTGTAGTCGATCAGTTCTTCAACGGCAACCCGTGGCATTCATTGGATACTCAGGCTGCTCAGTCATAGAAAAATTTTAATTGAATACGTGTATTTATTGCTGACCATTTAATTATTGTAGTTTAATAATTAGTGGCTGGTGAAATTACATTTTAATTTTTAGTAAAGAAATTTTTTTACTATTCAAGCAGGTATTTATGAATTTTATACCACCTTTTAAACTTCAACTTTTTAATAAATTTTTAATAAGTAATTATTAACTTGGTAGGAATTTCTTTTTTGAATTATCAAAATAATAATCCAAAAAATGTCATTGATGAAAAAATAATTAATTATACAGTTGGCAAATTTTCTGTAAGAATGACCATAAAAAGGACTTTTTTGGAATAAATAATGAATAAATCAATGATATGTCAATAGAATTGTAAAGTTGTTTTTCTCTATTAAATCGCTATCGATGACAAGGCGAATAGATTATCATTGTTCTTAGAGAACATTCGATGAATATATTGAAAAAAATCTCATATAAATAAAGACTCAATTATTCATTTAATTTATCACTATTAAACGCGTCACTTTTTAATGATAAAATTGGTATAGCAAGTAAGAGAAGTCATGGTTAATATTTTAATATTGTAATCGATAAAAATGACAATCATAATTTTTTGCTAATTGTAATTAATTTGCTTTTCTTTGTTTGGTGTTTTTATCAGCAGCTCAAATTAACATAGATGACAATGGAATCTAAATCACCAACAATAGCTGAATGGTTCCGGAATCGTCATGTACTCATAACAGGTGCCACGGGATTTATGGGCAAGGTTTTAGTTTCGAAATTGCTGTCCAGTTGCCCGGACATTGAAAAAATATATCTTCTTGTACGTGAAAAGAAAGGAATTGATCCACAAACACGATTGCAATCTATTGTACAGGTATATTAAGTGAAAATAGCTACTTTACTATTACTATCAGCATAAAGTAATCAATAAATTGCTAGTTTTATACTGAATCATAATACCATAATTGATCAATGAATAAGAAAGCTTATAATAATAAATAAAATATTAAATAACTGACAATTTTTAAACAATAAGACAGTACATAATACTTGATGATCAATGAGACGTTAAAAATATCCAAAAATTTTATAGATATCGACGTATAATCGTATTTCGAAAGAAATTAATGAGAGAAAAAAAAGAAACAACAAAGTAAAGCAATCGAATATTATATTACACAAAATTTCACGGATTTTGAAAGGTAAAAGTATTTCGAAAGGTTAAAATGAATGATGACTTTAAAAATATTCGAACGTTGCATCCAAGTTTATATTTAGAAATTAAATAAAATTTATTATAATAATTATAACTTTTTAATGATACAAGTTTTTTAGGAAGTTTAATGTAGCATTGAATTGTATACATAGTACGTTGATTTCAATGTGAAAAAATTTAAGCCTGCCTTGACACCATTTAAACGACAACGACTTTCATCAATAATACCTGATCTATTATCAACCAAATTATTATCTTAAATAATTTTCATCATCTGGTCTAAAATTGAATTAAATAAAATAATTTACTTCAACTTTGTGCAAACTTCATTAAATAGCATATATTATAACTTGGACAAGTTAGAGAAAATTATAATTTCACTAGGAAAATCATTTATCCGGAAAAGATTGTTTTTTTCATTTCTCGTGCTCACTCGAGGACAACAAAGTCTTCATGTAATAGCTTTAAATGTAATTTTCCTACGAGATGTAAGATTAGATTACATCCTGGATTTTATAAAAGAATCCATTTCTCAATAATGATGACCTATATTTTATATTTTTTATTTATAACTAAAGACTGTTATTTATATAATAGTTGATGATGCAAATAAACAATTAGTTGGAAATAATTAAAATTAATATAAAAAACATAATATTTACAATTTCAGAAATAATAGATATCAATTATGTACATATTTATGTAAATTATGAGGATTTTTCTATCATCATTGCCATCAATTTCATTGAAAATTATTTTCCTATAAGTAATTGAATTTTTTAAAATTAAAATAAAATTACTAATTTATTGTTAATAAATATATTTTGATAAACTAGTCAAGTATTATAAACATTTTTCTATTTTTAAATCATAAGGTAAAATACATGATGTAAGATTGAAAATTCTTTTAAAGAAATCATATACATAATAATACTCTGATGTTGGCTGTACCTGTCCATAAACTTTCTGAATTAGGATTCTATCCAAGAGTAAGAACAAGTTTAGAGTTTTTTCATTATTTTCTTTTTGGATACAAAAATGCTAAAAATAGAATATGAGCAGTTTTAAACGGATGCTCGTGAGGATTATTTTTTCTATAAAAAAATGATCAAGAGAAATTTTGAAGAAAATTTCCTGTTTTATTAAAAAAAAATTTATTTTGCAATTATATGATTATTTTAGTTTTTTAGAATCATATTAGAGAATAAAATTACTAGGATAAATAAATTTTTAAGGTTTAAAATTATTAACAGCTTAGTACCAAGTTTTTAACATAACATTAATGTGAGTTCTTTATGTAATAAAATTTTATTCAATTGATCGAAAATAAATTCGAAAAAATTGAATGAAAATAGATGTTTTAACACCCAGAAGATATTGATATTATTATTTTATTTTAGCAAGAGCCATTTAGAGCACTACGAGAACAAAAACCAGAGCGATTAAAAAAACTTGTAGTAATCCCAGGTGATGTGACAGTTGAAGGATTAGACCTATCAGAAGCTAATAAAGAATGTTTATTGCAAAAAGTGTCTGTCGTGTTTCATGGGGCCGCCAATGTCAAGTTCGATACTCCACTCAAGGACGCCATAAACATGAATACCAGGGGAACTGCTAATATTATAGCTCTCGCTAAACAGGTACTTTCAACAATAGTTTTATCTTAGATCTAAGAGTCATTGATACTTTAAGTGACAATCTAATATAAATCTAATACAGAATAAATTAAAAGTTCCATTACGTCAATTGAAAATGGGAATAACTTTTCTGATTAAATTACTAGGAATATTAGTGACGATTTTATTCCAATTTATGCTAATAATCTAATTCAGATTATATTTTTTAAAGTTTATTTAATCAAATGTAAAATTGAAACTGTTTAATTTTTTTCCTTGAAAACTGAATAAAAAATCACATACATATTCGAGTCGACAAAAAATCATGTATGAGGTCTACGAACTACTAGAAAATAAATTCTACATGTAAATTAACTGAAATTTATTCTTTACAGATGAACAAGCTTCAGGCATTGATTCATATTTCTACATCCTACTCACAATGTGGTGAAGATGTACTTGAAGAACGCGCCTATCCAACTCCAATCTCACCAGAAAATGTCATGACTCTTGTCAATATTGTAAATGATGATCTTTTGAATTCAATCACCCCAAAACTTTTAGGAGTACAGCCTAATACATATGCATTTAGTAAAGCTCTTGCGGAAGATTTGGTTAATAGGTCCAATTTACCAGTAGGAGTTGCTCGACCTTCAATTGGTAAATAAATTTTTATTTAATATTCCATCAGATACCAATTAAATAATTATAGATACTAATATTAATTGAAAATTTTTTAGTAACATAGTTTGTGAGTTTAAAAAAAATTTTAAGCAAACTCATCAGCTTATTTTATCAAAAATTGCATTAAAATCAATCAATCAATCAATTTTTTGCTAATGTATTAGTAATGGATAAAAAACTAATGAATTTGCAAATAATAAAATGTTGAGAAAAAATGAATATTAATAAAATTAAGATATTAAATTAAATTGTGTAATTATTAATCGTGATTTTTTATAAATTATAATTACAATTTAAACCTTTGGTATTTTAGTTGTAGCTTCTTGGAAAGAACCAGCACCTGGATGGGTAGAAAGTATGAATGGACCGACAGGGTTGATGATTGGAGCAGCTAAAGGAGTAATCCGAAGTGTTCTTTGTGATCCAAATCTTTTAATTGATGCTATTCCTTGTGATATAGCTGTAAATGCTATAATAGCACTTGCATGGCGAGTAGGTTTAGAATCCCCAAGCAAACCAATATTTATGAATGTAACTGAAAGCGGAGAGAATCCAATGACTTGGGGAGATTCTCTCAAGTATGGGCGAAAGCATGCTTTAGCAAATCCATTCTCAGGTATTTAAATATTCAAATTATTTTTCGATACTATCTAATTGATAAAATTACTTGGAACTAAATTACTGTTATACTTTTAGGAATTTTATGGTATCCACGTGGAGGAATGACGACAAATAAATACATTCATTATATTTCTGTATTCCTTCTTCATTTATTACCCGCTTATTTCATTGATGGCATCTGTCTTATGACGGGAAACAAACCATTTTTAGTAAAAATACAAAATAGAGTTAATTGGGGACTCAGACTAGTTCAATATTACACAATGAAGCCATGGGTCTTTTTGTAAGTTTTTAATATTGGAATTTTTATTTAATAACATCTAATTATGTATAAAATTTATTCTTTAAATATTTGCTTCAATTAATTAGTTTACTTTAATAATTTTACTACTTTATTATTTTACAGAAATGATGGAATGAAAGATTTAAGAGAAAAATTAGATCCAGCCGATAAAGAAACATTCTTTATGGATACTAAGGCATATGATTGGGATCAATTTATGAAAATATATGTCTTAGGTGCTCGACGCTATGTCTTAAAAGAAGATCCCGCTACACTACCTCAAAGCCGAAGAATTTTTATGATTTATTGGATTGCCGATGGCATCCTAAGATTTGCTTTAGTTGCACTTTTTTGTTGGTTCCTTTATATTTGCATTAGCCCCTTTATTTTTTCTAGAACCCTTGTTGGAGTTATTGAACATTAATTATATAAATGAGAACTATTAAAGTACAATTAAAAAAATTAAAGTTTCATTTAAAAATTAAATGAGTGATGATTAAAATATTTTTTTTGATAATCTTAAGATAAATGTATCAATCAGTAAAATACTTACTGACAACTTTATATGAATAATTCCATTCTAATAAAATATTTTCATAAAAAATTAAAATATTTCAATAATTTATAATTAACAATTTTTTCTACTTATGTTTTATTTAAAATATCTTTCTCAAGATCTCATTATGATATTGAAAAAAAAATGTTAATCCAGCATCTTAAGAATTTTGATTTAAAGAATAAATTTATTTCGGTATTTTTTAACAGTCTAATAATTAACTTTCAATAATTATATAAAAGAACCATATGCAAATGCATCATGCACAAAAAAATAAATAAATTCATATGTATATAATTATCAAAGAGAAAGATCCTTTTTAACTTAAAAAGAATATAAAACTCATTGTCAAAGATATTTTGAAACAAAAAGTATTTGCCAAAAGCCTCTTGAATAATTCGAGCATTAGATTAAGAAATAAATGTCGGTTGTGTATAATTGATTAATAGAATATTAAGTAGATATTTAAAGTAAAATCAGCATTAAAAATAGTAAAGTAGATCATATAATCTGGATTTAATAAATACAACTTTTTGTTTATGAATAATAATTTTTCTGTATTTCGAGTAATTTATTTGTCATGTTCTCTGATTGTGACTGCACTTTACTATTGGTTGTGTATCGAAGAGAAAGATTTAATGAGAAAATAAGTGAAGGTATGAAATTGTTCATTCTGATAGATTACAGAGTGGAGTATGCGTATGGTGTGATGGAGAGCGTCGTGTCGTTGGCATCCTGAAATGTCGAAATATTACTCGTTCTCTCGTTGAATCGAGTGGCCAGGTTGCTGCGCACGAAAGTAAATTACGTCATTGAATAGAGGTTGAACCGCTTCGGTTCTCCAGCAATATTGCGATCGTGAAAAGTTTAAATCTCTTAGTTATTATTAACCAATATTTTGACATAGATGTAAAATTGCATTCCTGATTAATTTGTATGCTCAAACTGCGTCCTGTTGAGTAAAACATTTAGTTTAACAAATTCCTCAGATTTAAATGCAAATAAATATGATGATCATGAAATTTAATTTCATGAAATGATAGTTTTAAAAAGAATATCAAGGATTCCACGTAAAAACGTTCAAGAATAAATGTTTGATTAAGTGAAAAAAGTAACAAAGAAAAAATTATTGAGGAAAGTTTTAGATATTTTTTATCTTTGTTGAATACTGACGTATATACATTTGGCACTCCTTTCATTCTTTTATTACACACCTGTATCTTTAGTGTTGTATAAAAAATTTGATTTTAATTTTTTTATCTGTTTCAAAAACACTTCATTCAGAATAACTATAAATAATCTTTTGTTTTAGAATCAGCATTGTTGAAAAAATCCGTATTTTACATTTATAAAGAATGTTTATTAACAAATAACTTCTAAAAATTAATGTTTAAAGTATAAATCGTTTTTTATTCAAGAAACGTGCAATCGATTTTTTTTAGTTTCAAAATGAACAAAAAGAAAAGAATGAAAGATTGTTATTAATGTCAAGTACATTGAGACAAAAAACTTTTTTATGTAACCAAACAAGTATATAAGTACTTTTCTGCGAGTCATCACTTTTTTAATTATTTCAATGAACATAATTTGATTTATTCAATAATTTAGCAACTTTTTTATTTAAAAAACAGACTATAAACAATCATATCTAATTATTGAAAAATTATTATGAATGCAACAATAGATGACAATAAATAATTTCTCTCCCATCAGCAATATAATTATATATTTTTTGAGGACTTTAGAATACACCAAAAAATTTCTTCTTTAAATATCGTACAATTTCGCCCTTGAAGTTGATTACTTGAAATTGATCATTATTTTACGTAATCAAATTGCTGTTCTTCAACGACTCACAACCTCTGATTATTGATAAATTATGGACTGGTATCTCCAAAATTAGCAGTATTGCATAAATATGGTGATCTCTTTGAAGATCCACAAACACGTGTATGCGAAAGTTATGTTGTAGTATTTTATTTATGAACAAATTTTTTGTCTTTTTTTTAAAATACATCTAGGGAGAGAAATCCAATTCAACCAATAATATAACATCTCTTGAAAATGTTTATGCAACTTGTGTGTCATGTAGCAAGATATTAAAGAGGACAAAATAAAACTAACATGAGTTTAATATCATACAAAGTTGATTTTAGCTGAATCAAATGTAAAATAATACTACTTTGTCATCGATGATTGGTTATATTAAATTTTAAATACTTGTTCCTTTTTTTCTTGGTAAACTTAAAAAATTCCCAAAACCGTGACTTAATGACGAACTCTAAATTTAGTTATATAAATATTAAGTATATCAATTCGTCATTGACCTTAACCAATTTTTTGGCTATTTCCGATTCCTTTAAAATTATAAATTATAATGAAAAAAAATGCTAATTCTGAGTCAACGAGTATCAAGGAGATAATACTATTAAAATATCAAGTGAATTTTTATTGTGAGAAATAAATGATGATGATTGTATATCAAACGACAAATTAGATAGAGATATTAGAAAAATATTAGATTTGTAATTAGATTCTAATAACTTTTTTGAATATTCTTGTAAATGTTAAAATGTATAAATTCTAGTGAAACATTTTTAAGTGAGTTTCAATACTTGACATTAGCTTATTAAACTTATTCAGTTAGTAAATATATAAAGAGCAAAAACATGTAAGTGTTCATCAGAAATGAGTAATGTTAATATTTAACATGATGATAAGAAAAATTTCAAAATATTATATATTTAAAAATAAAAGTGTATAAAATATTATTTGAAAAAAATAAATAAAAATTACTTTTGTAATTTATAATTAGAATTCCTATTTAGTAATTTTAACTTTGTAAAATAATATTAATATAATAAATAATATTGTTGACTGTTCATTTTGATTATTATTAGTATATGGTTTATAAAAATATATTCAAATAATATAACTTTTATTTCTAGAAATTTCAAAAGTGTTAATTATCCAAAAAGAAATGTTAGAAAACGAATTTTAATATTTATGACACTAATAAAATAATTTAAAACTTTATTATTGACCTTTCAACGGTGAAATAATAAAAATTTATAAAAAATACCTTGATACGTTTGATTGTTGTTAAAAATAGAAATGAAAAATAATAAATAATCCATTAAATATCTTGGTAATTTAAACTTAGTCTTCAGCTTAGTCAGAATAACCGAGAGTTTTACCTGTAATAAAGAGTCCAAGATTCAGAAGTTTATCAGTAGTGGGGGGTAACCAATCACTGAGGTCTTACTTCACCAAATTGAAAGTTTATACGGCCCTGGACCAACAATAACAACGACGACGACACTAACAGGTATTAGACCAATACATGTTCATAAGTATAAGGTAACCAAACGTTCGGGATTCGATGGCAAACTTTTCTCAGTCTGTAATCAACTCACAGTCCGTTCAAGTCAACTTCCTTTATAGAAAAAAGACAATATCCAACCAAACGTCAATTTGATCTGCGGAAGCTTTCAATCTCCGCCAGCCGTGAATTTTCATCACGGGTATTTTATTTTAAAATCGTAAGTGAATTTGTGCCTGTGTTAATAGAAAATAAGTGATCATTAATAACATTTCTTTTTTTTTGAAATAAAATAACTTATTTTCTAAATAAAAAGTAATACAAAAATGCAGCTAATGATAAATTGATTATTTTACAAATAACTTATCTAACAGTAAATGCAATACTATAAGAAAAATCTTTCGATGAAATTTATCGTCACGACTTTTAATTAAAGATTTCACAATTAATGAAGAGAAACTTTAAATTTTTTTAGAATCTTTGATTGATTCTATAGATGAAGTTACATGAGAAATACATAATTACTATCTAAATGAAATAATTCCATTTTATGACTATTTATTACAATTTTCATTATTTAAATTATTCAAATGTTTTTTATTGAATCTTTAGACACGCGTTCTATTCTGTATACTTTAAACTGAAAAAAAATAATCAAAATATTGATAATTATAATAAAACCCTTTCTACTTATTTCATGCGTATCGAAGAATGTCGAAAACTATTTTGCAATAATGACAATTAGCCGTTAAACTTTGTAATAATGATTATAAATGAAAGATTAATTGTATTAAAAAGAAGAGCATAACTCTAATAAATAATTAATTTACAATTATATTCAAATGTTTCCAATTACCATAATTAAATTTTTTCCCGGTTTCTCAGAAGCAACCAATTTAGTGTATTATCTTTAATGCGCAAGCGTCATTAATTAAAACCAGTTTCCGCGCGCAAGATTAGTTATTTGAATGGTTGCGCAGTAATAACAAGTGTAAAAAAGAAAAAAAGAATCTTGAGAATTGGGAAAACAAATTTAAACTGGTAAATAAAAAATATGTACTTGAATAGTTGCTGCATTTAATTATAGATATTACTGTGTTATATTATTGATGAAAATTAATACTTGTCATGAAATAGATATGTTTGATATTTTTCATAAAAATAACTCAACTTAATTACTTGGAGAAGAATGATCATGAGTATCAAGTAACAAGTTGAGATGTAATAGGTATAATTGATAATTTTTAATTCCTTTTTCTATTCAATTTAATGTCAATATCGCTTTGAATTTCTCTATTGACTGCTTGCCAATTACTCTTGAATTTTATCTAAAAATATATAAAAGATATGTAATTGATAATATCATGTAATATTAATAGATAATGATTAAATAAAATGTTTAAAAAATAACTGACAATTTAATTATTATGCACCAGGTTGAACTGATCAAAATCTCAAGATGGAACCAACAAAAATTGAAGAGCTTCCTGATAGAGTTGCAGATATGTTTGAAGGTCAGAATATTTTGATAACTGGTGGAACAGGATTCCTTGGAAAAGTTATGATTGAGAAGTTTCTCCGTTGCATCCCGAACGTTGGTAAACTTTATCTTCTTGTAAGGGCTAAGAAAGGAAAAGATCCAAAACTACGTTTAGAAGAAATTTTTAATTCACCAGTAAGTTTATGATTGCTTAACTAACTATCAATTTAATGTTCTTACTTATATTATTTATTCATTTGTGTCATAATATTTTAATTTAATACCAAAAAATCATTGATTATAGGAAAATACCTTTGATTAACTTTATCAACAAATTAAAATAAAGAGTATCTCTTAGAGATAATTCTTCTTCTTTCATTTTTTTCTATATGCCAATATAAAAACAGATGTCATAATGATCAGAAGACATTCAAATATACACCCAACTTGAAAGATATAATAATGATATGAAAATTAGTAAGCAAAGATCAGTATGAGTCTATGTAATTCTTGTACTTGTAGAAACAGAGTCAAGGCCTTGTCATAAGCGTAACCGATTTGAGAATATTATCGTCTAGTGAAAGTATACTTACTTGTTATGTCATACCTCCTGACTCCGGTACAAGTCTCTCTTTTTTATAACGCAATTTCTCTCTTACTCTCCAACGTTTATCATTAGTCAGTTACACGTGGACTTTATTACAATCTCTTGGGTAAAACAAGGCCAGCAGGTCAGAATTCCCAGTATCTAACCGGTATTAGCATATTTTCACTCAATCCAAAGATGACGTCCCAAACTTCATGAATGAATCATTTTTCTATAAAAAAATAAAACAACCTTACTTAACATTACATTAACTCTGTTTGTAATTACCAAACTTTTTAGTTCTGAAAATTAACCTAAAATATTCAAATATTATAATTTCAACTGTATCTAATGGCATAAATAGTATAAATGTCATTTCATTGCATTTCGTAAAAACAACATTATTTTAGATATTCATAATTATAAAATTATTCATAAGTTCATTGTAAATTAAAATGTTACACTAAACACACTTAAAAATGTGTTCACTGTTAAATCCCGTAAACAAACTATAGATTATACCACACTCTAAAGTGTGTGTAAAACAACTACAAGACTTCTATAGTTTGTTTACACTTTTAAACAGTAAACATGCTTATGTGTTTTGCTGGTACACACTTCAATTTACAGTATTATTTATATAAATAAATTATTTCTATAATTTTGATGAAACAAATTCATAAAAATCGCAGATTTTTCATAAATTAAATAACAAATATACATTACATTATCTCATAACCTATAAATTATTTTCTAGAAATCGGTAAATTTTTAATTTAATCTCTAAGTCAACTGTTTGTAAAATATGAATGCATAAAAAAGTCAACATGTATTGTTGTACACTTCCTATTTGTTTCATGATTAACATCAAATAAATAGCTGCTAATCGAGATCAACTCACGTGTATTTACACACACTGGTATTTCGAAAGATCACTATTGCACGTTGAATGCACTTGTTTATTCGTCGCTTTCCCTCTTGAATTCTTTTAATGTTCTTTCATTTTTATTTGTAATTCACAAATAAGTACTAAACAGAATCATTTATTTTTTTCATAGCCATTTAACTGGAATTTAAGAATAAAGTATACTTACGTTGTTACTTTACTCAGAAATCAGTGAAAAAATTGTTTGTCGAGTAGTTTAATTATTTTCCGATGAAACAATCATTAAGTATTTGACAAAAAATTATTTATTCTAATCTAAGACTTATAATTAACGATTAAAATTCATTTCCTTAATCATCTTAATCAGAGAAATTTTCCAACCATTGAAGGTCAATTATTTTCATTTATCTCTTTTTATGTTTACAATCAAGTTCAAATTATGGTTTAACGTCATTTGAAACACTATGATAAAAAATTAATTAATTCAAAAGGAAATCACCTACATTGCCAATAACTTTTGCATAAATTGTATTTCAAGGTTTTTTTATTTTAGATTCATATTGACATATAAAGTAATAAAATTTAGCAAATAATTATTAGTCTAAAGTAAAAATGAATTTACGGATATTGGCCAACACTTAAGCTCTAATAGCAATCATGGCGCAATTTTATTTCTGATGATATGACATAAAAAAGTGGAATTTCACAAGAATTATTATTTATAACTTCTCTTGCATAGATAATTGAATTTTTTCTAAAAAAAAAACAATACTTTTTCATCAATTATCAGTTTCTTGGTTAACATCAAAATAATGATTGATATTTAATCTTTTTTCTTGCTAAATTAAATAAATTTGTTAATTTAATATCTATGAAACATTAAAGTTCAATTACACTTTAATTTCTTGGGGTTATTTAATATATTTTTAATAACAATAAACATTTTAATAATTATTTATATAACCTCTTATAGCTACTTAACAATACAAACAATTTGTGATCATAAACTCACAATTATTAATAATAAGAAATTTAACTAATAAATATTCTTATTTAACATAATAATTTCCTTATTTTCTAATCTACTGATGAGGATTATAAAAGAAGGAAATTCATAAATATTTCATGTCTTTACATTGTATGACAATGAACAGTAAAAATTTGAAATATTACTGAAAGATTCAAGGTACTGAGTCGGTGAATAAGAAAAAGAACATGAATGTCCCAACAGTATCTTTATGAACGTCTATCTAATGACCTGTCTTTCTAAATGTTCAAACGACATTTTCTGCATAAGTAAAATCCATTGATAAATCTTATTGCGCAATCTAACTATGAAATATAAGAATATCCATGAATAAAAAATTACTTACAAAAAAAAAATATTTTCAATCTCAAAATTTTGCATTACATAATCAATTTCATTTTAAAATTAATGAATATTCATGGAGGTTAGCGTGATAGTAATGTTTTTTTTTATTTTTTAGCTTTTCGAGAAGGTGAAGGAACTTCGAGGATTACCATTTATTTGTGAAAAAGTCCATGTAATTAATGGCGATGTGTCACTTCTCGATTTGGGATTATCAGTTGAGGATAGGCAAATATTATGTGAAAAGATTAATATTGTCTATCATGCAGCAGCAACCATCAGGTAATATGACTTAATTTTTATTGTTTGATCATCTTAAAGTCTAGAAATTTTTTCAAGTGACAAAAACTAAATAGTGAAATCATGTTATCTTAAGATAATCATTTTAAATTAACATAAGAGTTTATTTAAAATATCAATCTCTTAGAGAGAATATACGTTTATATCATATACTTAATAATATTTTAAAAAATGATTACTTTTTATGTAGATTTGATGAGCCATTGAAGAGAGCTGTACTACTTAATACTCGAGGTACAAAGAATATGCTAGACTTGGCTAAACAAATGAAGCATTTAGTACTATTTGCTCACATCAGTACAGCATATTGTCACCTGGAAGAGAAAGTAAAAATATTTATCTTTGCATATACTAAAAATTAAGTGTTACATCATTATTTTGCATTATTTGTATATTTACTTAAGCTATTCTCAATTAGATTCTCGGTGAAAAGCCATATCCACCTCCGGCAGATCCACATAAAATAATTAAATGTGTGGAATGGATGGATGATGATGTAGTAGAAGCAATGACAAGTAAAATTCTTGGTAATTTACCCAATACTTATGCTTTCACTAAAGCTCTTTCTGAAGGATTAGTTGAAGAAGCTATGAAAGAACTTCCGGCAATTATTCTTCGGTAATGACTTTTTATTCTTTAATACTAATCATAATTATTAATAATATTCTCTAAGTAGAGTTTTTTTTATAGACTTCCTTATTATGTTGTTAAATTATTTAAGTTTCTTCACAAATAATTGGAATAGTTATTTACTTTATACACTAGTATTTTATCCTCTCCTATTATATACCAAGAAAATTACATTGTTTTATACCCAGTGATAATGAAAATAAGAAGATCATAAAACATTATTATAATTATCACAGTATAGTAGTAATAAAAATTAATCAATGTTTTTAGACCCAGCATAGTTATTCCAATATGGAAAGAGCCACTTCCAGGTTGGACTGATAACATAAATGGGCCAACTGGTTTGCTTATTGGAGCCGGAAAAGGAGTAATTAGAACAATGTTATGTGATGAACGTGGATATGCTGATTATCTTCCTGTAGACATAGCGATAAATGCTATTTTTGGTTGCTCATGGAATTACATATATTGCAAAGATGAAAGTAGACGAGTATATAATTTAACAAGTAGTCATCAGTTCAAGGTATCCTGGAGTGAAATACTCGATCGTGGTCGACGAATCACTGAAAAAGTACCATTAAATGGAGTACTTTGGTATCCAGGTGGTAGTATGAAGAAATCAAAACTTATGCACAATATTTGTGTCCTACTTTTCCACATGTTGCCAGCTTACTTTATTGATACTATATTGTTCTTTACTGGCCATAAACCTATGTAAGTATTTAATATTTTTACTTTCTAATATCTTTCATATAAAATAGATAATTTATCACATTTGTACTAGATAAAAATTGGTAATAAATGTTTACCTCTTTTTTCTTTAATTTTATAAAACAGTACACTCGAAAGAAATTGTATAGTTGTCTAATTAAAGTTTATTTCAGTATGTGTCGAATTCACCGACGTATCCAAAAAGGTTTTGAAGTATTTGAATACTACGCTAATAGACAATGGGACTTCAAAAATGACAATATAGATATAATTAGATCAAAATTTAATGATTTAGAACGGAAAAATTATAAAGTAGATGGAGAAGATATGGATATGGATGCTTATTTCGAAGCTTGCATTCGAGCAGCAAGAATTTATATTCTTAATGAACCTCCAGAAACACTTCCAGCGGCACGACGACACATGAGAGTGTAAGAATTTATTTCAAAGAATTTAGATTGAACTTAAATATATTTCTAAAAATTAATATTATACTTTTTTAGGATGTACTGGGTAGATGTTTTCACCAAAATAATCTTTTTTGGCCTGATCATTTATACCTTATTCAGCTGGACTGAAGGTTTTAAAGCCATACTTAAAAATTAATTATCCGCTCATTAATGATATTTTATATTCTTGATCATAACAATTTAGACTTTTTTAAAATTCTTATTCCATTAATACCTTTGTATAGTATGTACTTGAGTCAAATCAATCTATTCATCAAATATAAAAATCTTCATTTTCATAAATTGTAAAATAAACAACGACAGGATATGTATTGTAAAAAAAAAGAAATAAATAATATTTTGTTTGTTTAATTTTTTTTTTTTTTCATTGTTTATTTTTTTATTATTTTTATTTTATTTTACAAAGTATCTTTTTTCTAAATAGTTCTTAAACAGACTCTTGCACTGGTGGTTCATAACCTTCAGGTCTGTCTACCTTGGAGCCGGTTTCACCAGGCTCACTGCTTTTACCACCACCACCATCGCCGTGCAGCTCAAGCAATTTACTCAATTCGAATCGTGGTTTCTTCAAAACCTTCACTTTTCGAATGTAGACATCGTGAAGAGGATAGATGCCTTGACAAGCTTTTTCGATATCTTTTGCAATTGCATCAGGAAGCAATTTGCTTACCACACCTTTTAGATCGCTCTTGGAAATATCATCTGTGATGGTTGATACCATTTTTCTTCTAATATTACGGACCTAGGAAAATAAGAAACCAAAGTACATTAGAACGATTTTTTCTTTAATAAAAAACAAATAAATAATTAAAATATTTAATTAAAATGATAATAAATAAAATAACTACATAGAGAAAATGTTGCTTCACAATTTATCATTTCTCTTATGGAGAAAGAAAAATGTGGTAAGAGTAAGCATACAATTTTATCTCCGCAATATATAACACATCATTAAAATTAATGTAGATCATTTTAATATAATGGAATAGATTATTGCGAGTTGTATTGATTAATAATTATGATAGTTTTTAATTTTATTAAAGTTAGATTGGAGTGAAAAAAAAAATTTATTTACCTGTGCATGTTGAGCATAGCATGTCTTCCTTTGACTCATTTGGTCTTTGTTAGTAAAACCAATGCAAAATACTCGAAGTAAATATCCATCAGTAGTTTTGACATCAACATTGGCTTCTATTAATGTTTGCCATTTCTTCACCATAGACCGAAGCTTGTCTGTAGTCAAGTCCATACCGTGAAAATTGGTAAGAACTGAACGTCCTTGTACATCTTCAGCAATAAGTCTGAATTTTCGGAAAGATCTCTCTGCATCTTGATCATTTTGAAGGTCAGCAAGAGAAACTTCGAAGACACGGTATTTTAAACCTTCGGAGGCGATTTCTGTAAAATAAATAAATTGCATGATTGTCGTTAATTACTAATAACAATCAATCTTATTAAATTTAATTAATTTGAGATGAAATTTGTACCGATAAGACAACAGCTTTATTTAAGTAAATAAAGCTGTGGTACCTTTCGCTCTTTACTCTTGCAACACTAAACGTCAGCGAAATTATTTAAAAAATTTCGTGAAGCTGGGGTTGCTTGAATGATAAAATATTAAATTGTATAAAACATTGTTTTAAACTTACTCGTTCCTTGAGTTCTATTCACAAGAGTTTTGCCAATTTGGCGAGTAGTAAACATAGACGGTGCCTTGACATCATACCAATCTTTGCGAGTAAAAGGATCTACACTAGAATTAAAAGAAAATTAATTAATTATAATTTTAATTAAATAAACAAAATATTACATGAACAAATTTAAGTTAGATTATTTTTTTAATCTCAATTAAACGTAAAATTTGAAAAACCAAAATAGGTTATAATTCATAACGATTGTAGATATTACATAAAAAATAATAAAAATTCATTCATTGAATAAATAAATATATAATAACACTAAAATAATTCGTTAAAAGTAGTTTCCGAGACATATTATTATGACAATAGAGTAACAGCATGTCATGTATCCAGGTGATGATTTGGTCAACATAATCAACAATAATCACAAACATCACTCATTCATGTAACTTAAAAAAATATATTTTCAGAACTAGACATATTACAAAATTACACAATTATAATATTTATCACTTACATTTTCTTTTTAACTCCCTTTTTGCCTCCTTTGGAAAGCCCTTTATTTTTTCCCACCGCCATTATTAAGTTTACATACGGAAAGAGAGCTTGATTTGTCTTTTTAATATAGTGTAATGCATCAACTAAACTATAGACATGACACGTGGTATTATTATCGATCGAAGGTATTGCAGACTTCGTTAATTTACAAGTAGTAAATAGAGCTCACTAAAATAATTCTATTGTAAGGAATTTATTAGTTTTCTTGCTTCAAAATAATGTATCAATGAATTAGATATAAAAAATAACAAATAATAGTAAATTGTTCAAATAAAAAAAAAAACAACAATACATACATACTATAGATAAATGTCCAATTGAATGAACAGATGGCTAACGTTTATATACATCCAAGCTGATAGAATAAATTGAAACTCTCTCTAGTACTGAAAAATATATTATTACAAAATAAATAATATAAATTAAAATACTTTTATTATTTAAAGATTTAGAGACAATTTTGAAAATCAATCATGTTTCAAATAAGAACGGTAACTTTCTGTTAAACTTAATATTCATAGACAGTGTATCGATATTGTTAACTAGAGAAACCGTCTTTGATATTTCATGAGAAAAAATCAGAATCATGTTGTAGTTTCGTAAATCATACATCAAATCAAGTAGTGATATATTATTTAAAAAAAAAAATGTAATACAAGTTAATTATCGAAAATTAGATGTTTACAACAACTGTCCTAGCTTGTTTAACAATAGTTTAGCCAATGACATAATACAGAAACCTTTGTCACTTTTGAATAAATATTAAAACTTGATGTGATGTTGGTTAACTTTAATGTTTATTAACTTAAATATTTTGTTAAATATATGAATAATTGAATTAAATAATTCAAAATATGTATAGATTAGTGAAATCTTATTAAGTTACAAAAAATGCGGTGAAATTGATAGCATTGACTGTGTAATTGGAATAACATCTTAAATATCAATATTTATTATCTTACTATTTCTAGGAAATATTATTTTCATCCATTACATTATTATCATTATAAAAATTGAAATAATTTTCGGAATTATTTATTAATGAACAAAACAACCAAGAAATATTACCAAGAAAGAAAGTAAGAAACGCCATTAGACAAAATGGAGAAAATGAGAGAACTGGGCTGGTATGTAAAAAAACTTACAAATTGTTTCTGTAAATATATGTATATATACATTTTGATTAAATGTTATGATTAATTAACTAAATAAATTAATCTGATTTAGGTATTTAACAGAACAAGGCTTTAATCTTGTAAGTGAATGTGGTGCAGTAAAAGATGTATCAAAACTTATAAAAAAAGCAATTGATGTAAGTTGAATTTACAATTGTGAATAAATTAAAAATAAAAAATTTACAATCAAATTATTTACTATTTATTGTTCTATTATGTTCCAGTTTGATTTGAAGGAAATTGGGAGTGGTGAAGGGACAATTAATGAAGGAACTTTGATTGTTCAGATTCAAAAAATTCGTAACGTTGCTGCTCCAAAAAATTATGATGATTCACGAGGAGGTGGTTCAGTACCCCGAATGCTTAAATTATATCTAACTGATGGGAAAAATAATTATCAAGGTTTAGAAATTGAGCATATTATGTCAATTAATATTAACACTCCACCGGGGACAAAATTTTTGTTGAATGCGACAAATATTATTATGACACATGGAATGGTTTTATTAAAGCCTGAAAATATTGCATGTGTATTGGGAGGAAAAGTATCGAGTTTAATTGAAAAATGGGAATTAAATAAAAAACTCGCATTACACACTCGGGCTCGATCGTCGGAAGAAGGAGAGGGACCACCACCGTGGATTCCTTTTGGGAAAAAAATTATTAAAGTTGCGATTGAAAAAGATAAATCGTTAAAAACAAAGGAAAATCATCAAAATAAAGATAGTGATTTTGAAGTTCAACGTCAGGATGCTATTGCTGAAGCAGCTCGTCAGGGTAATAAAAAAGTTTTTGGTGGAGGAACTAAACAACTGTTGGATCATAGTGTTCAAAAAATTGTTGATTTAGGATTTTCTGTTGAACAAGCAGAATATGCATTGAAAATAAATCGTAATAATGTTGACAGAGCTTTAAAATTATTACAAAAAAATGACAATAAGCACAATAATTCCAATAGAGAATCCAATCGAGAAAATCGTGGAAAACGTTCTGATAAAAAATTGGAAGAAACAAAACCAAGTAGTGGAAAAATATCTCTATTCGATTTTCTTGAGGATAAATTACCAACTCAAAATGCCGCTACTAGTAAATCCTATTCTACACTACAAAATGTTAATACAAATAATGAAAATAGTAATACTAATAGTACCCATGATACGATTTATAATAATTTACAAACGGATCGAAATAGTTCAAATGAGCAATACCATCAACCCAAAAAACCACCATCTAATAAAGGAAATAACAGTGAAAAAAAAGTTCATAAAACTGGACGTTTTCAACAAACAACGATTGTGACACCTTCTTCTTTTTATCAATCCAATGATGATGTTGATGATAAATTACCAAAACAAACGAATAATAGGAATCATAATTATAATACAGTTCACAACACAAACGTTTCAAGTGATAATAATTCTCGTCAACCTAAACCACCAAGATTTCAAAAGCATCAAGAATATCAGTATCAACAAGGTGATAATAATTCCAAAAAATTTTATGATCGTACATTAATACAATTAAATTCCGATTGCATTACCAATAAAGTACCTTCAAAAAATGAAAAACCTTATAATAATCAATCTCGTGATCAATTCACACCCAACACAATTAATAAAGTAAGTTTATTTAATAAATATAGTCAATCTTTGCCAGGAGTGGAAGAAAAAAGGTTCGCAACTGGTGACGATAATTCATTTTTTAAACCAATTCAAATGAATGAATCATCTAATTATCAAAAATTTTACTTCAATAATCCAACAAATAATGATACTAAAAAAAATGGTGAAGAATGGATTTGGAAAAAAGGAGATATATGTATGGCTAAATATTGGGAGGATAATAAATATTATCATGCGCAAGTTACTGCTGTGTCTGCTCGTACGTGTGTAGTACAATTTAAAGATTTTAATAATTATGAAGAAGTACTTCAAATTGATTGTATACCATTAATGACAGATGATGCCACTCGAAATTTTATGACATCATCTCATGATAATCATCAACTATTACCAGGAAAACGAAATCGTCCACCACGATATCACAATAAAAATTCAACTAGTAATAGTATAGAATATCGACGTAGTAATGATAGTGATAATTTTAAATATCCAAATGATACTACTATAAATGCTAAAACAAATAATTCTGAAAGAGGACAACAACATCAGAAAAAACGTATTCAGCAACGAATAACTCAAGCTATTTATCAACCACCTGCCCAGAGAAGATAATGATAAAGATTTGACTACAATAATGGCGTAGTAATTAATGAACTTTAAACAGGAAATTTTTTAATTATTAAAGTGGTTCTTTATAAATAAATAACAAACCTGCCGTGTTAATAAAAATAATACTCTCATCATTAATTAATTAGATTTGATGATGATTAATCAAATTATTGAAATTATATTATTTTATATTAATTTATTTGTTTATAAAATGATTAAATACTCATGTGAAAAAAAGAGGTTGTCAATATAAACTAGTCTTACATATGCAAATTTACAAATTTGTAGAAATGTGGATTCATTTAAAACTATAAATAAACCGTGTATATTTTACATCTTCTATTCGTTTATACATTCAATGTAGCATCAATTTTATAATAAATAAGTATAATTACACTATAAAATTTTGAATTATAATTGATGCTGTAAATAGATTAATTATTAATTATAAAAAGTAAAATATATAAAGTATAAAATCAATTTTTAATAAATTATACTTCATAAAATACAAAAATAATCATATAGATATACATAATTTTTTTTTTTTAATTTTTGAATACATAGATAAAAAAAAATCGTTCAACTAACAATTTTAAGTGTATTAAAAAAATACATTTCCACCTCCAGTATTTAATTAAAATATTGTGTAACGTAAACGTAATGAAAAAAGACAACAAAGTTGTTTTCCATTTTAATGTTTGTTTTATGTTGCTACCACACACAACTACTAACGTAACATCAACGGCCACTACTACTATACAATTATAATTTACTACGGCCAGTCTGGAATAAAGAATCAGCAGGAACAGTAGTAATAGCAGCAGTTCCTTACGTTCATATAATATACTTTGTAATAATATACTTAATTTTAATATTTTTATCAAACGTTGATATTGACTATGAATGAAATTTTATTAAGTTATTTTTTTTTAATTAAATGAAAGTGCCATTTAAATAAATATTCTACATTTTACTCCAAAAAAATAAAACTATTGTAGATGTAAAATTTCAAGTGTGGTTACAAGGCTGTAGAGAAAGGTAAAACAATTTTCATTGTGAAGAAACTTTCAAGATATATTTCGTATAGCTAGTAAGTAATTCTTTGTACGATGTATACTCATACATTTATTTTTCAATATTCATTTAATTCATGTTCAATTTTATGTGACCTCGACTGTTTAAATGGATAAATTTGAAGTAATTGGGAAGAAAATCTAGTTAGCTTTGATTAACACTTCTTGAATTCTTTTTTCATTCATTTTTTAACATAAAAATAAAAAAGAATAACTAGTCCTTGATAGAGAAATAAGAAATTAAGATAATATTGACTATGATTCAGTATATAAAAAATAATATAAATAATAATGATTCAATTTTGAAATACGTTGAATGTTAATTTCATAAAGATGAATCATATCAGTGAACATGGTCAGCAATGCTTACAGTGCCTTACATAGTAATCTATCATTAATTTTACTATCTTGTATCAATATGTTGATTCATTAACTATGACTTAAAGACTATGTTTTTTTTTCTTATTATAATAACTTTATGATAAACATAACGATAATTTTTACCGTACTATCGGTAAAGTACTATCGATTTTAAAATCGAATTTGATATGGGAACGAGGTTTTTTATGCTCAAATTTTATATTAGAAAGCAGCAAGTCTATAGAATAAATAAATTCTTTTCCAAGAACGAAACTGGGTCAGTATGTCATATACAGTGTATGATACACTGTTTTATGTTAAACAATAGAAATAAAAGAAGAAAAACATTTTCCATTGATTAATAATTAAGCTCAATATTTTAAAGTAATAATAATAATTATTATTTTTTAAAAATTAAAAAAAAAAAAATTTGATAAACAAAAATTTCAGTAAAATATTTCACAACGAAAAAAAAAAACAGGTTTAAGGTCACAGTGAAAATGACCAATATAAATTATCCCATGATTACGTGATACGTGATAATTACCAAGATCTTGAACGCAGATATGAGAAATAATAATTTAAAATGGTTGATATTTTATTAACACAAAGGAACATTTGAAATATAAAAATTATGTAATAAACTTTAATTATTTCAGGTAAACACTATGGGCTACAGCTCAGAAATGAATGGCTGTGGTCGTTTTATGAAGTTTTCGTTATTTTTTGTAAATTTCATTATCTTCGTAAGTATCACATGATAGGTTTTTATAATTTATTGTCAAAAAAATAATAATAATAATTTTTTTTCCAGATCGGTGGTTGTATAGTAGTAGGCCTTGCAGCTTGGGCTTTAGTTGATCGAGTACCTGCTCTTAGCAAATTAGTAAATGATGATCTATTAACAGGAGCTACCTACGTACTTCTTGTTGGAGGAATCATTGTTGCTGTTATAGCATTTTTCGGTTGCATTGGTGCATCTCGAGAAGTAAAATGTATGCTACTTACGGTAAGTGATGAAAATTATTCATTGATTCTAGTTTATTGTTTAAAGAATTAATTAAATAAATTAATTTTTAATGTTTTTAGTATTTCATGATAGTTTTTCTACTTTTTATAACAATGTTGATTGGCGGAGTATTGGGATATGTATTTCGAGGGAAAATTTATGGAGAAATAGAGCAAAGAATGAAAAATTCATTACGTTCATATCATAGACATGGTATAACTGAAGCCTGGGATATAACTCAAGAGACTGTAAGTTACTTGTTAAAAATAGGAATTATTATTACCCATGCAGTATAATTGAATTGGTTAACGTTGAAATAAATTCATTTTAGTTCCATTGTTGTGGAGTTCATGATTATCGTGATTGGAATCTGAATGGACTTAATATGCCAGAATCATGCTGTCGTGAAATTGCTCCAAAACAGGTAAGTCTATAAAATAAATTGATTGATTAAATATAAAAGATATTATATAACTAGCATGTTTTTTAGCATCTTAAATGTACTACATACACTCGGATAGATCCTTCTACGACATACATAAATGGATGTTTGAATACGACTCAAGTCTACGTACAAAAACATGCTGTCATACTTGGTGGTGCTGGAATTGCAGTTGCAATTCTGATGGTAAATATAATTTTAAAAATATTTTATTTATTAAAACAACACATATTCTTATTGAATTTTTTTTCTAGTTTTTCGGTATGATTTTTTCATGTGCCTTATTCCGGATGATCAAATGAGCTATCAAATACTTCATAAGTAACAAACAGAAAAAAAAAAGATTGTTGTTAATAAATCTTACCCAACTTAGTCATTTTCTAATATAATTTTTGATTGTGTATAATAATATGACATGTATATAATAAATATATACGTTTTAATTAAAAAAAAAATATGTCAAAAACATGGTGTATATTTGTATATGTACTTAATATAGATAAAATTAACTTTTGTATAAAATATATTTATTGTGAACTTAATTTGTATTAACAAAAATAATATCATTTTGGTAATACAAAAAGATATTCGTATAAAATATTTTAATAAAATACTATAAACATCCAATAGATTGCAAAAAATGTTGAGCAAAGTTGAATTATATATGTAATCTTTAAAAGGGCTACTTAAACATTTACACACTTGTTGAAGAGTTAGCTCTTGAAAAATCTATCATAAAAATAATCCTGCTTAATTGTTTGTCTTTTAAACAAAAATGAACGTGTGAAAATTTATATTTTTAGTATTGTCGACTCGTTACAACCGATCGTCTTGTTCTAAAAAAATCGTCCCCGCAGTCGGTAAAAACTCAAAAGGTATGGATGATCCCGAGTGTGTATGTCTGGCCTCAACAGGAATACACACTTTCTCCATTATTTCTATACTTGTTTGAATCTGCGCACTACTAATGCGCAATTGGTACTGCGGTAGGAAACCACTGCTGTCGTATACACACAGTTGCTTCCTCATGCTATATGATGAGTGTAATCGTTGTTAGTTTTCATATACGTATTTATGTATGATACATTCACCGGTGATTTTATAAACTGCTCGTATTTTCACGAATTTGTCAGAATTAATGTTTATATTTAAATAATAAATCATCAATTTCTTCAATTGTTGGATTTAAAAAACTAAGTTTGAGTATTGAACGTTTGAGTATATACAATACTTTCAGGATATCCACGAAAAAGTGAAAAAAGGAAATTGAAAAAAAAAACAATAAGACGAATTACCACCTTATGGATAATAATATGTCTACTGCAGCTTTTATACATAGGTAAGGATTAATAGTTCATTTATATTTATCATTTTAAGTACTAATTTATCATGATTACGAGCATTTATTATAGTTTTAAATATTGAAAAAATCGGAGTAAAGTTCAAACAGGGCGTATCACCATGGGATTTAAAGAGAGAGAGAGAGAAAGAGAAAGAAACAAGTGTCTAATAAATTATCTGTATAAATAATGATAGGAATAAATTTATCGGTCGAATAGTTATGTGGCAAAAATATCAATTCTATTATTCCACTTTGGCTTTGCTTTTGGAGCATGTATTCATTATACTAGGACATAAAACTGATATTCTGTTTGTGTCAAGCATTGGGGAGTACTTTTTTACCTGTAATACTTAATACTGTAATTATTCAATAATTTTAAAAAATAATGATAACATGTATGATGTTCTAGAAATGCGTACAAGCAAATCGACCGAATTGTATGTTGGTAAACATTTCTTGCAAGATATCAAATATTATTTGACATACATCAGCATTATATCAATTGAAATGCAAATGGCTTTCTTTATAAATTAATGCTTTTTTACTATAAAAATAAGTTGTATATAGTTATATCATAGTTGTCAGTTTGTTAAGCACATAGTGTTGAATCAAACCGGTCTGTATTTTCCTTGAATCTGGTATGCAGCAGTAGCAGCCATTGACCGTCGTGCAAGGTTCTTTTGTCTGTGTCTCTATGGTGTATATGTGTTAGTAATAACGATTTACTGTGTTCATTTATGTATAAAATTAGTAGAAAGCAAAAACAATTAAACTCTTAACAGTTGTTTTGAAAGTTCAATTTTGACACTTTTTGTACGAGTAAGTGATGTAATAATAAAAAATAAGATGATAACGTAAAAAAACTTAGCAATCACAACATTGAAAAAATATAAAAATACAAGATTGTATTATTTGCTTTTACTCTATAATTAAAGATTGTGTTTGATAAAAAAAACCTTCATCATTTTGCAACAATAAAGTTTATAATTTATATTAGGTACTTCTACACTGTTGAAAAATGAAATAATAAGAAATGCTCTTTTATGTATCGTATTTGGTAAGTCTATTCGTGCGTGAGAAAGGTAGATAATTGCAAACTATCATCATGTAGCATAATTCGGAATAGTAATAGAAAATATTCACATATCACGTAACAGTAAGGGAAAGCAGAATAAAGTGGGACGCAGGGGCAAGATGGGATTCTAAAAAATTCAAATATAAAATGCAAGTAAAAAAATTAGATATGTACAAGTAGGACTCTTGTTTAATTTCTTTTTTTTTCGACTTGTAACTGAAAAAGTAGTCATTTGATACTTACATTCTTTTGTACATTAAATATGGTTTTTATAAAAAAAAAAAAGAGAAAGAGAAAGTTGAAAAAAAAAACAAATTTCTTTTAATAAAATAGGCTTAGAAGTGAGTATATATGTCATGTCTATGATGAATTTCTAAGTAAATAATTTCTACGAGTAAATCAATAGTTAAAAGTAGAAAAGAAATAAAAACTGAATCTTAATTTCTTTGCTCATAGATCTGGCGGCAGTGGTGACGGTTCATCCAGTATTTCAAGCACTGGATCGTCAGGTGGTACGTCAAGTATTGGTCCAGGTAGTACAGCAATAGCAGGAAGCGGAGGAGGTGCTAGAATGGCAGTGATTGGAGTTACCAGAAATATTCGTCTAAGACGTCGTGGGGCGTCAGGATTTGGTTTTTCTCTCCGTGGAGGTCGTGAATATGCAGCAGGATTTTATGTCAGTGATGTTCAACCTGGTGGGGAAGCATATAGGAATGGCCTTAGGGTAAGTAGAAGAAGAAAAATTAGAACTAATATATATTGTATAACTTTGAAATTTTTAATATTATTTCATGTATTGTAGGTCGGTGATCAAATTATAAGGATAAATGGTTATCCTGTGGAAGATGCCGTGCATCAGGAAGTTGCCCTTTTAGCAAAAAATCAACAAGTTCTTGTATTGAAAATAAAAAGTGTTGGAATGATACCAGTAAAAGAGTAGGTTTTATAACAATTTTTTTATAACAGTCGATTGAATATAATATCATAATTATTAATACATGAAAAACTAATGGTTTAGTAACCCAAATGATCCAGTTACGTGGCATATGGTTCAACAGCAACAACATCAACAACAACAACAGTTGCCATATCAATGCAATGATTTGCCCGAAGCTATACCATATAATGAAATTCGTATTCGTGTGATGGTAGGTGAAAGAGGAAGATTAGGTTGTGGAGTTTGTAAAGGAACGGTACCAGGTTTAACAGTACAGGTAAACAAGTTGAATAAAACAAATAAACTTATGATGAATAATGAATATTACAATATTTATATACATATTTAAATATAGGGAACCCGAGAAGGAGGACCAGCAAGATTGGCAGGACTAAAAGCTGGTGATATAATAATTTGGTGTAATGGTCAACGACTGGGCGATTTACCATTTGAGCGGGCTATCGAAATAATGCGTAGTGCAGCGATATTAAATTTAATTGTAAATAGACCAATTCCACAAAATAATGGACATTATGATTGTCCGGAAACTTTATGGATGCGTGGATCAAGTGGGTATGATTCAGAGTCTTCTAGTTTACCACAATCACCATTGCCGCCACCACCATTACCACCCCATCATCATATGAATTATCCGGCTAGGGACTATTTTCAAGATGATTTTTGCAGTAAAAATGATGAAAGGTAATATATATTGTCGACTATGAAGTTAACGGAAAATATATAAAGAAATGTATATTTCAGATTAAAAACAGTTGATTGTTCTAAACCGTTACAATGGGATAATCATCATATAAATAATAATAATCGTCGTCTTCAGGTAATTGAGAAAAAAAAGAACGAATTAACAAACAAATACAATTAAAATGTATTTTTCTATTACAGAATGAAATGAATGTTACAACAACAGATCGTTGGATAACACACCATGGGCCAAATAATAAAACCGTAATTCAAGTAAATCATCATGTGAATCAGTATCGTTCAAATATTATAGACAGTAATAATGATAATACGAATGATAAATATTCTCTACATCATAATTCAGAACCACTTTATGATCCTGTAGCAACATGTTGTTATGAAAGTCATGATTTTGATGATGCTAATCCAGTTGAAGATGAAAAAATGAATAAACGATCATTAAAAGACAATGTTATTCGATTTTACGGTTCACCTGCAGCTGCTATTAATGGAGACGATTATATTTCTAAAAATAACGTTGAAATTAATGACCAAGCTTCTGTTAAGGTTTATCATCCAAATTTTGGATCCCCACCACTATCATCATCATCATCATTGTCATCATCATCATCATTATCATGCCCTCCACCACCACCACCACCGCCACCGCCATTATCATTACCATCATCATCATCACCGCAATCGATATCAACAATTAAATGGCAATTAGGTAAGTTATGTGAAAATTAAAGTATTACTAATTTTAATGTGTAAGTATTTGTGTGATCGTATAATTACAAAATATAATAATAAATTGTGATGTTTATAAATTAATAACAGAATCCAAAGCAACAATAAATAGTAAAATGGGTAGCATGATTTCAATGGGTAGTACGGGTTCAACAGAAACAGAATCAAGTGTGGAATCAGTTAGTAGTAGTGGCAATAAAGAATCCACGTTATCGTCATCATCAGTAATAACATCAGCATCATTATGCGGCTCAAAATCATCAGAATTAATGTCAACAACTAATAATCATTCTATGACATCTACTGGAAAATCTACAGTAACAACAACTACAGTTGATCTTGGTTCTGCTATTGCAAAGGAATTGCAACGACGTGTTCAACAAGTTTGTATACCTTATGTTAAAATAATTGATTTTTCACATTGATTTTGATGTTATTTTTAATTTCACTGCACTCAGAGAAATATATCACAACAGCAACATCCACAAATGACAAAGGAGAAATTTGTATGCAAAAAATCAGATAACAATGATAAAGTAGTGGCTGCTCATGATAAGGTAGTTAACTTTATAATTGTTTTATTTATTTATTCATATTATGATGCAATATTGTTTTAATACAGTTAATAGAGGAGTTTAAACAAGTTCACCGGAAAATGTTCAATCAGCAAAGATGTGAATGCTCTGAAGTGACATCAAATGAATCACAAGTAAGTATAGTGATTGTAAGAACAGAATAATTTTGAAGTAGATAATGTGATTTTTTAAAATATTCTTAAAGGAACAAGATAAACGAGTATCTATCAGTAATATAGATAAAACAATGGCGGTCGGATTACAAGAATCCGATGGCAATTTAACGATGAAAAAAAAAAGCCAATTAAATACACACGACGTAAGAGAGAAAACAGAAGATGAAACTGTAGCAACGAATGTAGCTTCTGGAAAAATAGCTGTAAAAATTGGAGCCTACGAGGGAGAAGTAAAACAACCTTCAAGATTTGATTTTCTTACGAATAATCGTAAAAACGATGAAACTGATAACAATGATAGACCAGTAACATTGAAATTGCAAAATGAACTTTTGGCAACTCTTGAACGATCGAATTTAAAAAATAAAACTGGAGAGGTAATAAAATAATAAATAAAAATGAAATGATGATATTATAAAATTGACGTGAATTTTTTGAAATTATAGGGTATTGGCACATCTAATGAAACCAATTTACCATCATCAGATGCAGTATTAATCAATAGATTAACGATAAAAGTAGATCCAGAACGTACTGAAGCTCAATAAACTCTAAAAAAAAAAGAGTAAAATATAGTAACAGTGAAAAATTGCACAAAAGTTGATATAGATACGTATAATATAATATTTATTAAAAGAAAATAACGAATTGTGTCGTAAGCTTTATACAAATAAACAGTAAAGTAATAAAATGTATGTGTGTAAAATATATTTCACCTTAATGAAGTATTACTATTATTGGAACATATTACAATGACAAATTTTAGAATTAAAAAAAAAAAATTGGCCATAAAATAACAGAAGATAATGAAGCTTTAACTGATTTTTATAATTATTTTTTTTATTATATTGTGTTTATAAGTAAAATTGAGGCATGAAAATACAACTGTGATAATTATAATAAATATACAAAAAGACATTTAATACATTTTGTATTAAGTTATAATTAAAACTTGCAAAGAAAAAAAAAAGGTATAAATAAATGATTTAGATTTATTTTGATTGTATTGTAATTTGTAAAAAAAAAAAACAAATATTAAAAATAAAAATAAATATTGATTGAAAAATCAAATGGTTTTGTTTTTGAATTACAATTGCGATAACGTTATGGAACCAGCTAATGACGTAACGAAAATAGCAATGAGACGGAACATACTGAATCAAAGAAAATCTAAGACGTCACTAGGATGTCTTAGAACGATAAATATACATATAGATTTTCGTGGGATAAACAATGTGAAATAATATGTGTTATTCGATTTATGTAAACGATATTACTTTGATTTCACTTGATTGATGAAGAAGGAGAACGTGAAAGAAAAAGAGAGAAAGCAAGAAAGAGAATCGGATCGATTAGGAATTTTATTTCTTTGGCGCCGTTGAGTCTGTGGCACAAAAATGAATAGCAAGATGAAATTTTGTATCTTTAGTATCATGTATATGTATATATATATATATATATATATGTTAGTAAAAGATAAAAAATAACTGAATATAAAATTAATTACTACGTGTGGGTAGAAAAGAACAATGAAAGGATAAAATTTTTTTGATAAAAGTACAAAATATATATAATAATAAAAAAAAATAACATTTGTAAATAAAAGGATAAATAGAAACGGAAAAAGATATTATGGATAGAAAAATTATATTTAGTATCATTTTGCAGACATTGATATTACGAAGGGAGAATGGTGCGTTTATGCTTACGGTATAAATACAACAGACGCGCAAGTTCCAATTATTAGATCTTTCTTGAATCTTGACAAATTCACCACGCCAGTAAAATTAGTAGTGCTTAGCATTAAGTTATTAGAGAAGTGAAGGAAAGAAAAGAGTGAATAAAGGCGATAAAAAAGTGATATTGACAGTTGACGGAAATTTACAAATAAAGGGGGGCTTTATTTTAAAATTGACAGATGGATCAATTGCATTGTTCAAGGACAATTTTTTCTGTATCATCGATGACAATATTAATCTTATGGTGGGTTTCAACATTATTAGTAATGTCAATGAGTGACAAAGTAACAGCTACCATGATTATGGATAAAAAATTATCACGATTATCACCGATTGATTGCGAGTAAGTTGATAAATAAAAAATTAAAAAATTGTTGCAGTTGAAGGGTTGTAAATTTAAAGGGTTTATGAGTGTTGAAACATCAAAAGTCAATATAATTAGGAAAATACAATTTAAATGCTAAACATAATGGATCCAAATAGCTACAAAAAATCGGCACTTAAACCCTGTAGACTAACAACCCTTCAATGATAGAAGTTTTGTATGAATAAATTAATTGTATTATAATTGTTAGAAAATATGTTTATCATCCGCAATGTCGAGGAGTGCAAGCTAAAAAAAGGTTGAGTTTTGAGATGAACAGTGATGAAAAAAAAGATGAAAATAGGATGTTAGATGAAGAAGGCAATGACAAGACAGTAGAGGAAGATGAAAAACCAAATATCTGTGTTTGTAATTATAAAACAACCAACTGGAGTCCATTGATGAAAAAAAAGAAAAATTTGGAAATGTTTGGTCATTTAATTAGAAATAGGATATTTAAGGTAATATAAATCAACTAATGATATATGAATATTTTTAGTGTGAATAATGATAAATGTGATAATGAATCTTTTGAAGGAAAGTAATAAAAGAGATGTCGAGATGAGACCTTTATTTGATGAAGAAAGATTATCGCCGTGGATTGTAATGAGAAATGGAAAATCAAATCCTGATGACATTAGAGAGGAAATTAGCAGAAGCAAAAAATTTTCAGCAATATCAAGGAAACTGAAAAAAAAATGGGACAATAATTTAAACTCTTCATATGTGGTCTATGTATTTGTATGAATGTCAAAGATTTCATGATAAATAATATGGTAGATGAATTATTTATAATGTATTTAATCTATTACAAAAATAGCTATTTAACATAACTAAACAAGTGTTTGTTACAGTGAAAGATACTGATTAAGTGAAATTTCCAATTCATGTGTATGATTTTAAATATGGTATTATATGCGTTACTTACATTTCGATTTCCAACAATAAAAAAAAAACATTGTAACTTATATGTATATACCTGGAAGCTTAGTAATTTTGTTTCATTTGAAATTATGTCTAATAAAAAGTTATGCAAATTAAAAAAAAGGTTAAATCAATTATTTTCTAAAGTTATTACAATCAGACCCATCTGATAATTGCGTATGTGTATGATGAGATGATTGTTAATAATAAGTTTAAAAATCTACCAGAACTGTCAGCATGGTTATTCTGATTAGTGTGCTGGAAAGCTTTTATGAAGACAAATCGACTGGTGAAGATGACATTGATGTAGTAGATCCTTAATTATAAACGAAGTGAAAGAGCGAAATTTTTAATTCATTACTTAATTTCAGTACATTTATAAATTCCTGTTGAGAAAAATCACAAGGTAAAAGTCAAATTCATCTCAGACTCATAGTTCATCAAGAAAATCAAGACTTTGTGAGTCACATTACGTACCGTGGAGGCGGCAAAGGAGCGTAAATATCAAATTGATCGTATTTCTTCTAAAGTTTACTGTACAGCCATAAAACTGCAGTGTATACACATTAAATTGATTAAATTTCCCCTCTGTAATTCTGATAGAAATGGTTGGATAGTAATAAAACTAGGGTACATTTTGAAGCTCTTATTGAAATAAATCGAATGGTTTAACGGAAACTTTTTGATATTTGTCAAAAGATTTCCATATTGTCACGTGATAGATGAAAGGAGGGAGAATTTTCAAAATGGCGACTACGTATGTAACTGAATGTATACATTAGTTTCTAATGACTATCAGTTGTCTAATATTTTTATATTAAAAATATATTTATTTATTTATAAATACTTAAAAAATATAGTTAATAATAATGTCGAGTATAACAATATCTGCTGTTAGAACTAGATCAAGTATACTTGATAAATCGTTGAGCAAAGGCAAAGGAGAGGTTAGTTTAAGTTGTTATGCCCTTTTGTTTTCCGAATTGGTACAATATTGTCAAAATCGGGTGTATACGGTTCCAGAACTACAAAATAAGTAAGAAACAATATTTTTTATAAAATTATTAATTAAATTTTACAATTTATTTATAATTTTTTTTTAATACATACTATGATTGTCATTGATGTAACTTGAATATTTATTGTATGTGTGTGTAAAATACTTGGTTAATAATCGTTTTATGAATAATTATCACTTATTACATATTATTATTTTATAGATTAGCTGAACTTGGAACAGAAGTTGGTCATAGAATTACAGATTTATTGATTGTTCGTGAAAAAGGAGGAAAACGAGAAATAAAATTATTAAATATTTTACTTTTTATTAAAAGTACAGTGTGGAAATCATTATTTGGCCGTGAAGCTGATAAATTAGAGCATGCTAATGATGATGAACGAACTTATTATATCATTGAAAAAGAATCATTGGTGAATAAATATGTTTCAGTACCTAAAGATAAAGGTAGTTTAAATTGTGCATCATTTGTTGCTGGAATTGTTGAAGCAGTCCTCTGTGACTCAGGATTTGTGAGTATTTTTTGTTATTTTATATTTCGAAGTATAAATTTGTATGCTGATGTATTTTACATGAGGTTGACAAAAAAAGTTGGCGATTTAATGATATAATCTTTAGAACCATGTATTAATTTACAGCCAGCCAAAGTTACTGCTCATTGGCATAAAGGAACAACTTACATGGTTAAGTTTGATGATTCTGTAATAGCTCGAGATAAACAGCTCGATGATAAATGAAAATAAAGAATTAGGTGATTTTTAATTTATAACAATTAAGTAATTATTTTATAACAATAAGTAAATTGATAAGTTAATATTAGAGTAACTTATTATTTAATGTTTATAATGAAAAATAAATCTAAAAAAATTAATCCTATAAATTTTATTATTTAGGTTACAATAATATTAACTCACTATGTTTTATTTATGAATTTTTTAATTTAGCTGTATTAATAACTTTATATTATTTTGTTTCTTCGAGCAGCGTAAGCTACTTGACCAGTTCTTATTTCATGTTCCCGTTCGTCCTGTCAAATAAAAAACGATTTTTTAATCTTTATGAGATTGAGTATTAGATTTACATTTCAATATCAATTAATTAATTAATTAAAAAAAAAAATGAATATAATTTGATTAAAAATCGATTTTTATAGTATGTTATAGATGCATACCCGATCTTTTTTGATTACATAATATAAAAACATCACTGGTAAAATGTAACTTCCCATAAAGAATCCAAAATTGTTCCATTTAGGTTTCCAGAAATGCGTGTACGTAGCTCTTGCTGCTACAAAACGATTAACGGCCTCATCTTCCTAGAAAATAATATATAAATGAGGATTTATTATTTAATTCGATAGTATACCAATGACAGAAAATGATACATTCAGCTAAACAAAAGATGAATTCTTCAGAAAATTTTAAATTTTTATATCTCATAATTTAAATTAAAAATTACGAATTAATGAATATTTTTTAATATTATCTTTTATAAAACATATCCATTATTTGTATTGGTAAATGAATATATCAAATTGAGGTTGGAGTTCAAGTCGAGAAAAATACTCACGACATGTCCACCAGTTCCCAAGGCATGACGATAAGGATTCATAGTTTGTTCTAAATATTTTTGACGAAGGACGGTTCGTCTTGCATGTCGGTGTTCTAATATTTCTCTTTGCAGCGGAGAAATATCATATGCACTACGACCCGCCATATTTATTATTTGACTGAATTTTCAATTTGTTTTTTTCAGATTCGCCAATTGGTTCGGTACTAAGTAGGTTACACCATCTATTGGTTAGAATTGGATTCATGTTAAGGTATTATCATATAATTCCTACCATTTCATTATATGTCTATATATCAACAACTAACAGAGCGTATAAATTTTAAAATTGCATAGCATAGCATCATTAGTATTCAAACCAGTAACGTGCAGTATTTACTTTCTAGACAGCTTTGCTGAAACCGCAACTCATGTGCGGTCCATATTATTTAGATTATACAACAGATGTTGCCTGATCGTACCAAATAATGTGTACAAATATAATTATCACAGAGGTACCTATAAATGCAAAACAATATCAAGTATTTGATCAATGAGTATCGATGTTCCCATGAAGTTGTTAATCGATTTTAATGATATTGGAACTTGATTATACTTAGACTATTTTCAAAAAAAGTATCTATTATTATTATTCAATAAAACTCCTCATGAAGTACAGAGGATATTAAATACAACGTAAGTTCTAATTATTATTTTATTTTTAATATAAATAATGGAGTATATGTATTTGATTTTATTTAGCTCTAATTATTCAATAAGTATGAAAAATGATGAGAAAATAAAGAAACGAAATATTTTTAAGTAATGGAAAATAAATTTCTTCATAGATTGTAGTAAAGAACATTAAAGCGATGACTTTATTCTACCTGCAATCTAGGAAGTTTTAATTAGTTTTTGAAGTTATTCTATTAACTATTCAGTTAATTTATCTATAATTTTAACACTCACATTCGCCAATTAATGAGTTATCGGGTAAATGAAGCTACTAAAGATGAGAAATCAGTTTTCTTGTGGAAGAAATTTATTTAATACTCTATTAATATATTTATGTATACTCATCAATTTACCTATTTTAATTATCTTACAGATCCATCTCATTGTACAGTAGGATGAAAGTTACTTCAAATAGTATTCATCTGAATCAACTTAATATCTATTATGATAGATGTACTGAAAGGAGATTTACCCTCTGGACATTTGGTATTTTTGAAAATTAACTTTGACCGACTTCAATGTTCTCGACAAATTAATTACAGGTATGGTTTTACCTTTTTTTATTCCTAACAGATAAATCAAAAAAAAATACGATTGAAATTTCAATAGTCTTTTTTTCTTGGTTACATTTATCTTTTTTTTTTCACATCACTATTTTTTAATTAATACAGCAAGAACTGTGTTACAATAACACTGGTAGTAACAATAATCAAATGTTTCTAACAAAATTGAAAGTAATCCATCAAGTATTCCAATATCTTTTCAGTAAAACCTAACTTTCGTAATTATCATTTAGTTAATGTCTTTTTGATTTTTGCTCATGTCTAGAACGTGAAATCTCTTGCATAATTCGTTAAATCTATCTCTGTTCTTGTTCATTCATTTCAATAGAGACTATTTGACTTTCATTATTCTTTTCATAAATTCTATAACGAAATCAAAGCAAAAAAGAAATTCTCGAAGATATATTTTTAAAAACAACATCCTTCTCACTATCATTAAATTGAATTTACATAAATTCAAAAGAAATAAATATTTATTTATTCTATAAAGATATTCTCTCTTTTCTTTCTATCTGATTCTTTTTTAAAGCTTTTTCTTTTATTCTGATGTAAATTTATAAAAAGTAAAATTACAAATAGATTTAAATTTTGGAAAAGTCATTCATTATGTTATTTTATAAATAATGACTGGATATAAATAGATGTCTGGTGGCTTTTAAAATTAATTATTCAATGATTATTAAATAAATTATAGTTTGTATTGTTCTCACGTTCAGTTTTGATTAAATACATCATACTCTATAGCTTACTATTTATCACGTTAAGTTATCCTAAACGTTTAATTTCATTCTAAATTGCATGAAATTATTTCTCGACATGAATAGGTATTATTTTAACATATAGTGGTAATCGAAATTTGACTATTGCACACAATTAAATGGATCCTGATGGAAATTTCTTGAAGTTTATCCAGTAGCTAATAGCCAATTTAGTTCCATAGTTTAGACTTCATCTGAACAACTGATTTGTTCATCTAACTACTTGAGACATTTTCAAGGATTGACAGAACATGAGAAAACTTCATAATAAATGACATTCAAATGATTAAAGTGATAATATATTAGCAGTTTAATTTTCAAAATTATATATATATATATATATATATAATCAAGAAACATGTACATAATTAAAACGTCAATGTTTTGCTGGATAAACAAATCGAATAATAATTATGTATAATTTATTCTTTTAATTAATCATGTTTGATTTACATAAATTTATTTTTAATTCACTGTTAATGTGTTAAGATTTAAAGGTTCAATGAAAAAAAGAACCCACATGTTTCTGAATGAAATAATGTTTTTTAAACACTTTTTTTGAAGTAAGCCAGAATATCTTGAGTAAAGTAAAATAACTTGATAAGTAAGGAATAATATTGTGTTTTTTAAATTACAAATTACATCAAATTAGCAAAAAAAATAAATAATATAAACTATTTTTGGTTGTATTTGTCTACATGTATTACTTTACAAAACGATTTCTGTATCAAACAGTAGTTTTTATTTGTGATGAAAATAGCCGATATGTTTATATATGTTGTAGAAAGAGAGTTCATTTGTTCATTGTTTATTTGTTTATATATCCATTTGTCTACAACCTTTTAACTCTGAATGAAGTTTAAAAAACATTGAGACAAATAATGAAATACTTGATAAATTGAAAAACTGTAATAGATAAATTAAATGATGTACTACAAGTTGATAATGTTAAATATTCTCAGAGATATTCAGTAAATATTTATAAAACCATAAAATACTTTAAAATGAAGTACTTCCAATTTTGATGGCAAAATATCATTGGGGACCGATTCTGTTTCTTATCAATAAACCATTGAGACCTACTACTCATACTTGGTGAAGATAAATATGTTTACGATAAAAAGATATTAATAATATTTTTTTTTTTAAGGATATTTACAAAATATTTTTTCATTATTCTTTTTATAAAAAAGCAATTATATTAATTGAAATACTGATGCGTTTGAATAGTTTCAGTATGAAGATCTAGATGGAGAAAAAAAAGAAATGCATAACAAAAATCATTGACATAAATGTCATACTCAATGAAGCTTGCATAGAAATTTTTTCTTCTTAGGAAGCATGACTTAACGAATATTTATAAATGAAATACATTTTTTCAAAGAGATAAAGATAGAAAATGTAATATATATTTTTATAGAACTATCAAAAGAAATGTCATAAATTTTTCAAATTGCAAATACGTACCTCTATCAAATACTAAATACTTAAAGAGAACATATTTGTATCAAACAATTCTTTATATTTTTCTATTCTGCCAACTCGTATCTATTATGAATGCTTTTAATGTTCATTTCAATAGTTTATAAGGTATTTTACTTACGTCTTTTTATTCGTTCTTTTGTTAATAGTTTTATTTGAGTAGTACTTGTTCGAGTTGAAATTCTTATGCCAAGTTTTTAATTGTTCAAAAAGAAGTCTACAGTAAATAAAACCTTGGTATAAAATGATATTTAACACGAAAAGTATCTTAAGCTTTTCAACAACTGTTTTAAGATCTTTATGATTGTTTGGAATACTTCATTAACAATTAAAACTTGATGGTTATTATTGTTTCTATTCAACGTTAATTGTTCTTTAGAATCTGTGGATAGTGTTTTGAGTTATTTAATTCTATCTAGCAATAAACAATTAGAAATATTCATTGAAAAAAAAAATTAATACAAGATTTTGATAAACTAAAGAACAAAAATAACATCAGTATTATTTATAAATAATATTAAAATAGTTGACTTTATAATTAAAATAACAGGTTCATTCATATTAATTTTATAAAATTCCACATGACATGTTTTGTAAATCAATTGAGGTATATAATTTATTTTCTTTCCTTGCTTAAGTTACTAAGTGGAGCAAACTTGGATGTTTGAATTAAACTAATTCTAGTTGCTAAGCTATCTTTCTTTTTTCTTTTATTTTTTTTATCTCAAATCTTTAGAATGATCTAATAAAATTGTTTTTTTTTTCAGGTAATTCTTGGTGAACTTCTAGAAAACTGTTTCAACATTGATGGACTATTCTTGTCTTCAGAGCATCGTTGAAAGGTAAGATTCAAATAACTTGTATTTGAAGTAAACTTTCTTTAGTAAAGATCTTAGTAATGAAAATACGTATTTTAAGTGATGTACGTTTCATTTCTGGAGTATATGATGATTATATACTCATGTTTCATATGCTTTCTTTTATTCAAAAAAATAAATTCTCGTGTAGACTTGAGAAATTCTCAAGTGAGTTTTGAATATTAAACAAAAGTTTCTCCAGTTAGAATAATTACTAAGATTGATAGTTACAACGTTAGGTTAATTAATTTACTTGAAATATAGTAGCAGCTTTAGAAGAAAAATTATTTTCAAGAATGCACAACACGTATATTAAAAAAAAATATATTGCTACAGATAATTTGATTAATTTGAGCAATTATTGTTTAAAAGAAATTGAACTCTTGATATTTAACTGATTTTTATCAAACACAAAAGGACAAGTATTTTTTTTTTTTTTCTATTTGTGTGAGAATACTTTAGTAGAGTAAGTTTGCTCGGAGTAAAAGAAACAAAAAAATGTTTAAAACAATGCCAAGTTGTTAGTGAACACTAAGTGAAGCTTTTATTCCACCTGGTGTTGAAATTTCTTCTCGGTCTTTTATAAAAAAATTTCCACTTCTCCACTCTGGTTTTTATTATTTCATTTTCTTCAGTCATTGAGTATTATTATATTAGCATTTATTTAATGATTATCAAAAACTTGTTTTATCTAATAACAGAAAATATTAAATTGAAATCTATTTAATATTTATTCATTTAAATTAATTGGAGTATCGTATTCCCGTGTTGAATATTTGAATGTTAACTTGATGAATATTTCATTTTATTTTAAACAACAATTGAACTTAAGGAGATAAGGTTTTTTTTAGCATAGGGAAGACTGAAAATTATATTTTATATTATTAGTCTTAACACAAAATTTCTTTTCTTTTATTAAAAATTTTTGTTGAATTCTCTATTTCTTGGATTCTTCCAATAGTCGATTTTTCATATGTGTACAAAGCTATACAGAGCGTTACTAATTGCAAATAGCAATATTTTTTGTTATCGTTTTGTTACTATAAACATGCTGAAGAAACATCGGGTGTGTTGGTTTTATTTTTTTTTATTTTTCATGGAAATAAAAAAAACTGATAATAAAGTATCTCAATATTCGTATATTATTGTATCTGATCTATTTACGAAAATAAGCAATAGTTTTGATAAAAATTAATTACGGTATAAATGATCTAGAAATAAAGAAAATATACTTATTAAAAAATTAACAACACATATTTATTCACAAATACATACAATTATATATAAACGGTTTTTAAAGATAAATTTTTTGCTACAAGTGGTATAAAATAATTTTTTTAACAAATAATTATTAAATAAGACGAGATCTATATAGATGTAACGTAAAAAATGTGATAGATTTATAAATTCAAATTAAAAATTACGTGACTTTGCAATCATTTTTTAAATAAATTTATTTGAATGAATTACATATACACATATAAATAACAATCGTATAAAAAAATCTTTGAATATATTTTAATCTTAATATATAAAATATTCATCAATAATTTTTAACAAATATTTTATAAATAAATAACTCAGATCTAAATAAGTTTATAACAGTTATCTTTATGTGTAGCATCTACTGTTTACTTAAGACATTTTTTATTAACTATAAATTATGAATTATACAATTAGTTTATTTTTAATTTTAAATTTAATTTTAGTTGAGTTATTATTTTAAATGCATTGATACAGAATGATTTTTCAAATTTTATCATTTGATGTTTAATGTTGAGAAGCTCTTCATTAATTTAAAATAGAAAAAAATTATTTTTTAAAAATTCATTTTAAATTTTCGCTTTGTTTTTTTTTATTTAATATTAATTTGAAATCCTGCCAATGTTTTATGTATTGAGAAATATTAACTGTGTATTATGAAACTATTGATTATTTATAATATTTACACATTTATTTTGAGTGTATTTATGATTAATATTTCTATATAGTTTTGATTATGACATAATTATATTTGTACTTAATTTCATACGACTATTATACATAACTAGCTATACATTACTAATGCCCTCTAAAACTTTGAAAATACTGAAAGTAACATTTATGTGTTTGAACTATTCAAATGCATCAAAAGGTACGGTATAAAATATATCAAGTCTTTCAATCCTCAATAACTTGTGTTTAGAGGTTTATAAAATTTTGATGATTTATTCATATTGAATAAAATTAATTATTAATTATATTGACACAAAAATTAAAATTATTTAATTGTTAAGAGGCATCAATGTTTTCCATCAAATTGTCTATCCAATATACAAATAAAATTCGCAGTATATTTATAACTATTACATAATTATGATAAATACCTTTTGTGGGTATTGCATTAATTCTATTTAATAATGGTAATTATTGTTTATGATACAAACAATAGATTGTCTCTCAACATTTTTATATAATTCTTTTTGTTCATTAATTCCCCGAATTCTCAATTAAACAATAAACAAAACAATTTTTTTAATTCAATAATAGACATTTTTTTTTAGTGTTTGATCTACTGTAATAAGTTCAATTTAAAGTCTTCGATACTAAATTTATAAACTGATATTTTTTTTAAAGATATTTTCAATGTAATAGAGAAACGTATAAACATATTTGATGTTCTTTTTGATTTAATTTAAATGATAATAAAATTTAATCATCTTCATTAGATAATGCTTTCTTTAATGTCAATATTTGCTATTCTTGGTAATTTATTTTAACATTGAGTTATTATAAATTGATTTAAATAAATATTGGAGAGTAAAACAATTTTATCGATATAAACAAATAAGAATCAAAATTTTATTGTTTAATTATTTAATATTTGACATTGTTTGCAAAAATTGTTATTATTTTTTTCAATTATCATAACGAGGGTAAATTTTGTGATGAAAAACTTGGATTTTTCAAACGAATGATACCATTACATGCTTTTGAGATTTAGTATTCGATATAGTTATATGCCCACTTCGTCTTGATGAATGAGCTGTCAACGAAGTGGTAGTCAATGTCGTTCTCGTGCTGCGCCGAATATTATTGGAGCTAAAGCAGTGATGTGAACGCGTACAGCACCATCCCGAAACCCAGGAAATCGCCTGCATGTTTCTAACGACAGGTGAAGTGATAAACATTTATTTTAGTAATCATTAAAGTGAATTAAATGCTTAGTGCATTTACTAAACAATTATTATTGTATTTTATTTTTTCATCACAAATGTTTGTTTCACAAATGGAATTATAATAAAAAAACACGATAAAACATTTAATATTTAAGAATAGAAATTATTTTTAAATTAAACATTAAAAAGTTAATTATTGAAGAATCAATATCTGTATCACGGATGTAAAATTGACTTAATCTCAAAGTATTTGACGAGTAGTTAGCCTCAAGCTTGAGAAATTGTTCCAAGTCTAACAGATTAAGCTTTAAGTTGATGTAAACACGGAAATTAAATAAGTTTTTTAATAAAAAAAAATAAAGTTACAGATCAAATAATCTATTTATCAATAATTATTTTCATATTTAAAAAAATTAAATATTCGAAAGAATAAATATTTTATTAATTTGTTATCGAAATTTTTTAAAAACAAATCCATCTGATTAATCATTTTTATTTACTAATAAAAGTCACAAACTAAATATTTTCTAATAAAACTTTTCTCTTTAAAGTACAGATATCTTTTTTATGTGTCATTATTTATGTTGTTTTTTATTTTAGTGGAATCAGATGATTAATAGTTTATATACGAAGCAATATGAGGAGTTTTTTATGGTCTTTTTTCTTCATTAAATTATGTGAAATCATAATTCACAAGACATCAAAGAGTTTAGCTTGATTTTTAGTCACATATTAAAGATTTAAAACTGTCAACATCCTAATTCACAATAATTTATTTTAATTATTGATAAATAAAGAATTAGACTGATGTTATTTTCATTGTATTCAGGTATTAATTAAATTCACAAGCATTCTAAATATCTGATATACTAGATAATTGTAATAATAATAATATTAATAATGAATTAATTATATAAATTCTGGTGATAATAAATCAACTAATTAACAGAATGTAAATATAATGAGGTCTCTGGATAATATTGCTAATTTATGAATATATATTTTAATGCTGAAGATCTCACCGTACGTTCTTGCAAAATTGCGTGCTAAATAAACAGTATATAATTGGATTAGCCGCTGAATTCAGAGGCGCAAGACTCTGGATGAATGTCGCCACTGCAACATTTGTTTGTGTTCTTGGTACATATCCATACACTTGGAGTAAATCGAAGACTATATATGGACTCCAACAAAGTACAAAAACTGGAACCAATTATAGTTTTATTTTTATTATTATTCCTTTTTTAATCAGATGAAAGAAAAAATATTTAATTTCTACCTATACAATGGATAGCTAATTTTTCATTTAAAAGTTTCATTCAACTTTTTTAATTTTTAATTTACTGTGAATGACAGATCAACAAAAATCAAATTTCTAAACTAATTTTATTATCAAAACTAAAACTTGCTATTCACATTGTGCTGATAGTTAGCATCAATAAATTTCTATCTATATTAAAAACTATCCATTGTTTTACCAAGTCTGTTATTTTCTCTTTTTTTTTCATTATTCTATTCAGCATTGTTTATTTATTTCATTGCTCATTTTAATAAGAAATTTTTTTTTTGTAATATAAAGACATTTTTTGTACTTTTGAGACTAATTGTTTGTCTTTAAAAGGATAAATATTTAACTCGGAAATTGTTTGAAAAGAAAACATAAGAAAACTAATTTAAATTAGTGTTTATCTAATGCATCTTTGAATTTTAATAAAAATAATATAAATAAAGAAATTTCATTAGACATTTGATAAAAAAAAACTGAAATTTACATATCTCTTAACTCGTTTCATGAGAATGCTTCCTTAATAAAATTTAAAGCAAACAATTTAACGAAAAAGAAATGCAAGCTATGTACTATTAGATATATTGTTATTATTATCAGCTAGTAAGATACAATCCAAACTATTTCACAAGAATTTCTCTGACAATTCAACATGAAGTAATTGATTGAGAATGTAAATTTGATAATTGTACAATATGTTTTTTAGTGAGGAAATTTATTATACATACCAAAAACTATAACAAATGTCATTTTAACACTTTTAATTTTTGCTCTTGGTATTAATCCTCTTGATGATGCTCTTCGGTCATCTCTCATTGGACTTTGACGAAGTGCACTACTTTGAGACCATATTGTCGCTACAATGACCATGTAACAACCACCAATAATTATTGTAGGTGCTATAAATACCGTGAAACTCACTAAACTCATATAAATTTGCCAACGCGTTGCAGAACCCAAATCTATCCAGCATTGCTTTTTGTCCTGAAAGTTTAACAAAATAGGAATCATGAAAATTTAATTCTATTATTTGTTATAAATTACTTCAATTTGTTTTCTTGTTGTGATTATAAAAACTTGATAAAGTTTCTTTACTCTCCAATTAAAAACTCTTTGCTTCGACTCTATAAATTTCAATACTTGCTCATTAATAAATCAGTATGTTATGCATAAATTTTAATCCACTTTTTCTATTGAATAAAAATTTTCCAAGATTAAACATTTATAATGATCTAATGAATTTCATTTTACAAAACTTTTAGATTAAATTTCATGTTTTTAATGATATAAAACAAAATTATATTTTATTAGAGAAACTATATTTATTACTAATGAATTTTTTTGTTTTCATTATGAAAAAGAAGTTATTTTTTTTTTTTGTGGTTATTCATTATAAGTATAATATTTCGTCTTTATTTTTTTTGTATATATATATTTCTAAATATAATTCTGAACAATAACATGTGAGATACAAAAATAATTAATTTTTTGCCTTGAGCTGTAGCGAATGAGATTGAAGAAGAAGCTTGAATTTTATCTATTCAAATATACTAGAGAAAATATTCAAATTTTTTCCCCCTTCACATATTAATTATATAAAGTAAATAAATGTTTTAAAAATTAAACCCATTAATTTTTTATTCGAAAATTTTAACAAAATGAGATAATTGAAAAATGTCTTATGATAAATTTAATTGGTTATTTTGATATAATAATCTTTGTGACCGAGATTTTATTTCTAAATTTTCAAGATGGTTAAACTCTTGATACAACGTACATTAAAATGGAAATGAGAAATTTACTGAAATAACCACTAGTGCCCAAAGTAATGTTTACTTTTAATTTATTTATTCGAATAAAATAAACAAATTACATGAATAATTCATATATTAATTAAATTAATTCAACAACAAACAATATTCATGTTTGGCAATGAAAAATTTATTTTCTCACCTGTATTAATTTTTCTTCGTAAAGGAAAATAATAGGAATGCTGAATAACACAGACAGTCCCCAAGCTGCTGCAATGAGAGCTCGAGCCCGCCACCCTAAAAAAAAAGCAAATCCGATAGTTGATATAAAACAAGTAATAGAAGTTAAATTTGATAGGAGTTACTTTAATGTATGATATAACACCAATCATCAGATGGAAAATATAAATAGAAATTGAATTTTAATCGAATGTGAATACATGAATATATGGGCGATAGAAAGAAAGAAATACATAAGAAAATAAATAAACTTACAACTTCCAGAAAAGTTCATTGGCCTTGTAATGGCATCGTATCTGTCTATTGAAAGAGCAACTAATACATAAGTTGAGCTGTATGTTACAACAGTTTGAGAAAATCTTATGAGCTTGCAAGCTATATTGCCTGCATACCAAACTACTGTTAATCGCCATACGATATCTGTTAATACTGATATTAATCCAACTAGTAAATCTGTAAAAATCAATAGTTAGTTTTATTTATTAAGTTACTACTTTAATATATCATAATTAAAATCAAGTACATGTTATATAACATGCACTTGAGTTGATGAGAAGGTTGATAAGTATATACTTATTTATCAACCTTCTTATGAAGTTAAATATTTCATTTTAAAAAATATATATTTCTATTATTAATGATCTTTATCAGCTTTGGAAGAAGTTAATATTTTTCAAGTGCATCCAATAGGATTAATTATTCTTATTTTTTATTGATAAAGAATTATTATATTTTTGTGCAATGATAAATGATTTAATATCTGTGATAATATACATGATAAATAACAAAAAAAAAAAAATTAAATCTTCACACATTCTTTTAATAGTGGTGTAGAGCTGTCAGAAATCCTAACTAATGTGTGGAGAATTATATAAATTATCTTCCATTGTACTCCAAAGCACTTTCGCATAATATATCTTAGTGATGTTATTATTGGCTTTAGACTTTAGAAATATAATTAAGAAATTCCTTTTCGATTGACTAAATCCAGATAATAGAATGGTTTACTATATATTGACCACAGAAAGAGAAAGTAATCAATATGTTATAAGATCATCTCATGATGACAAAGTTTTTAGTTACTAGTGAAATAACTTTTATATACTTTATTTTACAAATTATTTTATCTTTTAAACAATGATTTTATTTGTGAATTGTTGTTGCAAGAGTTGAATTATATTTGTCAATTACTTGAAACATTGAAAAGCCTTTTTGTATAAAAGCTCTAGGTGGTCTTTGACAAGAGTTTGAGCTTGAAGTGTATCGATTGATTTTCCTACTTCACGAATATTTATTATTTGATGTCCATTCTTGATTAAATGAAATGTTAATTTATATTATAATTGAAAATAATTTATGAATTATCAAAAGCCCTTTTATTTCTTTTGATATCTTACTATCTTTATCAAGTGGATTACATTTTAATGATAAGTACTATCATTTTAAATGCTAATTTGACAATTAAAAACGAATTTCCAACTTATTATTGTCTACTTCAAAAATTGCATGCTTTAGATCAAAGATGGTCTACCTTTGACTTGTTTGGAGCAATTTGGTGCTTACTAATGTGTTCTTTAACTACCTGATGAGCTGAATGAGCAAAGGTTACCTATCTCTGATTTAGAATTTCAACTTCACATGCAGTAAAATTTAATAGAAATATTTGTTTCTAATGAAAAATCAAAAAGATTGAAAAAACTTTGAATTATTTTAGAATGAAAAAAAAAAATAGCCAATCTTCATAATTGTCCGTAGTTAAAAATAATTATTTGAAGTATGTATATAATCTGCATAGCCATTGATAGGTCAATAAATTGGAAAAGTTTTCATGTGGCTGATCGTGTAATTTAGGTTGATTAATACATTCACCATTATAATTAGAAGATTTATCGAAACAATGCTGTTGTTAACTAATTGATGTAGATATCATCCAGTCAAGCATCTCGTCTATCGAGTTCAACATAGCCATATAAAACCATGTACATTCTGTTTATTAGATCAAAGTAGACACGATGGTGCTAGCTCATGTTCATTTTACCACGTTCAAAATGAACACTTTGATCCTCAATTTTAATTCATCATTATTTTTTCATTATTTGTAATAAAGTATTGTTTTTTTAAATTTTTAATTGTCGTTATTCATCAATTCATAACTATTAAAAATGATTAATTGATTTTTAGCACCAATATCTTCATAAAAAAATTTTTTTTTTCTTTGGTAAATAAAAAAAATCGTAGCTCAGATTAAAAAAAATTGTAATATATCATTGGCTTAGAGAGTAAATCTAACTCCTTTTTTGCTTGCAAAGATGTTTAGGGACCAATCGGGAGAAAAAAAATTGACATATTGTTAGAGAAAAAAAAAATGAATTGAAAGGTGGATAGAAAAATTTCCTTTATTCTCTTTTGAAATATTATAATCATGTGTTATCCACCTTTAAAAGATATTTTGTTGTAGAAATTTGAAGATATATTTTTGATAGCTTATTATTCAACTCTAATATTTTTATATTCATACATACTGACATTTGAATTGCTCCTTCCAAATAAATTTGCAAAAATAAAAAAAAAAAGTTGATATTTATTTAAAATGTATAAAAAATATGATGCTTTGGAAAATGCCTTTTATTTTTAAATAAAATAGGAAGTGGTTTTTAAATGTATCAATATCGAAGTAATTAAAAATACAAATATATGAATTTAAATATTACTTTGTAATATTTTTTATTTACATTTACATTGAAAAGATTAATTGGAATTAATATATATTCGTAATCGAATTTGATGAAAAATACATTCAGTTGTGTCATCAATTTTACAAAATCTGAAAATAAAATATAAATTTTCATTTCATGTAGATTATTTAAAAACAAACAGAATTTCTGTCATCAGTGATAGTGCTTTCACGAATATTGAACAAAATGTTCTATCTTGGAATCAATATACTTAGATCCAGTTTTATTGGATAAATTCCATAGCAAATAAATTTCGGATGATATTGTGTGCGGATATCCGGTTTCATAACACTTAAAATATATATAGTTAAACTAAGCTATAAAAATAAATATATTTTATTCTTAATCTTGAATTATAAACTTTTACAACTCGAATATTAACGTTCCATTGTGATTACATCATGTTGATTATTTCTCTTCTTTGTGTGACTTTTTTTTTAAATTCAAGCTTAAGTTGATATTAATTTCTGTGATGTTACATACGGTGTACTCTAATTCTTGGAGAAAGTTCTTTGATCTTTTGATACAATTCATAAGGATACTGATTAGATTTTATTAATAGATCGTCAGAAAGATAAATTTGAGATGAAAAAAAATTACATTGATAAAATTTTATGCTCATTTTTGTTATTCAAATTGAAGCAAGAATTAGTATGCATTATGTAAACTAATTATTATTGCTGAATAATAAAATTGATCGGAATAAGTAAACCTGCTTAGTTAAAATAATATTGACTTAATAAATATCTGGCTAAACACTAGTCCTTTAACTTAGTAAAAGTTTCTCTCAGCTTACAGCAATTCTGACCAAATTGAGATAATTTCTACAATGCATCTTGCAAAATTTTTCATTACACAATATAGATTTCATGGTATTTTATATTTAAAATGAAAATCTTACAAAATATCTCCTTTAATGGTACACTGAGAGAAATTGAAATACTTGTGTCTACCATCACATGTTATCACCTTATTAAAAAGCATCAATTACATCATGATAGTTGATGTTCTCTAGTTGGAATGACTGGAAATTTTTCCAAGTGTGACCCATTCATCAGTTACTTTAAAATTTATGCTAATTCTTCAAAAAAAAAAAATTTTTTTTTTTCATTTCATTTTTTTTTTAATAAAATTATTTTCTAGTTAATCAACTACATTAACTAGAAATCAAGATATCATGTTTACGAATATTGAATTTTACTCAATGAAAAACTTTATTGATCTCTGTTCTACTTATCTCTGTTAATAAAACTTTTTGATTCAACTATATAGAAGATATGCATAGAGAGTTGAGAAAAATATGAAAATTGTTTTAATAATAAATTTAAAAAAAAAAAGAAAATCTTAGAGACTTTAATTTAAAAACAATGAAAATTTTTTTCATTATTCATAGTGTCATCCTCAAAGCTAATTAAAGATCTTAAAAAATATTACCAAAGCTGCTTATTTTTTAATGAGAAGATTTTATTAATTTAACTTTATTTTCTATAAATGACTTATTACTTATATAAATAATAATAATCAAAGTTGATTTTAATTATTTATTCAACAGTCTTTAAAATATATACAATAGATCAAAATAATTGCATCCAATCAACTGAGGCTAGAGTTCAATAAGAAATGTATATCTAAAAATAATGTAAGTAAAGTAAATGTCATGTAGATGAAACTGCAAGACCGACTATTGCAAAGTGTGCAATGTTTCATACAAGAGTACACTTTATACAAGTACGTTAATTAATTTAAGATCAAAGGATCTCATTACTATTCATGATATGATGTGAATTTTAATGGAATAAACTGAGTTGTGAAGATATAGTTCTAATTTTACTTTATTTGAATTGTAATTATTATTCTCAATATGAATTACATTCATATTATAATTTGGAATAAATTATTTTATTGAAAAATATTAGGAAAAAAAAAAATGCATTGAATTCAAATATTTTAAAAGTAGATCTGGTGTGATTTATTTTAGTTATATTATATAGAATGGATTTCTTTAGTCAATTTTTCACAGAATTTATTTTTGTCCTAGACTTAAAAGAAGAGAGATAACTTAAAGTAATCAATAATAAATCAGTTGATATCTTAGTAAATGAAAAAAAATTTTATTCCTTTTACTAGACGATGACCGAAATTATACTGAAATAAATAAATCGATTTTTTTTTTTTGTTACTTCATCATAACAAATTTGTTTTATATTCACTTTTAATTGAACTTATACTGTGTAGTATAATGTCTTGTTTAAGTCGTGATGACAAATATCACTGCCACTTTTTATTTCTTAAGTTCTAGATCAAATAGATTAATGGCTAGAGTTAAAGTAAGATATGTTTTTGCTGTGGGGGCTTATATATTAAGTCTTAGCCTGATGTTTTGAGATTTCGTCCGTAAAATATCCTTCAAAACATTACCCCATTACTGAATGGCAGAAGTTTTTTCTACCAATTTTTGCATGCTTTTACCACTAGGCCATCTTATCCTTAATTTTTTTTAGCTACATTGGTGTTCTAAATTTATCTAACATTCTATATGATCATTATTAATGAGAATTCATGTATTACAATGTTGAAAATAATTTTTATTCTTTGGAGATTCTGTCTAAATGTGTATAAATATCATGCTAAATAGAAATATACTTACCAGCTAATGCTAATTGTTTAATAAAAAAATTCATCCGTGATTTTCGACGTTTCCCTATTATTAAACCCAACAGTACTGATACATTTCCAACGACAATCACAATAAAGAGCAGCCAAAGTACTGTAAATTGCTCTGTCTGAAACAAAAAGTTAAATAATTAATTATATTAAAGGATTTTGAAGAACAATACGAGTATTATAAACTAATTTGATAATAAATAATTGAAATGGTAGAATGTGCAGTCACTTGAATAACGAATGATTTTAATAATTGAATTTTAGAAAAGTTAGGTCATGAATGACTCAAACCTTTTTTTTTCAAATAGTCTGAAAGTCAAATGTCTTCATAGTCCAAGTATATTCGAACATTATTATTAGTAAGAAGTTCTATCATACAGCTTTGCACACCCAATTTCAACTTCTAGAGATTGAATCTTTTGAATGCAAATAGTTTTAAAAGGTCATGAAACCTCTAGAAGTCATCATTTTCAAACATACCCAAGCATATGATCACTGGAGATACTACTTATTAATAACTCTCTATTTTTTCCCAAGTGAGATTGTGCATACCACCTTTAGTATTATTCAAAAAAAAAAACTTTAATTTATAAAAAATTCATATTATTTTATCATCCTACATAAACGTTATTTCTTATCCTCTCATGTTCTTTCTTCAAAGAAAAATTCTGTTAATTTGGCCATCCTAAAAGCACACTTTTTATTATAATAATTACTTCCTCTCGGTGTAATCATGTTTATTTCTACATGTTCTTTATAAAGATTATAAAAAATACACTTAATGAATCTGAAATAAAAAAAAATCTCTTCTGTCTGATTCTCCAACAAACCAGTATCTCTGCTATTACAACACTTGTAGGTAGCAACAATAAACTTTTACTAACAATTCACTTTCTGTCATCTCCAGCTTTTTACTGTTAACACTACAAAAATCACAACTAGACCTTTGATCTGTTGCAGCAAAAGAATGTTTTTTTTTTTTTTATTCAGTCACAAAAAGTTTATGCACAAAAAGTACTTCAGAGCTTATGTCATGGCATGACGATTAATTATTGTGTTAAATATGTGAAATAGAATTCATTCATTGAATAATGTGAGCTAGTTATTAAAAATTGGATAAAAAATCTTCAACTTAATTGCAGTAGATATTATCATTAATCTTTTGATAAAGTTATTCATAAAATGGTCGTTTTTATTTTTATTCTTTATTCTGGAGATGTAAAAAAGAAAAAGTAATTGCATGAAAATTTATTGAATGATTAAGTATAAAACCCATCACTTAGTTTCATGGATTCGTTCTTTTATATTATGATATTCTCTTTAACTTCTTTCATGCTTGTGATATGCAGGATAACTGATAGACTAGTGAATTATTCATTAAAGTGCCGCTCGTGAAGATAAAATTTTGTGCAAAATGCAAGTTATTCTTCGTTTTATAATTTCTTAACTACATGAGTGGGTGATAGATTGAGGGTGTAAACAAAATTTGGAGAAAATTTTAACATAAATTATCATCACTTTATTTTGATTGACAATTTTTTGGCTTATTAAAGATTGACTTGGTTTAACAAAGCAATTATTGTTGAATTAAAAATAGAAAAAATCATCGTTTGACAATGTTTAACAGGTGATTGACAATAAAAAAATATTTCAACGTTGGTAAAGGTAAAACTTGATTAAAATCCAAGATGTAGGGAAATGAACGATAATCGAACTGGAAATTATGTTGAATAAAAAAATATGCAAAAAGAGCGAAAAAAAAAAAATTACAACAAAGAATAGGAAACCTTTTTTTAAAGAACATTTTTTTATAATTAAACATTATTTGCTTAGAATCAGGGAAAATTACTACAGTTACAAGATAATTATTTTCAACGATAAATGTATTAAGAAAGCTGATGAGAATTTAACTTGGAATTTTACTTGTAAATCAGTTGATTATTTCCTACCTAAAATTATGTATTCACTTCATCAAAAGTTAATTATTTATTAATTATCTAAAGATATCAATTTATTAAAAAAAATAAAATAAAATTTTTTTATAACATATTTATTAAATTTTTCAAGATATATTTTATTATAGACTTCATTTAGAATATTGCGTGATTGATAAATGTATATCATTCTGGCTAATTTTGAAAACCAGTAATTTAGTTGATATATGTACAGGATATAAATACGTATAAGATATCTTATCATAATTACATCGTAGTTATAATTATTATTCGGATTGATATGAGATATTGATATTTATCAGGCATTTATTATGCTATCATCATATCATCACATCATACAATATAATATATATGTAAATGTAAGATGAAAAGTATTTACAAGGAATGCAAAAAAGATTTTTTTTATAGTGTGACTTTATATTACTACAAAAACTCTTCGCCTCGCAAATATATATATAAGAGTTACCATTCCTTATACTTTTCTTTTCTTTTTCAGTTGACTCATCGCGTCCTCTTAGGACTGTCACTTAGATTTGTACTGAAAAGAAAAGAGAACTGTCGAGCTCCTCGAAAAAGAAACAAAATATATTAGTAAAGTAATAAAAACAAATAAAAAATAGATGTATAGAAAGGAATGAGAACAAATAAAGTACAATTTAATGTTTTTTTTTAAAAACTAGATTTAATATAAATAGTTGAAATAATTGATAGAGAAAATTTGATTAAATGAAAATCCAGTAAATTCTAAATCATTTTGATTATTATTCTCAACGAGATTAAAAAAATTTTGCCTCACGTTATATTTATAGCACACGTGGACGAAATTGAAAATATTTCTCAAGCAAAAATCACGCAACATTATAATTCATGTCAAAATTTTTTACTTTTATTTTTTATGAAAAGTCGTATATTTATTTTTGCATTATTTTTAGAATATTTTTTTAATACTTGAATCAGTAAAAAGAGAAGAAAGGGAAAGGTGTTAGTGAAAAAAAAAAGAAAATAAAAATTGACTCACGCAATTTCTAACAATTGGATTGCTATCGATTTATGTATCTATATAGTAGAAGGTATACTCTTATAATTGAGAAATAACGATTTTTTTTTATATTATACGTTAGGTGTATGAGTTGAATGCTGTATTGCGAAAGTCTTGTTTACAGATTGAAGATACTTTTTGTCTAAGTATTTTCTTTATTACACTTACTTGATGGGAAAACTTTTAATATCTCAAAGGATACTTCATTACTTTATGAACATAAAAATTAATTATAATACAATATATGTAATGATTATTTTATTTTTATTAATTTATTGCTATAAAAAAGTCTCTTGAAGACTCAATAAATATCCCAGATGAAACAAAAAATGGTTTCTTAAAATATATTTGATGCTATTATTTTTATTTATGATTTTATGTGATTTAATTTTAAAAATTTAACTAAGAAAATTTATTATTAAATTCGATAAATAAATAATAATTATAAATATAAGACACAAGAATTGCATTGAATGGTTTTTTTTTTTTTTCTTTGCATATTAAAATACATGAATTTGTTATAGATTATTATATAAAACAAGTATTTATAATGGATAAATATTAAAATGTATTAATTTTTTTATCAAAGTTGTGTAGAAAATATTGGCAAGTGTATAATTATGAATACATCTGAAAGAATAGTTGTTTGAATTTATACGTAATCTTTACATTTAACCTTTAGAAAAGTTTTCATTATCTGAAAAGCTATATGACTAACTTTAGCGGTTTACATTATACTCTGAAATATTAAATTGATGTGTCGGTAACTTTTACCTTCAAGGTTTGCAAATTTCCTTACTTTCAGCTCTAATGTTCTTTTCACTTGAGATTTGTTGTTTTCAAGAGAACTTTTTGAAAATTATAAGTTAATTTAGCTGAAATTAATCTTCATTATATTCCAACATTCATTATCCATGTTGACTTTGATAACAGATGTAACAATATTCAAGATATTTTCAAAAGTTCTTTTAAATCAAACTTTATTATTGGACTGTAAATAATTTGATTACTCAACTTCATTATTCTTAATGAATTTCATTACTTTTGTTCATAATGATATCAATTTTAATTCATCATAACGACTTTCCAACTCAATCCTGTGCCTTTGTTTCTTGCCTTTTTCTTTATCGACTGAGTATTGACACAAAAACTATTAATCTTATTCTTCTTGACTCTATCTTAAGTATTATTTCATTTTCCTCAGTTATATCTATAGATAACTGTCTTGGATTTTCTTATACACAGCCAAGTTCAATATCGAAAATTCAGGTGATAAAAAATTTTAAAAAGTAAACCATTAAAAAAAATTGCGACATCATTAATCAAATGTTAAATCCGTTTGTCACAATACAGTATATCTAAAGAGATTTACATTCTTATTTATACTACTAACTGAATTTAAAATATATAGAGCAATTAGTCGGGTTTTTTTTCCTTCGATAAGGAGCGTATTAAGTATTATATTTATAAAGTCAACGAGTTTTTAAATAATACACTTTTACTTGACTTTCTTCATACATACTTATATCAATTCACGACAATCTCGGTTGATTTCTGCATTTTATCGACCATCTGATCTGATTACAGCTAAAGTGCTTTCAATTTTTATTCTTAAATAATTTTCAAAGTACCGGTTATGCTAATTATCAATCTTTTTTCCCACATTTTTGTGTGATTCTCTTACTCTGTATTGATATCATTTTCATGTAGTTATGACCAGGTACTTTGCATATTATTATATCAAAAAAATATTGACGTAAAAAAATTTTTACTATCAAAACTGGTTTCGATAGTGTTAATGTTTACTAAATTATTATTATATTTACTCAAAATTTACTCAATTTTTTAATACAGAATGTATTTTAAATATTCTTTTAACTGATTAAAAATTCATATTTTATTTGTTTTTAAATGCAAATTATTTTCTTGCACTTTTGTTGCCAATTTAAGTGCTCTCGAATAAACAAGCAGGGCAAGTGCACTTAATATAAAACGTTGATTAACTAAAAAAAATTGTGTTGTTGATCTTTAAAAGCTTTTATTGTTTTTTAATAGTTTCAGGATAAAATTCCTGTAATGATCATTTATTTTTCCAAGTATACTAAATACACTATACATCCTTTTT